AAAATTCCGCTTGAATTCCTGGCGCTTGCCGAGTCTGAACATGTCCCTGATATCCTGAGCGGTGTCACCCGAAAGTCCATGCTGGCTCTCCTGTACGCTGTTGTCGGAGGGCGATTCTTCGTCTGAGCCTAAGACGAATTTCGAGGCTTGTCTCTTCTCGTCAGAGGAAGCCCTGCCACCTCCACCTTCGCCATGGCGGCAAAAAGACCCTACCCCATCACGAGCGCTCATTTTGAGCAGTTGGGATCGGGCCCGTCCTTATCGTGTTTAGATATCTCAAAAAGGACAAAGAGGGGCGAATCAAACATGCATATCAATCACTAAGTCTAGCTAAGACAAAAGTACCAGACACTCCAGCTTCTCACTCATCGTCGAATATCCATGGATTCGAAGGAATGGTTAAGAAAGGAAGACAAAAGAGCAGAGACCGTATCAATCTGGCATTAGCCCTGCGGCCTCTGTGGGATGGGAGAATAGCCACGGTCCAGATCGTGGAGTTCTTTCATGGAGAGCGTTGCACACGCCAATGCCTTGACGGAAGCGCTTGACAAGATCTTGACAAATCGGCCATCATCCAAGGCAGTGAAGATCCCCTTGCGGGCCCCTCATGGAGTCGTCGAGTGATGCGCCAGTAATGTGCTCAAAGTACGTTCCAGGGTTACAAGATACGGCATGCATGTGGCGGGGGATTTGTCGTGGCCCCCCTTATGGACATGAGAGGAAGGTCGAAGTCGTCCGGCCACAAGGTGTAACAGGTAAGTTATCGATAATGCTGCATCGGATTCGGCGTGGTGAACCTCTCCGGGACAAGCGCAACGTCGTGGGATCGGACCATGGCCACAAAGATTGGCTTGTTAGCGTCGAGTCGAGGGTGGGCAAAAGGTTCAATCTTCGATTTATGTCGACCCCTGGCTAGGAGGATGTATTGCTTATCGGCAGTGAATGGTACCCAATGACCGTGTGCGGGATGAAAAGTCCATCCTGAACAAGTTGTCCGTAGATTGAAAGACTCTTCGGACACTAGTCAATACACTCAATAACGCGTTAATGAGTTCATCTGCCGTGGAAACAATTCCTGAAAAATAGCAAAGACCCTTGAAAGACGATAGAAAGAAACAGGTGCAGATTATATGGTCGTTAAATTCGGCTTCTACCTCAAAAACAAAAATCGCAAAGAAGTTATTTACCCCTCCTGCTCACGACACATTCTCAGATGGTATCTGTACACATACAATTGTCCAACCACCTGCCCAGTCAATGTTTGAAGTGTCGAGTCTTCGTTCTCATCAATTCAGCGCGCGCGCAGCAAAACATGAAAGGGCGGCCTTCTCTTACACATGTCCCCCTAACATGTGAGAGAGAAAAACCTGGGACTTCCCAACAACGCCTTGCATTTGATCAAATATGGGGGGAGGGGGAGAGGTGCAAAAATTCTTTCCAAGACGGCTGGGCTGGCTGACAGCTTGGCTGTCCCTTGTAGATATAAATTATAGTTGATTGGCCGCGCTTTTTTTTCTTCTTCACAAGCCTGCTGCAATCTTGCCGGCAGCCTCGTCCGCGACACTCTCTTCGTACCAGGCCTTGATGCGGGCAGCCTTTTCGGGGCTTCGGACCTTGACGTCCATCTCGAAGGGGAGAGGGCCGCCGATCAAGTTGGGGGTGAAAGCATTCGAATCGGGCCACTTGGGTTGTCCGTTGGCATCCATGTAGGGCTTGAGTTCGAAGCAGCCGACGATGCTGCCGCAAGCGACGAGCAACTCAGCCTCGGTGATTTCAATACCAGGGCACATGCGGCGACCCATTCCGAAACCGTGGTGGCCCATGAGTCTGGGATGTTCCGTAAGAGGCTCCTTGTACGTGGGGTATTCCTTCTCGAGCCATCGCTCGGGCTTGTAGGTCTCTGCGTCAGGGTAGAGCTCGGGGTTGCGGGCGAGAGCGAGGTCGACGGCGTGGATAACAGCGCCCTTGGGGAGGTAGTATCCGTTCCATTCATCATCCTCCTCGAGAAGACGGGGCACACCCAATGGGACTGGTGGTCGCCATCTAACGCACTCCTTGATAGCAGCACGGAGGATAGGTAGGTTGGGAGCATCCGAGACCTCGATGACACGGTCGCCAATGACTTCGTCGTATTCCTTGCGGACCTTTTCTTGCCATTCCGGGTGGAGAACCATGGCGAGGAAGAAGCAGTAGAGAGGACCACCGATGGTGAAGATGGCGACAGTCACCAACATACCAACGGCGTAGGCAGCCTCATGGTCGTCGAAACCAAAAGATCGGCTGCCGCTCTCGGCTTCCTTGCGTTCAAAGTAGGTGCGTGCGTAACTGATGGGAGCAATGCCCTGGTCCATTTCCAAGCGGACCTGCTTCATCAGACCCTTCCAGAGCTTCTCTTCCTTCTCACGTCGTTCGCGGACACGTCTAATCGAGGGGTTCAACCATTCAGGGAGACTGCCCAGGAAAGGCAGAAGATTGGTGATGGGACCCGAGGGGGAAATCTGAGGGATGAATTCACCAGCGTTCTTGCAGTGCGCAGCAGCAGAGGCCGGGCTACCGTAACCGAGACGAGCACTGATGCGACCGCAGAATCGATCGGTCAAAGCGAAGTGGTCCTTGGGGTCAATGAGGAGCTTGTACATGAACCGCTTGGCCTCGTGGCTGACATAGCCGTAGTACTTCTGGTTGAAGCCCTGGGTCAAGACGGTGTGGGCGAACTTGCGCTGGTTGCGCCAGTGGTCTGCGTTTCCATTAGTATTTAAACTCTTTTAACTTGTTCAACGAAGCCCAAACTCACCGTCATGAGCCAAGAGAGGCAGATACTGTCCCTGGGAGTCACTGCCCGGAACAGCAGGCACCATGGGACGAGAAGAGTAAATTCTGGCTTTCTTGCAGAGCAAGTCGTAGGCGATCTGCGCGTCACCGACCCAGATGTGCATCTCACCGCAGATGGTGGAGCGGAAGATCCCGTTGTATTCATCACAAAACTTCTTCATCGCAAACCACGGGGCCATTGGGTCGACATCGTGGACGCGTCCGATATATGGGATGGTGCTCATGGGGCCAGGGATGAGCTTGAGACCTGGGGGAGGACGATCTCTCATGGCATATTTGATGATCTGAATGGCGGTAACCAGGACGAAAATGCCAGTACCAATGAACCACTTGTAGGTCCCAATGGCATTGACAGCTTGTTGGGATTGGAAAAGAACGTCGGAGGTCTCGTTGGCATTGAGGTAGCTGGAGATCTGGGTCATGATGACCGACGGCGAGATGGAGGCCGCCATTGTGAGGCAAAAGCAAAAAAAAGGAACTGCCCTTGCAACTGACAATTGCAAGAGAAGCAGAAACCAAACGAAGGGAAGTGATGAATAGATATGGAAGGGGACAACAAAAGGGGATGGATCCTTTGGGGGGGTGTGGGCGTCAAGGAGTCGGTAATATATTAGGGCCAGCCATAAGGCAATGCAGGCTTGGGCTGGGCCACCATCATGCAATTATTCAGAAGCACCAACGTGGATGATGTGATAGGCGCATCAGGAGGGCGCAGCTTACGATCAGGACTGCAGGACTGGACTGGGGGGGCAAGCGTGGGCGCACAAGAAAGTCAGACCTTTTCTCCGTGGCTAACAGGTTTGTGTTTCTCTGCTGCTCAGGACTCAGGAGGCGGGCATTCAGGTGGCCTCAGCCGCTCCATCATCAGCGTTGAAAATTGGACGACAACGATACATTAGCCCACGTTAGGCACGACTAGCGGCTGTCAATCATAACACGGTCATGCCGAAAAGAGATCAAGGGTGGATCTTGGCAGCTCCAATTTTGGAACATGAGCGGTACAGCCACGGGGGATCCACTGTGTTCCCCTGATACTGGTACTGTACAGCCCCTGAGGCCACTTTGCTAAGATTGGCATGTCCGTAGTGGCGCTAGGTCGGTATTAGGTCTAGCGTCTCCGGCTCAGGCTGGACATGTCCCCTTTGAGGTGGTGGTCACATGACCGCTGACTTGACCCAATACCATCTCAATACCAGCTCGATACCAGATTGATGTTGTTTAATCTTCCGCCGCTACACAACGCCACCAATAACACACGTCAACTTTTGAAACATCGTAAAACCTTGGATGCGAACATGCGGTCCAACGATCCCCTCTATCTCGTGTCTCCAAGGAGGAGCCAGAATGTCATCATCACCAGACAACGGCTTCAAAGCAGGCCACAGTATATGACCACTTCATTCTCTAACAAAGCCTTGGGAATCTTGTACCGAAAGCAGTATGCTGACAGGAGGAACGATGGATTTAGACTCGCTCACTTACTCTCTCGAGTTTGATTCCAGGAGGATCAAATTGGACCAGTCTCTCCACCACAACAATTGAGTCCCTCCAGCTCCACAAGCACCGGAGCCCCAGACCTTCGCGGTCTCGTTTCTTTGAACTTGCCGAGCTACCACATGTGGTAGTACCTAGGCGGTATCTAGGCGAGGATCGAGAACCTACTTTTACCATACTTCCTGACTACCCCCTGCCCCCAGAATAATGACTTCCTCGGAAATCGGGAACCGGGTCGGTTCTTGATAACTCGCAGTAATCCAGGCCAGCCTCGTCTTTTGCCAAGCGAACCACGTGCAAGGCTGAGTCATCTTGGCACCTGTCCCCCAAGCCAATGTTGGTTTGTACATACCGTGGGCCTTTAGCGGGTTTGGTCTTTGCATCACTCCTTTGCGAATGTCTTGCACTCCTTGATAACTCTGTCTCTAGGGATAAAATATGCGTGATCGCTGAATCCGGGCAGTTGAGGCAAGGGATTTCAACTTCATGCGAGTCGCCTGCAGGTCGGGGGGTTTTTCGCCAAGCTGACACTGGCCTCCTGGACTCGTCTCGACACAATCTTTTGCACCTACAATCCGGCAAGCCAGTCAGCCTGAGCCACTTCGTCGCTTCTCACTTGCTGCAAGGCCTTCACCGCTCAGCTCTCTCCAGCCAATCCCATGGTATCATCTTCCATGGAAACTCTCAGAGACGGTCTGGAGTCTGTGACTCTTCCCTACTGGCCAACTTGCAGAAACGCGCTGACCTGGTCGTCCGAGGATCTGGCTGTCGCGGCAGGTGAGCTGGTGCATATCCTAACCCCTCGCGATGCCTCCAAATCTCTGGGTGACCCCGGGCACAAGCAGTGGCACACGTTCACTCTCCGCGTCAATCACTTTCAGCAGTCAGAGTGGCCTTCTCAAGAACTGGCCACCATCACCCAGTTTTCCATTGGGGAGGAACTATCCGAGTCTACAGTTGTGTCACTTTCTTGGTCCCCAGCCGGTTTGGGTATCTACCGAAGAAGCGCCCTAGCTATTTTGACCTCGAATCTCATTCTATCGCTCTGGGAGTCTAACGGCAGACTTGGGGTTTGGCAGCGAACGGCAATTGTCAACCAGTATCTTCCCATTCCATCCAGCGGTGATGACACCGGCAGTTCCAGACGAAAACAACGAGTGCGTGCCTTCCACTGGCTGCCTGCACTCTCGCTTCCTGCGGGATCCAGGTGGGGCTCTCAGTTCCTAGCTGTGGCCGATGATGATTTCACAGTCTCGTTCTTTCATCTGTGGAAGACGAATGGTGCTGTATATGGACACTGGTCATACAAACTTCTTGCACAATACAAATTTCCCGGTTTCCAGCACTTGACTGCAAGTGCAATGAAGAAGCTCGGTTTGCGAACGATCCTAGCCCAAACCTCACCAATCTCAAAGTTGGAGACAAGTGAATGGGAGTTTGAAGGCGAAGCAAGTAAGCATTCCGGGACGGCAGCCCTGGATGTCAAGGTAAGTTTTGGCCAGTGCAGTGAGGCGAAATATCTGTCGCTACAAGTCAAGTGGATGGGTGCAGGTAATGGGAAAACCGAACCCACGATGGTGCTTACAGTGACGCCCGCGCAGTCGGCGTCCGGCATTTTGTCCTCAGAGACACCCACGCAAGGCCAATTTGAATCTGCGATACAGAAATCTCGTTCCGATTTCGATCGCAAATTCGGCCTTGATGGAAGGATCCGAGTCCATTGCTGGGGCACTGTGTTCTCTCCAGACCGCACGATTGCAGCGGCATGCATCTCGCTACATCCTTCAGACATGATCGAGTACGGCGCCCCCTCAAGTCAACGCACTACAGTTGTGTTCACCCTCGTACAGGAGCCAACGGTCTCCGATCACCTCCCCGAGAGTCCATCCGAGGCGCAAAAACGCATTCTTGAGCAAATCATGGAGTCATCCCTAGATTTGGTGAAAACGGACCTCGATAAACACATTGTGCGGACCGCTGCTGCCTTGATTAAACTGCAATTTAAAGATTCCTCGTCTCTTACATGCTGGGCAGATGATTTGCTCAAACTACTTCCCCCAAGAGCCTTTCCTCAAGATTCCAATGGCCCTGATCAGCGACAGCTTTATAATGACGCTGGCGACACCGCAGGCGCTGGATCTGGAGGTGAAGAAAGCGTTCTAGCCGATGAAGTTTGCGACCTCTGTGGCGAGATCATCCCGTTCTCAGCAGACCCGAGTCGAGCAAGATGCAATCGAGGCCATCAATTCAGCCGGTGCAGTCTTTCCTTCGTTGCTATCCAAGAGCCCGGCATTTCCATGTTTTGTTCTAAATGCGGTAGGCAATTCCTCGATCCCGGCAAGCTGGAATGCGTCGGTGGTCCGAGCTTGAGTCAAGCGCTGTTTGATTACTTCGATGTCTGCCCGTATTGCCAGGGCAAGTTCCGAGGCTGAGGCTGGAATGCGGCTCGATGAAGCCATTCTGTGTCACCATCTGAGATTGGAGCTGCGAACAGGTTTGCGCGTGCACGCCCGTCATCGCGTTGGCAGAAAGCGTTTTTTTTTTCGACTGTTCTCTTCTTTGTTCTCTCCGAAGAAGTCAAATTATCCAGACTTGACCGGATTCTGCAAAACTTCATCGCCAGTCTTTCTGGGAACAGAACTTGCCGCAAACGGCAAAATCTTCTTTCAACATGAACGCTCACCGCAAACATCTACCTAGGATGGAGGCGCTTAAAACAACCTTCAGCGATGAAGCTGAATTCGAACTCCTTGTTATCTCTCTGGTGGTGGGCATTCTGTACCCATGGTCTTCAATCCCTCAAGCCCGATACGAGTCTTTGCCCGCCAACAAGTCATTATCCATCGAGCGACTCCCAAACCTCACAAAGAGGGACCAAAAGCCAGTGTCGCCAAAAGGATCAACGAAATGACATCTGGTGACATGCCCCAATCCTCATCTCCAGCTTCTGGCTGGCGGGTAGGGGTTTCTCGCTTGATGCGACAGTCCCAGGATCCGCCACACCCGCCTCCGCCTCCCAAAGAAGTCAGCCGGTGGTCCAAAACAACCACGGAATCAGAGATATCTGACGCCTTTCCGGAACCGCCCTCCTCACTGCCAGACAAGAGACGGAGTTTTCTCAAGAGGAAGTCAAAGTTGAAGAGGCAATCAAAGGATACTGCAAACTCGAGTCCAACGGACCCGTTTTACGATCCTGTGACCAGGCAGCTTCAACCGTTTGGGGATGTCCCTCCCATCATTGCCACCGCTGGCGACGGGCAACCGAGAACGATGTCTACCTCGGACTCGGATGCCTCGTCTGAGCTCGACCAGACCAGCCCAGTTATCCACAGAGCAAGCAGCGTCCGTGTGAGCAAGCCGCATATCGTGCTACACAGCAACAGCTCCGGCGGTTCGGTGCCCAGGTTGTATGCTCCTCATTCGACCCCGACATCGACGCATGATGGGCCGTCCACGGCAAAAACATCGCAGACCTTGGGCGAAGACCTCAAACATCTCTCCAACTTGACCGATGTCGAGAAGAGCGAGGAACCTGTCGTCCCAGGCGGTCCAGGCGATGCTCTCAAGGCGCTTGAAGGTCGAGAAGAGCAGCAACAGAAAGAGGGCGACATCACCGCGCTCCCTCGGGTGCCTGCCGAAGTCAGCACCGAGTGCGGCGATACGATGAAAGAAACCATCCTCGAGTGGCCAGACACTCCGAGTCGGATTGAAGCACTCGACACCTTGCCCACACCTTTTGGCGGGTTTGGCTCTGTACGAGTGCCTCGGACATCCAACGCAACTTACTCAACAAGTGGAAGCACGAATACCACCTATGTTTCTCCTCCCTCTATCATCACAGACGGTCTCCGCGCGAATCCTCCCTCCGAGAATGACAAGAAACTCTCCCGTGCCATCTCAGCACCGGTGCGCAACCCAGCGCGTCGGGTGATGATCCGGCCCACGGATCTGATCATTAACAAAGGGGTCCACGACCATAAATTGTACCGTGAGAACATTGTCAGCACCCCGTACCCGGCAAGACACAGCAGCATCGGAGAGATTGACCAGATTGCTGCTCCCGGTGCACGGGCAACGGGAAACAAGACGCCCAAAATAAAGCGTTCGAGGCCACTCTCTCACCACACAGAAAAGTCGGCAGAACAAGACGGTGAGGGCGAGGGCGAGGGCGAGACCAAGACCACGAACCATGACGACGACACTACTGGTCAGGATATCCAGGACGACGACGAGAAACGAGACATGGCCCCCGGGATTCCCTTCTCCACAAAGCCCACACCCCTCTCACCAACCCCTGCGCCCCTGACAGCCAAATCCGACCGGTTCCCTTCGCCGTCGGCCCCGGAAATCCTCTTCCTGGACCTTCGCTTGGCCCGTCACCCGTCCGCCCGGATTACAGTGGAGATTGAGGTGACGGACAAGGCGACCTTTGATGACGAGCAGCTATTCACGATGGTGCGGCACAGCTACGTGACGAAGCTAATGGGCCGAGGGAGATGGTGGTTCTGCGCCCGGAGCTTGGAGGCTGCCAGCACGGGTATTGCTCAGTGTTTTGATCCAAACGTGCCATTCTGGTACGGCCAACCGCAGCATCTCCGAACCAGCGGCAGTGCCACAGAATTTGACGGCGCCGATTTCGTGCGGCATCTCCTCAACCCGCGCGTTGGGCGCCGGCGGAAGACGTGGCTGCTCTGGCTCCGCAACCTCCAAAGCGTCGATGCACATGGCAACGACAATAGCAAGGACCACAACGGCATCGACAATGCCAATGTTGCGAGTCCAGCACGTCGCACCCGCGGCCGTGGCCGTAGATCCCACTTAGCCCAGCATGATGGCTACGCGCAGGGATACGGTCATAGCCCACAGCAGGGAGACGGCAGTGCAACGAGTCCGGTCTTTTCGTTTATGCATTCGCGCACCAACAGCGACGGCATCAGTAACAACAATGAGGCCTCGTCCGCAATACAAGCCAACAGTCTCAATAACATGGCCAGAGCAGGTGCAGGTTTGGGGTCAGGCGGAGGACTCGTCGGGAAACAACCCTCAGTGTCTCTCCCCCGAATGCCCTTCCAGCCGTCCGCCATGTCGTCGTTCCACCGAACGAAATCCCTCGCGGCCCATGCTTCGGCAACTACCATGCCCCTATCCTCCTCCCCGTCGACCATCTCTTCACCATACACCGCGAATCCTTACGCATCATACCTATTCCACCTTCAACAGCACCAACCACCACTGCTGCCGGTACAAAACCAAGGTCCCCCCACGATTCACCTCCACCACACCTTCTCGCTCCCCTCCATGGCCATCTTCACGTTCGTGCTCCTCATGCTCTCAGTCCTCACGACCACGTTCTGGATCCTGTTTGGCTATCCCGGCCGCAGCGCCGCCGCAGGGAACGGCACCACGACGGTCGCGGGCAACGAGTACGCGCTGAGTTGGCGGCGCGACGCCCAGGCCCGCGTCGGGGTCGGGCTAGTCATGGGCGTGGTGGTCCTCTTGCTCGGGGCAGGCTGCGAGGTGGCGTGGGTCTGGACGAGTTGGGTTCTTGTCTAGAGGAGGTAGCTAGCCAGATCCAGTACCAGGGAAGGAGATTATCAGACGAGAAACGGGTGAGCGAAGAACTCGAGATCTCGGGCAAGGACCTAAGAAAAGAAGGAGAAGCAGGGAGAGAGGGTAGAGCCGATACAGCCACAGAAGGTAGTAGAGAGGGGCGAGGTCGTTGGCTCTTTCAATAAATGTACTCGGCTACTCGGTACTTCACACACTACACACGAGTAGGTACGAGGTACCGAGTACACTTCATTACATACAGACAGCGAGTGTACCGAGTACTTGTACCTAGGTAGCGAGTAGTTAGCTACATGACTCGTACTTGCGTCCACATGTACGTACATGTACCTACACCCAATTATTACGGATTGAAGCTCGCTCGATGAATGCTCCTCCACCCGACCGTAATCTCGCCGTAATCTACTTTTTTCATTGTATATTCATACACACACACACACACACACACACACACACACACGGGATACATGTATACATCATCACAAAATACCTAGAACAGGTACACATATACATGTCCAAATGCACCAACGGCGTCAAAATTCGACGTGATATCGCGTCATTCAAATCAATCCTCTCTCTCTACACGGTCATCGCTTTCCCCGTTGTCACGTCTTAATTCAAATCATAATACTACACAGACACGCACACACATGCTCCAGTTGTCCGTGATACGTCACATCGCTAATCCTAATACGTTTAGTTGATCATATATCTAGTAATGGTTCCATCATACAGTGCTGTACTGCTTCCCAAAATAAACTTCTACCACTGTGTCCAGCGGAAAAACCGAGTCTGCACCTATGCTTTGACAGTCATCACTTCGGCCACCCATTCTGTCGTTGTCGCCGTCGCCGTTGACTTCCTCATTCCTGTGGGCTTGCCCTTTTCCATCTCTGATTGCGCATCCGTTCCCACCAACTTCCTGTCAGACTCGATTTTCGGAGTCAGAGAGAGATCCGGTGTTTCAAAGAATGCCGCTGAAAACTCCGGTTCGAACGTCAGTGCTGCCGTCTTTCCACTGCCTGAAGGTGACGTGGCAGTCGGCAGAGTGGTTGCAGTGCTAGCTGCTGAAGTAGGTGTTTCGTCCCTAGCGTCAGAGTCGGGACTATCTTCCACCTCTTCGTGTTGTGCGATCTGAGCCTGAGTGAGAGCACCAGGTAGACCGGAAGTGACGACAGGAGTAAGATTGACGTTGGAAATCACGGGTGTGGTGCCCCGGATAGGTGTAGAGAACATCTCTGGATTCGAATTCGCCCTTGATCGTGTGAGAGGGACACTCTCTAATATCTCGCTGGTCAAGAGTTGAGAATCATAAGTGGCCATCATAGGCACTGGTTCAATGAATGCGCGGTCCGCTGATGAGATCGGCTCAACCACAGGCGTACTGGTCGCAATCACCTGCTCATCTGCTGCTGCAGCGGCAGCAACGATTTGGTTCACGATACCATTTTCCCCAGACTCCAATGCCTCTCCGAGCAGAGGTTGGCTCTCGTGCGCTTCTCCTTCCGCTTCGGCGTCCTCGTCTTCTTCGGCGATCACGGTTGAATCGTTTCGTCGTCCATGTAAACTGCCAAACCTAGTAAACCGAGATGGTGTGGAAAGCCTCTTCATTCTTCGTGGACTCGAATTTGGCTGGCTGATCGGCTGCTTGACCGGACTTGACGAGGCGATGTTCATATCCATCGAGGACGTGTGCTCGTGCTCGGCGTGGTTCGTCGTAGGCCCCGAGTATGGTTCAATTGTCGCCTGGCGCGTGTCGTTTTCGCCCACTTCCATTGGGATTATGGGTATGAACTTGTGGCGACTTGCGTCAGAAGCTCGTCTCTCAGACGTCCCTGACGTTCGTTCAATCTCAAAGCTGAAATTTGTTCTCAAGTTTTCGTTTTCCAGCACCGGACTGAGTTCGCTCGCGTATCCCGAAGGCCGCTTCAACTTCCCACAACAGGCGCATCGAGCGTAAACCGGAGCACTGACAATTTCCTTTTCTTTCCCCTTGAAATCGCTTGGAATAATCAAAGAGAGAGGGCGAGTAGCCGGATCGGTCGAAGAATCTTCGGTCTCAATCGTCGCCCCGTCTACTTTGACTTCGTCGATCGCCTCGACTGGTGTCGCAGCCTTCTTCTGAGACTTGTCTGGTTCTTTGCTTTTGCTGAAAGAAAGAGTCCGCCTCCTCCCCTTTTTCAGTTTACTGGTGGTTTCCGCACAATCATGGTTGCTCTTATCTCTACTATTAAAGAGGGCCGTATGGATCGTAAATCGCTTCTGTTTTTCTTTTTCCTTCCTGGGTGATTCGGGAGGCGTAGTCTCCTTTGCTGGTTCGACAGGCGAATCTGTCACAGGTTTGGACTGAGTGTCATCGATTTGCGGGCTGGATTCGGCTGGGGTGACCTCCTCATCAAGTGGAACCTTGGGCTGATTGTGAGGATCGTCCGCCGAGTCCACGGCCGGGAACTTGTCCATATCCACAATCATTGACACTGGCGAGTCGGTCACTCTGGGCGGACTCGCTGGTCTTGATGACGGAGCACTGACGTTTGGTACAGAGTTGGAGCGCACGTTATGCAAACTTTGAGCGCGATAAATGCTGACTTCCGGCGACTCATGTCTCCCTCGTTCTGGGGAAGTGCTGACCTGGCTCTGCCGTGGTCTCGAGAAGTAGGACAGCGGATTGGAAACAATTTTCTGGGACGGGTACTGTAGCATGGTCAAGGAGCCTGTCCGTGTAATTTCTGGACCTCGGTAGGTAGGAAGTCCCCGGTATGTCGAAGATCCAGAGCTCGACGGACGGGAAGACCAGCCATTGGCGGACATGAATGCAGCTTGTGCAGATCCTCGAGGTCGAGGGGCGTGGATGATGCCGCTCGCATGGCCATGAGCCATATGATGGCCGTGGTGGTGGGCGCCATGAGTGCTGGATTGAGAGGATCTGCGATGAGTATTGGGGGTATGAGGCGGGGTTGGGATGTTCACGTTGCTCTTCCTCGAGATCGAGTTTCGGTGTGTCTGTGCCCCGTAGGCAGGAAGCTCATCCGGGGTTGTTGGAGGAGTTGCATTGGTTGAACGTCTTGATCGAGATTGAGTTGAGGTCGATTTCGAGCTCGATTGACTACCCGTCTTCGAGGTAAGGGCACCATTATTAAGCGATCGAATTTCGGCGGGAGTCAGCTTGGTGACGTTGGCACTGTTCTGGGCTGCATGACGCTGTCTTTGTTTCAAGGACTTTTGCAACCTGGCCATATCAAACTCGTCTGCATGAAGAAAAGACACAAGGGTCAGTTAGTGTCGGACAAGGCATGGATAAAGCTGGTAGAGGGAGGGGGATAAACAGCTAAATAATAACGATCAAGAATGGCAGGCTAGGGTCGGGCAGGGCTGAGAAAAGCCCTATGGGTCCGTGAGGTCAGTAAACGAAAAATGGTTGGTGAAGATGCCAGTGGTAAAGCCAAACAAAACGTGATCTCTGCAAGGTAAGCTTCCCGACTGAGACAAAAAAGGCCACCCACCCGAGGGTTGTGCAGTCGCCATCGCCGGCATGGCTGGCGTTGGACGGGAGCTCTTCTGCGGGTAGAACAGTTCCGTCCAAGTCCGTCGTGCTTGTACGAGTAGGGACTCCGGTCAGCTGGGTGCGTTGACACAGGTAGTGGTACACTTGTGCGTCGGGCCCAGCCCCCTCCCAGGACACCGGACGGATCTTGGGGCTGAGGCGAGCAACGATAAAACGCGAAGGCTGCCCCGGTTTTACGCAAAATCGCAATCGTGGATGCAGGTCGTCGTCGTTGGCTTGCAGCAAGGCCGATGCCCGATCTGTCGAGAGGGAAACTGAAAACGGTGTTCGGATGCTGGAAAGGGGATCAGTGGTTGCGGTGTGGAATTGGCGACACGATCGTCGTTCCTAAAGTGGTGCTTTTGGCTGGGGGCCCTGTGGTACGGCGTCCAGAACGCTGGGTGATGACGGTGGGAGAGAATGCAAGGTAAGAGAAGTTGTTCTTAGGGTCGCAGGAGAGGCGTGATGTGTTGGACCAAAAAGCGAGAGTTGTTGAGATGCTGAAACGAGTGATGGGAAAGAAACGAAAGGAGGGTAGGTTGACGTGCGCGCAACCGATCAATTGATAGATGATGGGATGGATGAATGGAAGAATGCCGTGGATGGAGATGATGGTTAGAAATCGCAGGCGAGAGGGGCAGCAGTCACAGATATCCAACCTGGACCTGGACCTGGAGCATTGGTGTGGCTGCAACAAGAGACATGGTGTCTCGTCGCATTCTTGCCGGTGGACACTGAGATAGTGCCGGCGATGATTGATGGTCTGTACGAGGTATTTGAAGGGCGAAGTGTCGAATGACTCTTCTCTCTCTCTTTCGGTATCTTCCAGGTTCTGTTGTAAACAACTCTCTGACCTCGTATTCCTCTGTGTTTGTCCCTTCTCTTCTCTCGCCTTTCTGTTGTTTTTACCTATTTCCACCGCGCACTCTTTGCCCATGGCAATGGAGGATCGGCCCTGATTGGGAATGGATTGGCACCAAAGGCACAAATGGCGGGATCAGGTGGATGGAGCATCAATGGAGTCTTTCGGCGCGAGATACTAGCGAAGTCGTTGGTTAGGTTTTGGGGACTGTCTAAGCTTGCGGCGTCGGCCCTCCAATGAAATGTCCCTCAGGCTTGGTAAAATTGAGCCAACGCCAGTCCGCAGTGCGGGCCGGCACTCGTAGTTGAGGTAAGGGGGTGCATTTGGGGGTGCGCCATTGGGGAGGCACGGGAGCTCGCCACAACAAATAGTCGGGTACCTAGGCGGGCGTGGCGGGCTTGGGCCACGCCTAACTGGAATGAGGACGCCCACCGACGCCTATCCGGACTTTTCTACAAGTAACCTGTCGCTTAATTGAGCATCAAACGGGCGTCTGTGGCTCCCTGAGCACGTCCACTGGATGGCACCTCGAAAAGCCCCCAAAGCATGTCGAAAGTCCTTGGTACGGTGGGATAAAAAAGGAGTGAATCAGGTGCAGCAGCCTCACGGCGAATATTTTCATGCCTTGGACGAAAAATGCGACTCGTACATACATACGGACTGGGGAATTGGTTTCCGCTGTTAACCGGAACTGCGCCCAACTTGCAGCTGGTGGCAGTAATACTCGTAAGCAGCCTTGTTCCCTTGTTCGCTTGTCCACTTGTCCCCCTGCCATTTCCATGTTCACATTTTGATTTCGTTTCAGATCCCCGCAATGCCGCTGACGAGTCCTTCCCCATCGTAATCATTCCTCGTCAGGGACAATACGAGGTACTCGAGCAATGCTTGCGCGGCATCAACCACGAATCCTGTCATTTCTTGAACAAAGTCCATCTGGGCCTCTCACACTCTTACCGATCTCCCTCCCCGTTCTGATTTGTGTGCCTGGAAAAAGTCCGATAGATGGATACGTTGGCCACTCACCATAAGCCTTGGACAAAAGCCAATCTCGCCTCGTCCGCTTTGCTGACATTTGGAGTATCTGAGCTATCAACAAATTCGACACCTTATCATACTGAATACGAGTACCACAACGCACACAAACGCTCGCCCTGATATAACCGAGTACAGATCTTGTGCCACCAGGTTGCTCGGGGTACATCACCGAGTACCGTAGCACCAGAGGCACGCGATAACGCGCCGCCGCCATCACAAAACGTTTTGTCCTTGTCCAATTTCCGTATCTTGGATTTCTTTCGTCATCACAACAAATCCTAATCCGTCATCGATGCCTATACCATCCATCGTAAACAAGAACGTTTGGCCAACTTGGTCTTCACGGCAGCAGCAGTTGCCTTTGCGTATGCCATGCACACAACAAGAAGAGTCCTCCCAATTGCATTTATGTATCTCGTACACATGCCTCCCAGGACGCACATCATAGACGTGTCTTTACAACGCAAGCCCAGTGCCGTCACCAGTCCACCTATACAAGGCAAGCACCTCGCGTCTCCAATGTTGCTGCTCAGCCAAATCCTCAGGAATGCGACCTCGCACTTGTTGAAGGGCTGATCGCATCACCTTCCGAAAGTTGCGCTGTTCTCGGTATCAGTCGTCTGTCATGTCCTTTCAAGCTCGATTTCACTTACCTGATACTGGGTATCCAACGTGGCCACACACGCCTCGTGCGCTCGAACAATCGTCTCGCACGCCTTGACCACGTCGGGACTTACGTCGCCTTGTAATTTGTCGGCGAACAACAATAGCAAGAAACTGCCTTGGAGAAGGTACACGCCGAAAAAGAAGGGCATAAAGCTCAAGTCGGGATCGTCTTCGATGATTTCGGCCACTGCCTCCGCGGCACTCACCGCGTGTCCCGTGGCAGTCACAAATGATTGGGAAGAGATCCAGAGGTCATTGTCGTCGAGCAACGCAATCGGATCCCACTTGCCAGTCAACAGGATATGCAGCACGTGCATAATATGCGTCCCATATGCTACCACTGTTTTGGTCTGCAGGGCCAGTTCTGAAGCACTGTGAGAGTCATTCGTTCCGGCTGACACCACTGATGGGGTGACCACATCGTTATGGCTCGTATCTTGGAAATGTCCGCCAGATGCCTCGAAATCCTTCAGACTCTGTCCATATGTCTCTAATTGTTGAGTGATCTCGTCTGTATGATCGTCCCAGTTTTTAGCCTTGTTGGCTCTAGGTCCGAACCGTGGTCGGTTGCGGGCGTGATTGAGATCCAATATCTCTCCGAGAATCACCATCAGAGGTAGGAAATAGCCGAATACGCTGTGCGACGTGCATTCGATATTCAACCCTTTTCTCCGATGCGCTGGATCCGAAGCCTTGTCAAACCGCCCTGCCTGGAAAGCATCGTCATCCAATGGCTGCAGCAGGCTTTCACATTCCTTGTTCAAGAAAAACATGGGTCGGTTGTAACACAACGCTAGATGTCGGTCCTGCATATACAAGAGCCACCACGTCCGTCGTCGTTCTTCTCGTTCTTCTTCCGACACATAACCGATTGAATTGCGCCGGGTATCATCCACAGAGGTCTTTCGGTTCTCCCCTGAGTGGCCTTCCGTGTGATTGCTTGCAGGGTTATTCTCTTCGCCATCCTGCTCCGGCGGATTAGGGGGAAGCTCGCGACCTAGTCGAATTTCTCGAGCGAGTGACCAGGCCGCATTCCACCAACGAAGACTCGCTGCTTTCCGTTCGCTTGCCGAGACCACCGTAGCCAGGTGGATGTAGGTCGCCAGATTGTCAATCTGCGCCCGATCGACACCGTGACCTCCTGAGTGTGTTGGCACAACAAGCGCGCCTAGCCCACCGTCGTTAGCCCCCATCTGCGGATAGTTGGGGTTCGGCGTCGGGACTGAAGTATTTGGATGACTGTGAATTAAAGGTTTGAGCATGTTGATGGTGAGTTCCAACAGTCGTTGACAGATCCGAGCTCTGGCATCCAGCTGACTTGTTAAGAAAGCAGCATCACTTGTTTGCGCGGCGATCCACAACATGCTTGCTAGCAGTGCAGGAGTACAAGGGCGAGGGTCGGTAGGATGTAAGAAAGACTTCTTTCGGAATATGTAGCCTAGTATATATGGGTTGGCAGGCCTCAGATAAGCTGAAGTTGAACTTGTGAAGTACTGCTCTAAAAGATCGCATGCCAAAGCCTGGGGAATAATCGATTCAATGTGAGGCAGCAAAGGACGAAGCACGGGATATCTCAGTGTATCTGTAATGCGAGGCTGCGCCGGCAAGGGGTCGTTGATGAACATCGGGGACGTGAGCGCGAGCCAATCCGGCGACTCGACCATGGGTGCTTTCCCCATAAAGGCGACTGAATAGTCGTCTCCGAGCGGAAATCCAAAGCCTTGTACTGCCCCTTGTACATGTATCGAGTCGAGGGTGGACGGCGCATACGCCTGGCTGGGAACGGCAAAGTCAATGGCCTGACTTTGAGTGATTTGCGGAACCATGGACTGATCAATTTCGTGAAGTTGACGGGCAGCGGACATGCTCACTCCCGCAGAGTGATCAAAATTGGTGAAGAAAGTGGCCTGGTGATGGTTGGCGTCGAACCCAGCACTCGGGGGAGTATTGTTGGTAGGTAAGGAATTCCCATCCAGCATGCCATCGCGACCAGTGTAAGAAGTCGTGGAATACTTCCTGGGCCCGGCGGATTGACGCACTGCGGACGCATTGTTGGAGATTGGTTGAGCAGTATTGGCAAAGTTGGGTTCATCTGTGGTATCCGTCTCTTTCTTAGGCGCCCGGCCTCTTTTCTTGTGAGCGCGGGCATATTCGCAGACGAGAGCATTGTCGGTACAGTGAGCACACGGCTGTTTGCCATCGCATTTGGTACGGAGCTGGTTGCATTGATCGCAGGCTCGACTTATTCTGCGCCGAACTGCGGCGGTTTCGCTCGATTCATGAGGGTCGAGCTCTGACTCCCTCCTCTTGCGACCAGCCTGCAGATTGTCATTGTCGTAAGGCTTTGGTTGGGTTTGCAGCATGGAGGCGAGCTGCTGAGGTTGGGGGTTGATCAAGTCGGGCCGCTGAGCATAATCGTGGAATTCCGAGTATGAGTTGTGGGTTTGTGGGGGAATGCGGGAGAGCATGTCTGCAGGATTCGTCGGCGACAGAAGCACACAGCCACTGTCATAGCTCAAAAACTGGAAGTACTGTTGTTGTCGGGTGGATGATGACGCTCAGAAGAAGACCGTGACTGTTGAGGTAGTTGTCGACGGCAGGCGATCGGAGACAGCACCCGTATCCTCGGGCGTGAGCGGTGGGCGGCAGCAATGGTAGAGAGGACAGCGTGCGTGTGGAGAATAATTTTTCGCTCACATGAGATGATTGAAGGATCAGAAGAGGAGGCGGCACATGGGCGAGTCAAGCCTCGACCATGGCCATAAGACCGCGGGGGATTAGCAAGAGTCGAGGCTTGTAGGCGAGGAGTCGAAGCAAGGGCCTGGCATGCCTAGGCAATGGTTTTCTGGGTGGTTTCGGTGCTGGGAGCTGGGAGAAGACCGTGGGCTAATGGCATTTGGAAGATGGGGGCCCGCCCCGTTAAGTCTATCAAGTCTGTTAGGCAAGCTGGGGTAGGTGAGGGCCCAAGCATGGGCATCTCATTGGCAGGATTCATCCTCCCCTGGAGGCTGGTGACCAGTTCTGCCAGTACAGGGATGATCGCAACAAGAGGGTGGGGCTGACCATCAGTAACGTTCTGCCGTTGGGAAGCACGGCTACAGCGACTTGCTGTGTGTAATTCAGGACCCAAGCCCACTATCACTCTACACCAGAGTGATGTGAGGACGCCTCCTCGACTTGAGCAGAGGATATTCTTACTGGGAAGTGGATGAGACAGACAAAGATCCCAGTACCTGTGAGAGGGTGCGTACTCCAGCTGCTGTGTTGACTTGTTCGCAGCTTCCTCGTGGGGGATAGGTCGTCGCGATGCGGGGCACCCCCATCCCAGGCAGGTTCGGGCAGCGGTAAAGCACAAGCACCCTCCGTACAAACATCCCTACCACATTCACCACGCCTTACCTAGACCTACACTACCTAGAGCGTACAAATAAGGGAACCCCAGAGAGGTTTCGACCTTGGTTAGCAGCCATCACTAACCCAGCCGCTCCAACCGCCACCCACCGCCACTGCATCCACCGCATCATCATTTCTCTTCCTTCTGTCCAACCACATTCGCCTTTGACCATGTAACATTCTCGTGATCTCAATACTACACAAGATTTCTTGACCTCAGCCCTTTTCAGCAGCCACGAAGTGCCGACCTCTCGGACTTTGTGCGATCGACTTCTGTTCCCTTGGAACAGGATTCTTTGCCACTGCCGCCCGATCAGCAACATTGTGTGAAGGTTGCCTGCGAGTCATTCGCGAGTGATCTACGTCTATACGGGCGCGGTGGTCTTGTCCAAGTGCGATCATGTCCTGCCTTTATTCAAAATCATTAAAACAATGAGCTTCTTGACAAATTCTCGTTCTTCTCCAGGTTTTGCAACTGACGTCGGTTACTGCTTCTCTACCTCGTACAGGTCGGTGTGCCAACGACCGCTGTGATGTTGGTCGCTTGTGACTTGTCGAATGGATGCTCTTCCTTGCAAGCTTACCGAGTACGGAGGTCATCCAAAGGTGGAGCTTGACTCTGTGAAATGCCAGAAAGTATTGATATTGAGTAACCCGCACTTTCACGAACAGCGCCATACTAATCCTCTGCAGGATCACTCCCAACTCTGCCCTCCGCAATGCCCGCATGCGTAATCGGCCGCCGTTGTCCAAGTTTCCCCCCCAGCTTTTCTGTTTCGGTCGCAAACACTGTCATTTTCTCCTCACACCTCACATCTGCACTGTCTTTAGTGTACTTTTGCCGTGCCAGCTCACATTCACTGGTAGCGCCAAAACCTGCCGTTGATGAATCAGCACGAGGTATGTACCTTGGTACCGTGCCACCGTAGTCGAGTGTCCTCGAGAGTAGGGCATCAGATCTCCGATTGGGCGCAGTGGATGAGTCGAAAAAGGAAGAGCGGTGGCCAGATGCCTGCCCCGGTGGTGGATCAACATTCCATCTGCCACAGTCATAGCAACTGCTCTTCACTGAGCAGCGTGCTCGCTCAAGATCTTGTTCAGACCTTCTCGCTGGACACATTCGTCAAAGTGGAAACTATGCGCCAGTTCGTCCAACTCTTTGAAATCCATCCCCGCGAACTGTTTGGCAAACTCGTCCGAGAATTGGGCACTCAACCACGTCTGAATGACGGCGCGCATGACGTGCCTCTCCGTCTGCCACGGACCTGGATAGGCGTCCTTTGCCGTCGGACAGATCTTGTCAATCCACTCCACAAGGGGATCCAAAGCTGCTTCCGCCTCGGGCGAGTGATGGACCCCCCACGCATCCAACCGATATCTCTTTTTCTTGTCCAGGAAGGGTTGTATGGTACGGTTCCATTTCGAGTCCCGGTTCGTGTGGACCATGCCTTGAACGCCAATGTCCTTGTATAGCCAGATGCTCCAACTGATCCTATACTTGTCGTAGACCTTTAGCTGTTGGCCAAGCATATTGTACCGATCCTGATTGATTGCTTCTGCGTCTTTGTCTTCGGCCGGGTCAGCGTATACAGGGCCGAACTCCCCATTCCAGATAGGACATTTGTGTTCCAGCATGAATTCGGCTTTCCGGAGGAACTGTCTCTCGAGCTTGCCCTTCTGGTCTTCGGTGCCCTTGTAGCGCTCGCCGGTAGGGAAGCCCATCATCTGTTGTCTCTATTAGTACGCGGCGCAAGCCTCCTCAGTTTTACCAGAAGACGTTACCGAATAGTCATGTAAAGCGTATACACAATTCGGCAAGACCTCGTCGAAGCCCTTCCACTCCATGGAAAAGGTGTTGCCGTCCAACCACAAGATGTGGTGACTGTCGACGGCGCGGATGGCCGCTTCGATGCGCGCGTAGAATGCCGGGAGGCGGACGTGTTCGGGGTCGCAGGGCTCGTTGAGCGGATTGTACCCGGCCACCCAGGTGTTGTCCCTGTACCGCTTCGCAATCTCCTGCCACAGCCAGACCGTCCGGTCCTGGTGGTCCTTGTACTCCCAGAAGGCGGCGTAGTTGGTCGGGTTGTCCGAGTGCCAGTCCGGGTTCTGGCCGCCGGGTGCGGTGTGCATGTCGAGGATCGTGTAGATCTGGTGTTTTGCACACTATCGTAGATGAAGTGTGATAAAACAATGATCTTAGCCCGGTGACACTCTTCTTTTTTCTTCTCGAAACAGCCCGTAAAAACTGCAAATTGATCTATAGAACCCCCAACGCCGCGCTAGACTCAAGACTCGACTCACCAGATCAATCACCCTGTCGAGATGCTTGAACCCCGACTCCTTCAGCACCCGCGGATTCATGTCGTCCTCGAGATGTCGGTAGTTGAACGGAAGCCGGAGACAGTTCAGGTTGAGGCTGGCGAAGAAGCGCGCGTCGGCCTCGGTGAAGTGGTATTCCAACCACTTGTCGAAGAAGAAGTCGGCCTTTTCTCTCCCAAGGACTTTTGCCATCGAGGCGCGGTGCTGGGACTCGTGGCCCGGGTATCCGGTGATGAAGTTCTCCATGCTGCGTCAGGCGCGAGGCCATTGAGCGTTGTTAGCTCGTGCGTGACTCGGTTGCTCCTCTTCCCTTTCTATTGGGGTTTCTTTCGTGGTGGGCGGGTAGGTAGGTAGGTAGGTAGACACAATGGCGTGGGTATATGGAAGGGCTTCTTGACATACTTCATCCATCCTCCGATCGCTGTCCCTCGAAGGACCACTTGCTGTCCATTGCCGTCGACCACCTTGTCACCCTCGACCCTTAGGTATCCCGACGCCATCTTTGTACCTCGGACTTGGTGGAAAAGAGAGGTGTGTAGGTGGGTAGATATGGTCTTTGCCTTTTGAATCGTGCTTCGACAGAGATCCCCTGCTTGGACTCACCTTGTTCACTACCTTCCGGGTAATATAAGAGAGGGAGAAAGAGAGGGAAAGGAGGGGCAAGAGACAGTGGAGGGGGGAGGGGGATGATGTGTTAATGTGTTTCCGGTAATATGCAATATGCAATATGAAATATGCTCGCTCGACAGAATCCCCCCAATTACTTCCCCCTTTTGCTTCCCATCCCATCCCACCCGCGCATTGATGAGCGGATGGATATATGGTCCATATTACCAACCAAACGGTAGTAGAGGCCTCTTTGCCAGACCCTTTTATGCACGGTCTCCCCCCCCCCCCCTCCAACGTACAAAAGCAGACTTTCTTCCTTTCTAGAGCCAGTAGTGAGAGTGAGAGAGAGACTCTGGTTCCTGTACAGTGACACCATCAGTACCACAGCCTACCACCACTATCTTCATATCAAGATGCCATCAGTAAGTATATCGAATGTACCAGTACACACACAGACACAGACACAGCTACTACTGCCAACGGGTGCCCGGAACCTGCGCACCTGTAACCTGTTGAGCCAGGACCCAGCCAGCCAGCGATTCAGTCAAGTCCGGCTAAATACCTTTCCTGTCAACATCCGCCTGATATACGCGTGTGAGCGCGTCACGCAGCAGTTCGACTGGTTGAAAAAAAGAAATGAGAACCGAGCAGCTCCCGCGCATTTAGCCGTATATTTGCTCTTGGCAAGGACATGATCGTACCGAGTACATGGACCTAGATCCAATCATATGATGGACAAGGCGGGATTGCCGTGGTGGGTAAAGTAGGTACCTAGTGTATAAAATTCTTCGTTTTTCTTGCGATCGACAAGGCTGAGAGCAAGCATGAACGTGCATGCTGGGATTTGCGACGTTGCCTTATATACCAAAACACCAGGCCGTCCATGGCGGATTGGTTCCAAGCTGTCGAGTGCACGCTACAGCTATCCGACGATCGTCCTGGATCGTGCACAAAACCACCATTCTGTCTTCTTACAGAGGCTATATTATACCAATTTTCTTGTCTACTACTGGTCGAGATAGTAATTGACGCTATAGTTCAGCCACGCACACTGGGGCAAATCGACAAAGCCCCCGCTCACCGCGGGGTAGTCCAAATGTTTAATCGGCCCGGTGGCATTCGACACCTTCTCCCATGGCCCGGACTCCTGGACGCCCTGCAAGGTCCTTGTGTACCCCCTGGCCTGGAGGTACGGGACCGGCGGATTCGGCTGGCCGCTCCTCACAAATTCCGCAAAGTACCCACTCACAAGCTGCACCGAGTACAGATCGTTTGCGTCCCGGAGGGGCACGTAGAAGTTGCCAAACGCCCAGTCCATGTCTGCGCCGTGCAGCTTGAAGTAAGGCAGGTTGGGGTTCCCGTGCGGGTAGCCCGGCGTGATTGGTGCGCCAGGGACGTTTTCCGGGTTGTAGCCGTTGATGGTCCGTTCGAACTGGTAGTAATACGCCGCTGGGAACGTGCCGGTCTCGGCGCCGGCGTAGACCGTGGCCTGGTCGATGCAGCGGAAGGTGCTGTCCGTGGCGACCCGTTGCGTCACGTTGAACGAGTCGAACGTCATGTTGCCCGTGTCGTGGTAGGGGAACAGGCCGGACCGGATGATTGCCTGCGCGTAAGACGCATTGATGCCCAGACCGGTCATCAGCCCTTCGGTCTCGTTGTGCACGGGAGTCGGGGAGATGGTGGAAAAGGAGGCGCCGTCATTCGCTGCAACGCCAAACATGATCGGCACGTAGGCGCTGCCCGCACTCTTCTGGACCACGTTGAGTTGCGACGAGTTGACAATGGTGCCGTCTTGGACGACATATCGAGCAACCGTCTCCAGGCTCACCAGATCCGTGGCATTGACCTCTTTCAGGCACGCGATCTTGCCACTCAGCGATTGTTGGGTACAGTTTGACGCGTTGAAGATCTGAGGCCCAGCGACCGTGTATGATTCGTTGACGGTGTAGTATGACGAGTAGGTCGTGCCGTAGTTGCTGTCGAGACCAAGAGTCACACCGCCACCCAGGTTGGACATGGCTATTGCGCCCTGGAACAGCCCGATGGCTGGGGGACTGCCGAGGAGGGTTCGGACGGAGCCAGCTCCGGCGGATTCGCCCATGATGGTGATTTTGGTGGGATCGCCGCCGAACTTGGCAATGTTCTGTACGGTCCAGTTCAAGGCGACGATCTGGTCGCCAATACCAAAGTTTCCGGTGATGTTGGTGCCGGGAATCGCCAGAAACCCCAGCGTGGACAGCCGATAGTTGATGGTCACGACAACAATGTCCTCGCGAGAAGCCAGATTACCCCCGTCGCTAAGCGGATCTGCGCCTGTGCCACCGGTGAAGCCTCCGCCGTGGATCCAAACTGGTTCAAGTCAGCTTCAACACGAAACCTGATGTCAAGAAGACACAAGATACTCACACAAGACGGGTCTCAGGCTCTTGGATGATCCGGCCTTGGGAATATATGGCGTCTGGATGTTGAGAAACAAGCAGTCTTCACTTGTACCATTCACGGATGCCTGTGAACACTGGGGCCCATATGCGGTTGCATTCACCGTATTGCCCGTTCCACTGTATGAATGAGAGTATACCCATCGCTGTGGAGGATCCGCATATCTGATGCCCAGGAAACGAAACGATTTCTGGTTTCGGTAGCCGATATAAGTATTTCCTGCTGCCGCGACGACCACCTGGTTGGAAGAGCTTGCCGTCGAGTTTGGAGGCTGACTTGCATTGCTTGATTGGGTGCAAAGTACAGGCAAAGCTGAGTCGCCCTGTGGCACTGTGGGAAAAGAGAGCTGTGCTTGATCCGAGACCTGCAAGCTGCCACCGGCGATGTGATACGCCTGATTTGGAGACACTCTTCCAGAGTATGCCAGGTATGATAAGGCGGAGGAGAAATCACTGCTGTAGTTCTGGATGATCGTCTGGGTCAACAGTGTCTCGCTCAACTCTTCACAAGCAGCCGACCCAGCGGATGCCGACATCGGGTCAAGCAAGATAGCGCCGACATGGTTCACATCGTCTGAGGCATTGAGGTTGTTTTGGAAGACATAGGTCAGTGAGCTGCCGGTGTTGGACACGGCGACGTTGGCCCGGCGAACAATATCCTGAGGATGACCAAAGCTATACCCAACGAGCAATCCCAATGGCATCAGGACCCGAAAGAATGAGGCCATGGTCATCACAGGCTGTCGGTTCGAAACATAGAGCAGCTAGAGGAGATCCAAGGTAGAAAAGACACTCAACACGTCTGGGCAGTGTGATCTTCTTACCATTATCATACTGAGTTCGACGAGAACACATTCCACCACCGTCTGGACACCAGCTTCCGTCTGGCCGTAGGCACAATTCCAACAATTCATGCTATTTCAGGGCGGACTCCGGTCGTGAAGCCCAAGCTCCTCACAGTGCCATTCCAGGTCAGGAAGGCAGATATTGCACCCTCCCCCGAGGTCTGGGTCAAACTGCGGAGGTGATGCGTCGACGCCGGTTGAATGCAGACACGGTCATTGTGCCCCTTGACCCTTGAGTCGACACAGCCATTTGACGAGAAGGCAATCTGGCATATTGCCGTGCAGGGGCTTTTGAATCTCTTGTAGAAGAGTAGTCGATGACGGCGACAATATGCGAGGTCGACATGCGGCGATCGACCACGCCGAGATTTAGGCTGAATTGCGGTGGCATCTCATTGGCCATGGACACAACAGCCATTTGCCAAAAAGAGCACCAGAGGCGCCACTCGCTTCCATAATCGGCGGGCATTTTCCTCGCAGGGATTCTCCCGAGGATCCAGAATCTCCGCATTTGACCACGCCTTTAGCAAGATGGCTAAATGTTCTGTGCGAGGTGAAGAGGCTCTGGGGTGAAAAGACGTCTGCGGCTGAAAGGGAGAGGAAGCGTGGGTTTGACCTCGACGTTTAGAACAATTAATCTCAAAGGTATGTCGTACATGCTCTGAAAAGCTACAAGGCACATTCGGCAAGTCGGGCTTGATCCAACAGGCCATGTCGGAGGCTGTAAATGGCGCCAGGCGCGCAGTCTCGTTACCGTTGCCTGGAGCCGATCAGCGAAGATCTATACATGGCATATATGATATTTGTGCCCAACTCCTTGAGACTAGGCGAGTTCACCTGTCTATACATAACTGGATGAAATTTCCATGTTGAAAAGTCTTCGGTCTCAACCCTTACAACAGCGCCAGCCTCGTCCAGGGACACAGGTAGCCAGGCGCTTGCTGATCCTGCCAGGTGCCGTCGATATTCCTGCCAGCCACAGACAGTAGCGATGAAGATGTCTCTCATGGCTTCGACCCGTGTCCCTCCTGAAGGCCAGTATCCGCCTCCATGTGCGCTTTCTCTTCCAACGTCGTATTCGAGCAGACCGAATTGGCCTGATTCCTATCACAAGCCTGAATGCTTTATCGATATTGCTCGCCTGTGTGAATGTGGCCAAATCACAATGCCCAGAGGGCCTTCCTACACGTCCGTTATAGGCAACGTGTTGCAAACTCATCTTCGATGCAAAAAGCTATGCCTAGACCAGATTGACGAAAGGGAAGTCCTGCGTTTTCCCTCAAGACCGGAGAAGGGGTAGTACAGATCTAGGACTTGGTCGAGGCTGACTGACAACTTACAACTCATACCGTTGACGCCATGTTGATCCATCTCATCGATCTTTCCCCTCAACGAGACATGGTATCGGCTCGTCGCGATGCAGAAGTGCAGAGAGGTTTTCATGGAAGCCGCTCTAGGCACTGGAAACTCCCCTTCTTCAATATTTCTATTGGATGGATTCGTGGTCTGCAAGTGATCTACTCTCAATGGACAGGGTGGAAACAGACCTGGATCTTGGAGAGATCGAGATTCGGCGCTGAAGTCGGTGTAACACACACCACTTCTTGCTTACCCTGGCTGGGCCTTCCACAGAACCTCAATGATGATGAAGAGGGATGGAGTCCTTGTATTTGAGCCATTTTTTCTTCTGGAACATGTGCTGAGACGGGGAGCTGGTTGTTGGTGGTGGGAAACTTCTTGATAGTCCTTTTCTCACGCACGGAGTGATATTGGTCCTCCCCCTGGCACATTATTACCCTAGTTGTTCCTGTCGTTGTCTTTGTACACGAACCTATATGATGACGGAATAACCTTTTCCGACTCAAAACAAGCATACACTTGCTTCGGGAGGATCACGATAGTATCGGTACAAGTACAGCACGCCACGCCACGCCACGCCACAGTACATACGAGTACAGCCTCGTCATGGCTCTCGGGGGATGCTACAAGTACTCGATACAAGCATGCCTTGTGGGGTTTCGGTTGATCTTCGAGGCGAGGGGTCACTACTACTAGGGGCAGTGTGAACTGATTAGGCTACGTGAGTGCAAGTAATTACAAGTTATGTCAAGACTAAGCCGGGTTGGCCAGTTGAACCTGTTTGGTGCCCGATATTAGCCAGAGCCGTTTTTGCTTGTACTTGAGCTTGTGCTTGTAGTGGAGATGGTCTGGGGGAGAGGAGGAGGAGGAGAGCGTCACTCCACGGTCTGGAGTTCCGAAGTTCATCCAGCATGCTACATGCTCCTCGTAGTGGTGGTGGCATGCTTGCAATGCAGAACCTCGTGCAGCCGACACCAAAGAAACCCACCGGTGTGGTCTGGGGGTGTAGATGTGCTAGTGGGATGTGGGATGGAAAAGGGGACACGGGGGGGCAGGGGGAATTGTCACGGTTCATCTTCGGTTCTGGCAAAGTCATTCATGCATGACAGAAGACAGAGAATCGGATCGGATGTGCCGGGGGGCGGCGTCCCACCCAGAAGCTTTCCCAAGCTTGTCTGTCTGAAAGGTCCAAGGGAGCCAAACCATTCCAGTTGGAAATTAGTTGTGTTATTAGTGGTGTACCTACTCAATGCACGGACCTGGATGGCGTCGTCTCATTATCTCCCTCCAACCGATTGTCCCACTCCAGTTTATTCCTGTACGAGCACTTCAGAGACAAGCCCGTCGTCCAGGCTCTACACAAGTACCTCCAGACGAGGTACTGGGTATAAACAGCCCCATGCCACAACAAATCATGCCGAACATACCGAGCACGGAACGCCCTGCAGTGCCTCGCCGACAGCATAGTATGCCGGTTTACGCTTTTGTGCCCGACAATGACTCGTTAGCGTATGGACTCTTTGCTTCTTGAAGAAGAAAAAAAAAAAAAAAAAAATGAAGGGTGGAGTGGCATCAATCCCTCTTCAGGTTAAAGGGGCTGGGAGAAGTTGCTTAGTACTTACCCTAAAGTCAGCATCGTAAAGGTCCGCCAGGCCCTGTCCGGGAAAGCTCGAGGGAATCCAGCTGGAGTCACCAAGTCAGTCTCACACATGCGTTATGTACAGACAGAAGGGGGGAGAAACTGAAAGGCTCTCTTCCATCGTACCTGTATTGATCGTCAAAGTCCCAGACCGTGATCCCGACGCACCCCTCCACCAGGATACAGCTGGCCGTCGAGTTGTAGTACTCTTCCGCCTGTAGGGCAAAGGCTGTGGCGTTGGTCAGATTGGCCTGGGAAAACCGGACGTCGAGTTCAGTGATGGCCACCTCGACCCCGGCGGCGATGTAGGCTTGTTTCGTAGCCACCTGCTCCTCCAGCGAGGGCGTGTCGCCGACCACGAAATGGCTCTCCAGCCCGACGCCGTCGATGCGGATGTTCCGACTCTGCAGCTCTTGGATCAGACCCAGCACCGCCACCGACTTGTTCCCAGACTCGATCCCGAAGTCGTTGTAGTACAGCTTTGGCTTTCGCGTACCAGCCGGTAGGGAGTCGACGGCCTCCTCTGTGCCCATTGTCAGTCTCGGCGAGCTTTTTTTGGTCAGATTTCAACTTACGAGCAAACTGATATGCCAGGAAAAAGTACTCTGGGCCGATCACGTCGTACTAACCACCCCCCCAAAATCAGTTTCTTGGTCAGAGTCTGACAATGGAGCGACCCAAATACTGACCCAGATACTGGAAGAAAACGACCCGTTGGCAGCAATAGCCTCGTTGACCACGTCCCAGGAGTAACAGGCGTCTCCAAAGTGGGTAATCATGGTCTGGATATGGTTGTGCATGACATCCGTGAGTGTATCTGCCGTCCAGCTCCCGTTCAACACCCATTCACTGACTTGGCTGACCCAGACCAGGTTGTGACATCTCAGGTATTTCCCATGGTCTTGCGCAATGGCCACGTCAATGTCTCCACCCGTGAAGTTGAAGACGCCGGGCCCTGGTTCGCTCAGCTCGAACTTCATCATGTTCGCCGGCGTGATCTGGCCGAAGATGTGCGTATTGTTCAGGATCTCTTGGTAGAGGATGTTGGTGTCCTCGCCGGTTCCCTGTGTGTCCCCGTCAATGTTTGAAGCCCTCTCTTTGTGCTAACACTGATACCCACAGGTTGATCGGTCGCACTGCCGAACCACAGCTTGCCAGCAGCTTGTGCCAGATCATTGAGGAAAGGCGGCGCCAGAGGCTCAAAATACCCAGAGCAGGACGCGGGGGCAGACGATGCCGGTGCGGGTGAAGCGGACGAGGTTGTCGTCGCCAGAGGAAAAGCAGGAGGAGGACCAGGAGGAGGCGGTGGCGGACGGGGATAGTGTCCATGTGGTGACCATCCTGGTCCCGTCGGAGTCGCGAGTCCAAGAGCCGCAAGGACCGAAACAACAGAGGCAAGTCTGGACAAAGCCATACCGAAGTCACAAGCAAACGAAGGACAAGAAGGATGAAAAGACAGCTACACAACAGCTTGAATCTCCTTTCAATTGCTCAAACCTCCAGCATATTCACCACGGCATCTGTCCATTCTCCCGCATGTTTATATACCATGCCGGTAAATAACCGCTGCGGCATCCTCACCAGGATTCGAAATTGGCATATACTCGATCAGTCAGTCACACCGACCAGACGGCAACATTACACACGTCCACAGGATGTTCAATCTCTGCGATATCAACCGGAACCCCGCAACAGCAGAGCATGTATGTATGTACTCGGTACCCCATACACCCCGTAGTCGACAAAATAGAACAAGACAACTTAGAGACCTTCCGTATCTGGCGACGATGGACTCGATGAATGGTACGGGGAGAATTCAGACGGTAAGGGAACTGCGACGCATGCAGGGCGGGTTAGCGAATCTGGCAGCATTCGACTGAGAGCCCCCGGTGTTCCATCTCCTTTACCAAGACAGCCTCGTGGACATTGGCTCCATTTGTTGCTATTTTCCCGGATGGATGAATACTGAGACCGGACCCGTCCATGAGTGATGCTGTTAATCTTTTGCCTAACTGTCCCATTCCCTTTCTATAACATGATTGATCGCAAAAATGGTCTGATCCAGTGTCCAGAAGAGGAAGCTCCTTTCTAAGAGCTGCGTGGCGATCTTCCATCCATCTCTCCGTCCACATTCATCCCTCCCTCCACTCCCCCCCGGATAATAGGATAAAATACCCATCAACTGGCTGTTTTGTCCTTTGCCCGAAGATCCTCCACCCGCCCCCCTTTTTCAGGTATACTAAGCTGAACCCATCCGTTCCCCATCCGAACCCATTCTCGTTCCCTGACATGGCCTAGTCGGTCCTAACTGTCTGATCCACACCATGGGGTCTGTTTCCTGGAAATCCCACAATCCTCTCCTCGACTCTCCTCCCCTCCACACTCCCATCCACCATATCTGCATGCCATGTGCTCAGAATTTGCCCAGAATTTTGCCGCTAGATCAATCAGAAAGAGTCCCAGTCCCAGTTGGGCTCTGGAATGGGTCACAACACCCCATGTGGTCCTCTTCCTCCGTCCGATTCTGATCACCTTTTTTTTTTCTGCTTAGAGCTCGATTCATCCCGAGAGGCTGATGTCGCCGAAGCTGCTGCTACTCCCTGTCTCTGCCACCGCCCGGTAAAACTCCCTGGCTCTTTTTCGGCTTCAATCTCCAGCCTCGGATCTCCCTGGTCGATATAGATTTGAGCGCTCAGACCATGATGGTTAGGCTAGTGGGCGGCCTCTTTATCCAGCCTTTCGCCTCGGACTTGATCGTCCAATCCAGACCAAACTTGGATCCACCGTTATGGCAACATTTGTGCTCTCATCCGGCCTGTCCAGTCAGCCATTGGTTCCTGCAGCCCTGGTCAGCTGTGATGCCAGACTTTCTAGAACGCTACCACTCGAAATGGACGCGGTAGCATTTCAATCACGGCCCTTTGGGTCCCTTGGGGGGAGATAAAACCTGCACCGTAACGAGTGCCACCTTGTTGTATAAAACATTGGCCTTTCCTCCCTGTTTTCATCCTTCGTTCCCCCTTCTCCTTCATCACGACTATCTCGTAGATACTGTCTCTACAGACTTGTTACCTCCCCTAGAAGCCCCATCAGCAACCAGGATCTTCTTGCCATCATGGGGAAAGGATACTTTGAGCTGGCAGGACGCCAGTTTCCTGCTGTGACGTGGTATAAGGATCCGGCGTTGAGAAAGACCTATATCTGTCTCATGTTTGTGGTTCTTACCAGTGCCACCAACGGGTGAGTGTCTCTTGTCTGACTACCAAAACGCGAGTCTTCGTCGTTGACTTGTATATCACAGTTACGATGGCTCCATGATGAACGGTCTCCAGACTCTCAAGCCGTGGCAACAGCATTTTGACCACCCGAAAGGCGGCAAGATTGGTATCTTGAATGCCATCATGTCGATCGGTTCCTTGTCCGCCATTCCCTTTGTGCCATACGTCGCCGATTTCCTCGGCCGTCGAATGGGTATCCTCGTGGGCTGTATCATAATGTTGGTCGGTGTGGTTCTACAATCCATCTCGGCGGGCTTTGGCATGTTCTTGGGCGCTCGATTCCTCCTCGGTTTTGGAATCGCCATCGCCCACGGTTCTTCTCCTCTGTTGATCACCGAACTCGTGCACCCTCAGCATCGAGCCATCTTCACCACCATCTATAACACCACCTGGTACGCCGGGAGCATTGTTGCGGCGTGGCTGACCTACGGAACCGATCATATCAACAACAACTGGTCGTGGCGGATCCCCACCATTGTCCAGGCCGCCCCGTCCTTGATCCAGGTCACCTTCATTTGGTTCGTGCCCGAGTCTCCGAGATGGCTCATCGCGCACGGGAAAGAGGAAAAGGGCCTGAATATTCTCTACGACGTCCACGCCAACGGCAACCACAACGATGAGATGGTGCAGCTGGAGTTTGTCGAAATCCGCGACACCATCCGACTCGAGAAGGAGGTCGAAGGGAACCAGTGGCTCGAACTGATCAAGACCCGAGGCAACCGGCGCAGGCTCATCATCTTGTTGTCTGCCGGTCTCTTCTCCCAGTGGTCTGGCAACGGCCTTGTCTCGTACTATATCACCAAGGTAAGCTGGCCGCGGGCCGTGTCCGTCAGTGATACATCGGTGCTAACAATTGTGTTTCTAGATCCTCAACAACATCGGCTACACTGATACCCTGACCCAGAACTTGATCAATGGCGTTTTGCAAATCTTCAACCTCTTCATCGCCGTCGCTGCCTGCTTCTTCGTCGACAAGGTCGGTCGTCGCAAGCTCTTCCTCATCTCCACCGCTGGCATGTTGGTCACCTTCATCGTCTGGACCATCTGCTCGGCTCGATATGCCATCACGGGCTCCAAGGGGGCCGCCAACGCTGTTGTCGGGTAAGTTTGCCTCGCCAGCTGTATTTTCCCAAGAAGAACGGGATCGCTGACATGACTACAGAATGATCTACATCTACTACTTCTGGTACAACATTGCCTGGTCCGGCATGTTGGTCGGCTACACGGCCGAAATCCTGCCATACAACATCCGAGCAAAGGGCCTGACGGTCATGTTCCTCATGGTCGACGCCGCCCTCTTCTTCAACCAGTACATCAACCCCATCGCCCTGGACCACATTGGCTGGAAGTACTACATCTTCTACTGCGTGTGGCTCGGCTTCGAGTTGGCCGTTGTCTACTTTTTCTACGTCGAGACCCGCAACACGCCTCGTAAGTTTCGCCCCCCTTTCCTGCCCAGAGCCATCACTGAATACTGACTTTTTTTCTGCGCAGTGGAGGAAATTGCCAAGCACTTCGACGGCGACCAGGCGTTGGTTGCCGGCGCTGCGGCCTCGAACAAAGGCCTCACCCTGGCGGCCGAGATGGGTCTCGACGCCACCGTCACTCAACACCACGAGATGGACGAGAAGCGGCACTCTGTGCAGGTGGAGAATGCCTCTCCCACCAAGAGCGAGTTGTAGTAGTCGTCCAACAAACCGTGCATCTCGCCACCCGCATATATCTGCGTATGGTATGTGTATGTGTCCGCTGTGTCCTCTGTGTGTGTTGATGTGGTGTGTGTATGAAATTTATCCCCCTCAAAGCCCTAGTTTGGAAAGTCGGTCTCTTTGGGAACATGGGATGGAAGGGAAGGGGAAGTGAACCAGTCCCCCTCTACCTCCTCTCATGCTCGTGGTTAGCCCTTGCAGCGCGGGTTTGCTGTGTTGGAAATGATAGATGTTCTTTTGCCCTCACAACCCCCCCCCCCCCCCACAGCTTTTTGAACCTCCGGAAGACAACAGGATTGAATCGAATTGAAGTGAAGTGACCCAGACTATAATAACACAGTACAATACAAATACAGTGACGGACAGATTTCTTTCTTCACTATTTCGTGTCATCTCGTCTCATCATGGGTTTAACGCCCACTTATCCACGTCCTTTTGCCTCGGTGATAGATATCCTCGCTTTCTCATACAATACTCACCCATATCGCGTTACCCCTGTAGATGACTCCGTGAGATTTCGAATCATGACTGTAACCCGAAGCTTTGCCCATGGGGGTTGAGAGTGAGAGCCTTTCCCAGTGTTGACTATTCCCCCAAAGTTTACCCGGAATAAGTGCGAAGCCCTTGCCTCTCCGGGCGTGCAAGGCTGCAGATCACGGGGCGATAAGATAAGGTCCAACACCTCCCCAAAAATAATTATTTCGCCCACTCATCTGCGCACCCAAAACTTTTCCATCCTCGCCTTGTTGACCGCTACCCTGGTTATTTCCCTCCCCGATACCACGCCAGAACAAGATGCCGCCGCTCAAGAAACGGAAATTGAGTCACGATGAGTCGTCCTCGGGTGATGACGATGATCATCATCACTCTGTAAAGTCGCCCACCGAATCCGAGACCACACCGACCAGCGACGCAGAGGAGGAAGACACGCAGACAAACAAGACGATGCAGCCCAAGACGTTCAAAGAGCTAGGAATCATCGACTCGCTCTGCGAAGCGTGCGACCGACTCGGATACAAGGCGCCGACGCCCATCCAGGCCGAAGCGATCCCGCTGGCCCTGCAGGGTCGGGACCTCATCGGGCTGGCAGAGACTGGGAGCGGCAAGACGGCGGCGTTCGTCCTGCCCATCCTGCAGGCGCTCATGGACAAGCCGCAGCAATTGCACTCGCTGATCCTGGCACCGACCAGAGAACTGGCATATCAGATATCCCAGGCTGTCGAGGCGCTGGGCTCGCTGATCGCGGTCCGCTGCGCCGTGTTGGTCGGGGGCATGGACATGATCCCGCAGGCCATTGCGCTGGGCAAGAAACCGCACGTCATCGTCGCCACGCCGGGCCGGCTGCTGGACCACCTGGAAAACACAAAGGGCTTCTCACTACGCCAGCTCAAGTACCTGGTCATGGACGAGGCCGATCGCCTCCTCGACCTGGACTTTGGGCCGATTTTGGACAAGATCCTAAAGATCCTGCCGAGAGAAGGGAGGAAGACGTATCTCTTCTCCGCCACCATGTCCAGCAAGGTCGAGTCTCTCCAGCGGGCGTCGCTGTCCAATCCGCTCCGCGTCGCTGTGTCCCAGGACAAGTACCAGACGGTGTCGACGCTGATCCAATCCTACCTCTTCATCCCGCACAAGCACAAGGACCTATACCTGATCCACGTGCTGAACGAACTCGCCGGCCAAACGGGCATCATCTTCACTCGGACGGTCAACGAAGCCCAACGCATCTCGATCCTACTACGCACGCTCGGCTTCTCCGCGATCCCCATCCACGGACAACTCTCGCAACAAGCGCGCCTGGCCGCGCTGAACAAGTTCCGCGCCAAATCCCGTAATTTACTGGTCGCCTCGGACGTCGCATCCCGCGGGCTCGACATCCCGTCCGTCGACCTCGTGATCAACTTCGACCTCCCGCACGACAGCAAGACGTACATCCACCGGGTCGGGCGCACCGCGCGGGCGGGCAAGAGCGGCCGAGCCATCTCCTTCGTGACGCAGTACGACGTGGAGTTGTGGATGCGGATCGAGGGCGCCCTTGGCAGGAAACTCGACGAGCACCACACCGTCAAGGAGGAGGTCATGGTGCTGGCCGAGCGGGTCGGCGACGCCCAGCGCGCTGCCGCCATGGAGATGAAGGAGCTGCACGAGAACCGGGGCAAGAAGGGCGCCACCCTCCGACACAAGCGAGGACCCAAAGGCGCGGGAAGTGGTGGTGTTGGTGGGAAGCGGAGTCGAGACGATATGGATCAAGACGAGGGATGAGTTCTTCCCAATTAGTTAAAATGAGTTACGTACGTTTTCAGGGGTGTCCTTGGGGATTTCTCATTCCATGTATGCATGCATGCATGGGGGTGTCGGTCTTTCGTACCAAGGTGCTAGATACTAGGTACTAGGTACTAGGTATCTATCTGGCTACCTACATACAAGGTACCACGGTACGGTATGAGGTAGATACGTTAGGTACCTATCTACCGGTCTCTGGATCTGGTCGAAAGAGTACTAGAGCAGCCTTGCGATCAGGAAGCGCAGTCACTACTCGGTACTTACTAGAGAGCTAGATACGAGGTACATACATATACTCAGTACTCGGTACTCGGTACCGCAGATAGGTTCATGGGATAAAATTCCCAAGTCCTGACCAATTCTTAGGCTTCGGTCATACAAACAACACAACATCATCATTACTCTCTCAATCCTTGTTCACTCGCCAATAAATCGCCAATAAATCGCCAATAAATCCCATGCTAAGCACACGAGCAATGCAGCGCGCCCCCCAAATCTCTCACAGGTCGGCGAATTAAACGACGTCCATCTCCCATCCAAGCCAATCTCGAAAGTTTTTGCGATGACGTCTTGGGTGATGCCGTGGCATCATTGGTCAAACATCCTGGCAATAAGCGTGGGAGGGAATCGTCTGTCCCACTGGGCCTCAACAGAAAATCCATTTTTTTCTGGCCCATCGGAGAAACCCTCAAAAAACGAAAATGAGATATGATAGATGAAAAGTCTCTTTCCTTTTCCTTTTCATTAATTCATTTCCCAAAAGGTCGATTCCAGAAAAAAAAGGAGAAAAATGGGAACCGGTCTGTAGAAGAGTCGGGCTGGAAAAACTATCCTCCCGACTGAAAGGACCCACACATACCGAGTACCTCGTACACTGTGAGGAAACCAGAGAAGAGAAACAAAGACAATCATGCCTGTCATCGATACCAACAAGGATCTGTCGGCGCTTTTCCGACAACAGGTTCAAAGGACACCCGATGCTGTGGCGCTGGAGGACGAGACGACGACATACACCTATGTCCAGCTTGACAAAAAGGTTGAAGCTCTCGCCCATCGCCTCCGCAAGCACCGGGTTGGCCGAGACAGCCTCGTTGGCGTGCTGCTCCCGCGCAGTGCCAACTATGTCATTGCCTGTCTCGCTGCGCTTCGGGCAGGCGGAGCCTTTCTCGTCCTGGAACTGGCCTACCCCCCGGAGCTCCTGGCAGACGTTATTGATGATGCCCAACCAGCTGTAGTGGTCACATACCGGGCCGAGGTTGGTAAGATCAAGGAGGGCATTCCTCTCATTACTCTGGACGAAGAAGGAGAGCAGACACCTCCCAACGGAGATGTGAAAGACCTTCCTCCGCTGCCCGCTGATGATGACTTGGACAGACTTGCCTTCGTCTCTTATTCTTCGGGAACCACGGGCAAACCCAAGGGCATTGCAAACCCTCACCGAGCTCCTGTGCTTTCGTATAACCTGCGGTTCGGCGTTCGTGACCTGCAGCCTGGGGATCGTGTTGCCTGCAATGTCTTCTTCATCTGGGAGATCCTGCGGCCACTGCTGCGAGGAGCGACCGTCGTTGCAGTGCCAGACGAGGCCAGTTACGACCCGCCCGTCCTGGTGGACCTGCTCGCTTCTAAGAATATCACCGAGACTCTCATGACCCCGACGCTCCTAGCCGCTGTGCTGTCTCGGCATCCAAAGATCGGAGCTCGCCTGCCGAAGCTGCGCACCTTGTGGCTGAATGGTGAAGTTGTGACAACCGACTTGGCCCGGCGAGCAATCAAAGCCCTCCCCAACACGACACTGCTTAACTGCTACAGCGCCTGCGAGACCCACGAGATTGCCTGCGGAAACATTGGAGACATGCTCGACGACGCCTCAAACTACTGTCCGGTCGGCCCTCCGCTGGATCCCGAACACATCTACATCCTCGATGAGAGTGGCCAAAAAGTGCAAGCCGGAGAAAGCGGAGAACTTTTCGTGGGCGGATCACTTCTTGCCCGTGGCTATATCAATCGTCCTGAGACAACCGCCAAAGCCTTTACGCCGGACCCATTTGACTCGGCACCGGGAGCCCGGATGTACAGAACCGGTGACCAAGCACGAATACTTCCGTCCGGCCTTTTGGAAATCACTGGTCGTGTCGGAGCCATGATCAAGCTTCGTGGCTATTCCGTCGTGCCCGGAAAGGTCGAGCACGCTATTGTCCAACACCTTGCCGTGCGACATTGCGCCGTCACGGCTCATGGCGAGGGCTTGGACCGGCAATTGGTTGCATATGTCGTCCGGGACAAGGAGTCGTCTGCTGATCGCCCAGCGTTGGATGTCAATGAGTTAGGTCACAGTCCAGCTGCGAGACGGACGCTCTCGCCATACTTGGCTCACTATATGATTCCAGCCATGTGGGTGGAAGTCGAGGAGCTGCCTACCAACGCAGTGTCAGGCAAGGTTGACCTCAAGCGCCTTCCTCCACCTCCAAGTCCCAACGCTGCTAATGGCAATGGGTCGTTGAACGGGCACAAAGGAGACCTGGATCCCATTGATATCGAAGCCATAGCTGAGATCTGGGCTGCGAGTCTCAAGATCTCACGCAGCACCATCACGCCAGAACACAGCTTTTTCGACCTTGGTGGGCACTCCTTGACGCTTGCAGATTTGTCTGCACGCTTCTCCAGGGTTCTGGGGGTCAAGGTGCCTCTCGCACGACTCGTCGATCCAGCGACTCTCAACGGCCACCTGGAAACGGTGCGATCTGTGCGAGACGGTCATGCGGCGGCGGTGCAAGCTCATCTGCCTGATGTCCTTCGGAAAGACTCGACCCTTGAGGACAGCATTCGACCGACCAATGCTAGCATATGTGCAGCCAGCAAAGCACACACGATCCTGTTGACTGGTGTCACTGGCTTCTTGGGTGCATTTTTGTTGAATGATTTGCTGGAAAGCACATCTGCCAAAATCTTGTGTCTTGTGCGTTTCAATGACCCGTCAGAAGCCGATCTGCCAGCAGGTATTGCGAGGTTGCGGAGGCATCTCCTCGATATGGGATTGTGGCGGGACTCGATTATGGAACGTGTTGAGATCATCCCCGGCAATTTATCCCGCCCTCGGCTAGGTCTCCCCCCGGATGCCTTCGAAGAACTCACGGGCCGTGTCCAGGTTATAATCCACGCTGCCGCCACTGTCAACCTTGTGTACCCGTATGCTGCCCTTCGGGACGCGAACGTAGGCGGAACAAGGGAGATCCTGCGTTTGGCATGTCGCGCTGGAGCCACGGTGCAGTACATCTCCACGAATGGTGTATTGCCGCCATCTCGAGATGGGTGGGATGAGGATGCCATGCTAGACGTGGACGATGTCCCAGAAAAGCTGGCCGATGGATATGGCCAGTCAAAGTGGGTAGCAGAGCAACTTGTGCGTGAAGCTGGCCGTCGAGGCCTGCCTGTCAAGATTCACCGAGCGGGTACAATTAGCGGACACAGCACCACCGGCGCAGGCAACGCGTGGGATCTTCTTAATGCGATCATTGTTGAGTCCATCAACCTAGGATATGCTCCAGATGTGGAAGGATGGCGCGCTGAGATGACCCCAGTCGACTTTGTGAGCAAGGCCATCATCCATCTCTCGAATCAGACCAACACCACCCAATTCGTGTTTCACCTCGGCGACCCTGATCCCGTTCCGACTCGGTCGGTCTTTGAAGACCTAGAAGAGCTTGGATATCCCACAAAACCACTCTCTTGGGACGAATGGGTGGCGCGATGGCAGGAAAATAGAGGTACCCTAAAAGGTGGAGATGGCGCCTTTACTATTGACATCCTCCGTAGCGGTATGCCGAGCGTCGAGTTTTTGAGAGGCATTGTTGTGTTGAATAATGCTGCCACCAGGCCTTTGCGGGCGGTTGTTGAACGACCAAAGGTTGACAGCGTCCTACTCGAAACGTACGCTCGCCATTGGTTTGCTCGAGGATGGCTGCCACGTCCTCCCTCACGCCAACATGCTCTTGGTGGAACAGCACAACCCATACGAAGAGGGCCATTGAGTGGGAGAGTGGCTGTCATCACTGGCGCTTCATCCGGAATCGGCGCAGCGGTCGCTGCAGCTTTGGCACGGGAAGGCCTCCACCTAGCTCTCGGCGCACGCCGCACCGAGGCTCTCGAGGCTGTGAAGAGCAGGCTGGTAGTCCGCGAGGGCAAGGTGATAGTTCGAAAGACGGACGTGACGGACAGGAAGCAGGTCGAGAGTCTCATCAAGGCGGCGAATGATGAACTTGGACCAGTCGATATCCTGGTCTCCTGCGCCGGTGTCATGTATTACACCATGATGGCCAATGCCCATATGGAAGATTGGGACCGCACCGTCGACGTGAACTGCAAGGGTCTTTTGCACTGCCTTTCGTCAGTCGTGCCGTCAATGATCTCCCGCGGGAATGGGCACATTGTCGCCATATCGTCGGACGCCGGCCGTAAAGTCTTCCCTGGCTTGGGTGTCTACTCAGCCAGCAAGTTCTTTGTCGAAGCCACGCTGCAGAGCCTGCGTTTAGAAACGGCAGGGACTGGGTTGCGTGTCACGAGCGTGCAACCAGGCAACACGGCGACTGACCTCCTGGGCATGTCCACAGACGCAGAAGCAGTCAAAAAGTACGGCGAACCGACCGGAGCACAGATCTTGGATCCGGAAGATGTGGCCAATTCGATTGTCTATGCACTGAGGCAGCCGCAACATGTTGCTGTGAATGAGATTTTGATCGAGCCACGGGAAGAGCCGATTTGAGCAACCATCCCAATGCGACCTTACACCCGTTGTTGCTCTCTGTGGGGTTGTGTTCGAGACAGTTTAACTTGGCTGCCATGGAACGATCTCGAAGACTGAAGAGGGCGAGTTATTTCTTCGTTTATGTAATAAAGGATCGGCAGCTGCAAAACACAGGACATTCGTGCCTGCCACGCATAATGAGAGCATGGGAGGCAAGGGGTAACAATGAGACACAAGAGTCATAGCATAATATAAAAGTGTTGGAAGCAACATCCCGAGAAGTAACAGCTTTAACACATAAGTCGATCGTACTGCTCCTCTTATGACGAGGGGGTATAGTCCTTGTACCACATGACCAGCCAGTGTCAGTCGGTGAGCATACAGTTACACAGCAGGTTGTAGTGCGTTCCGCCTGTTGTGATTGGTTCAAGGGCAAGGCTGAGCGGTGATCGAATATGGACTAGCGCAGCCTGGCGGGACGGGCACGTCTTGGGAAAAAGTTGGAGATCATTCCATCCACCAGATCGCACAGGCTTTCAATTACACCGTGACATATTAGCCAGACAACAAATCCCAGGATCTTTCGACGGTCGTTACCATTTTGCAATCTAGTTGAGAGGTAACAAGTCCTCGCCTCTTGTTGGAACCCTCGTTCCATACCTACAATACCCACAACTGGAATTTGTGAAGAATCGACTCCGGCCCTCCAGGCCTAGACCGCAGGCAGGATGCAGGCGCCTGTGGTGGTTATGAGTGAGTGAACGAACCCCAAGCTTTTCCTCTCGGAGATGACGCTGACGTCTATCTTCTCCTAGACACGGCGAATGGAGAGAGACAAGTCGGGCGCAAGGCGCAAATATCAAACATCACCGCGGCGAAAACGTGAGTGTCGACAATTCCACACCCCTCTCTCAGCCCTCGTTCGCTCGCTAACTGGCCAATACAGCGTGGCGGATATCATACGATCATGTCTCGGTCCCAAAGCGATGCTGAAGATGCTGCTTGATCCCATGGGCGGCATTGTCCTCACGAACGACGGCCACGCTATCCTGCGAGAGATTGAGGTCGCACATCCCGCGGCAAAGAGCATGATTGAGTTGAGCCGGACGCAGGACGAGGAAGTTGGTGACGGGACAACGACGGTCATCATATTAGGTATTAAAACTGCTCGTCACATTGGAAGGTCAACGAGTAAAACTGACGGAATATTTTGACAGCGGGCGAGATCCTTGCGCAAGCACTACCTCAACTCGAACGAAATATCCATCCCGTGGTAATTATCCAGGCTTTCAAAAAGGCTCTCATGGACGCACTGGCTATTGTCGAAGAGATTTCCATCCCCGTCGACACCTCGAGCGACAAGGCCATGATCTCGCTTATTGAATCCTCCATCGGCACCAAGACCATCTCCCGATACTCAGAACTCATGTGCTCACTTGCTCTCAACGCCGTCCGGACTGTATCTCAGGACCAGACGTCCATTTCGAATGCGCCCCAGGCCAACGGGACGACGAAATCGGCTCCTACGCCTGCCCCTACGAAACCCGTGGAGATCGATATCAAGCGATACGCCCGAGTAGAGAAGATCCCCGGTGGGGAAATCGAGGACTCGAGAGTGTTGGACGGCGTCATGTTGAACAAGGACATTACACACGCCTCGATGCGCCGACGGATAGAGAACCCTCGGATCGTGCTATTGGATTGTCCTCTTGAATACAAAAAGGGCGAGTCTCAGACCAACATCGAGATCACCGATGAGGACTCGTGGAATAAGATCCTCCAGATCGAAGAGGAACAGGTCAAGAAGATGTGTGATGCGGTATTGTCGGTCAAGCCCGATTTGGTCATTACCGAGAAGGGCGTGTCTGATCTGGCTCAACATTACTTCCAAAAGGCTAATGTCACGGCACTGCGCAGAGTGCGGAAGACGGACAATAACCGCATTGCTCGGGCTGTGGGAGCGACCATTGTGAATCGTGTCGACGACATTGTCGAGTCCGACGTAGGCACGGGTTGCGGTCTCTTCGAGATTGAAAAGATCGGTGATGAGTATTTCACATTCCTCACAAAATGCAAGAACCCCAAGGCCTGCACCATCCTGCTCCGGGGACCTTCAAAGGACATTCTCAACGAGATTGAACGAAATCTCCAGGACGCTATGTCCGTGGCTCGCAACGTCATGTTCCACCCGCGCCTCTCACCTGGTGGAGGAGCCACCGAGATGGCCGTCTCCGTGCGGTTGGCTCAGAAGGCCAAGTCTATCGAAGGCGTGATGCAGTGGCCTTACCGCGCTGTCGCCGACGCCATGGAAGTCATTCCCCGAACACTTATCCAGAACGCCGGTGCCAGCCCCATCCGAATCTTGACCCAGCTCCGTGCGAAACAAGCCGAGGGCAAGTCAACCTTTGGCGTCGATGGTGATACGGGTAATGTGGTGGACATGAAAGAATATGGCGTGTGGGAACCCCAGGCGGTCAAGCTGCAGAGCATCAAGACGGCGGTCGAAAGCGCGTGCTTACTCTTGAGAGTGGACGACATCTGCGGCGCGAAGAGCGCGAAGCAGGTTGGTGGAAGTGGATTGTCGGGTGGTGCAGGAGGGGAGGAGTAAAGACAAGACAGCAAAGAGAAGAAAAAAAGGTGAAAGAACAACAGGAAGCCAAGTGGCGACTGTCTCTCATGTTGCTAGGTGTCACGATGTGAAATGAAAAGAGCAAACGGATGAGATGAAGATGTTTCAGGCCGAGAAGAAAAGACCTGGATATGACCGAAAGAAGCCCTTTTCACGACCCAGACACGGGACTCATGGATCATCCAGATATACAGCCATAGAAGCTATGGTATGTGGAGCTCATTGTCCTCGATTGAGTGTCTACAAGATTGACCGTCGCAGATGTATTGAAGCCTTGCGACGAGGCAATGCGTCAATTTTTGGTTCCTGATATCTTCTCGTTTCCTCTCTTTTCTTGATCTTCCCGAATCCGTCAAGCTGCGATATTACATTCTTTGTTTTATATTGACTCGTCAACTACGCCTTATTATTTACTTCCACTTCCCACCACCGCGACTGTCACCAGCAGCTCCCCCGATCTTGAAAGCTAGGCTCTCTAATCCTCCAGAATCGCATCAGGCTGTCCTTGGCGTTGTGCTACTTTCCCATCACATTGCAATTTTGTTCTACACCGACAGCCTGATTCCATGGAGACCCAAACTGCAACAACCAACGAAAAAATGTTTGGCGCGTGATGCTCCTTTCCTCTCAGCAGATTCTCCCAGTTTCCAGCGGTACGAATCGCCAAAAGTCGTAACCAGGCTGGCTGGTACTGCCTACTGTTGCCTCACGCAGTTTAGTGCCTCGTATACGAGTTTGAATCATGACCGTCTCACAAACTTGGCGTGGCGTGATTGATTCAGCATTTTCGACAGACATTGAAGCACAAGACAAAAGAGACAAATAACGGGCTGTAGAAACAATGTCCTATCAGTTCTGCGTCGACAATGCCAAAATCCAGGGTTCAACAGATTGACCTGGAAGAGCGGGTTGGACAGACACAAGCAAAGCAAAACACCTCGATCAGCATCCTAGACCCCGCAATCTACATTTCCCGAAGTCACAAGGGCTGGGACCATCAAACAAGCGAGAAAAAGAGCCACGATGAGGAGGAAAGTAGCGAGCCGGAGTGGGACTATCTTCACTTCAGGGCCAGTTTCACCCTCGAGGTCGAGATTCTAGGCTTTGAAAAAGCGTACGTCAAGATTCATTCCCGTTGTTTCCAGCCATGCTTGCTACTGACAGCCCCAGTCCTCAGCAATACAACAAGTTCTTCGATTCCATATCCATCCGCTATCTGTACAAGGAGAAGGAACACCATTTGTGGTATCCTGAGAGGGATGAGCCCGTGGACGCCGACATCTCCAATGAGACGACAACGACCACCGGTGCCAGTCTCGGTGTAGGCATGGCAGGCACCATACCGATTCCTGCACCCGAAGTTCACGTGCAAAAGGACCGCAAATTGACTGTGGCACGGAAGATGCGAAGTTGGCGCAAGGGCGTATCTATGGAGAAGTGTGAGCCTTGCCAGCCCTTCCCCATCTTTACAATATCCTAATATTCGCCATCAGTTCGGGGTTTGGGTAGACCAAGCACATGTCCAGTTCATGTCGTGTCCAATGGCGTGACCCCTAAAGAACACCCCTGCCCCAAGGACTCGGGAGACTACAAAGAATCCGTGCACTGGGACTACCAAATCGAATCCAAGCGGCACAGCTGGGTCCCCGAGATCTACGAGAGCGTCGCGATCCCGATCACCGTCGAGCGAATCGTCCCGATCCCTTCAGACGCCAAAACCCCCTTCACCGACGACGAATGCGAGCTCCTGATGCACTTTGATTTCCAGATCAAGACGCGACTGCGTGGCATGAGCCCTCTGTTCCCCCTCTTCACCAACTTCAGTAAACCGGCCGAGTACCGGTACGACTCAGATACGGGCCAGCGGTTCCCGCTGGATCGCTATTCGGTCTGCCTGTTTGGATATTGTCCAGGGACCTGTCTGCCTGAGGGGCCGACGATCGACCTCGATGAGGCCATCAAGGCCTTTTACAAGGCAGCCAGGGAGAAGCAGCACCACAACCCGTTCTTCCTGCCGTCCGACGAGGTCCTGGAGGAGGACTTTTTGTATCCTGCCAAAATGGCGACGTTTACGAAGCGGCGCAAGCTCGCGGACCAGCGGCGCAGGATGAGGACCGCCAGGCTGGACAGGGAACGAGCAGAGGCGGAAGAACGGGAGCGAGACAGGCTCAGAGCAGCAGAGGCAGAAGAATGGAGAGGGGAACGAGCGCGGGCGAAGCTGAAAAAGAAAAAGGTCTACCGTGGACGAACCGAATATTCAGAGTATCCTCCTCCACCATTACCATCACCGGTCGCGCGCGATGCTGGTTCCGCCGAGTCGGACGACTATGTCCTGCTACCCTTGCGTCCCGGCAGCCCAGAGTATCCTCTGCCTTCTTCTTCTTCTCCTCCTCAACCACCGCCACCTCCACCACGTGCAGAATCGGACGACCCCGACGACTACATCATCCCTCCCGAGAGACTAAAAGCCGCGGCCGAGACCGCCGCCGCCGCAGGAGCGAAAGAACGGCTCGAAGCACACCTGCACCACCTACCATACCACTACGAGCGATTCCCGTTCCATGAGCGCCAACGCCGTCACGATGGCGCGATGAGCGAGTTTGAAGAGGAACCCCGACCAGACACGATCAAGCCGACTCCAAGACCACCTCCGCCGCCCGAGGCGAGGCGGCGCCCATGCCCCCCACGTCACGAGCCAGAGCCGCCAGGTCGCCCGGACCAGCCGCCACCGAATGTCATCGAGGTCGAACCGGCGCGTGTGACAAGGACGCAGCGTAAGGAGACAAGGGCCACTGTGATGAGGAGGAGGACGACGACAAGGACAAGGACAAGAGCAGTGATAGGAAAGGGAAAGGGAAAGGGGACGGCAAATAAGGAGGGAGAGGAAGAAGGACAGCAAACTCACTCTCCTCCCCCAGCCTCTTCTTCACGGGCGTATATGGCCCGTCTTGCCTTCTGGCTGGTCACCTAGCCAGCTACATACTAGGTGGGTCCTTGATACGATTTAACTACCTAGTAGTACGGTAGGATTAGTACGATCAGTACGACTTGGGCTGAATGTGCATCCGTCCGTGCATGTATCCGTCTTGTCCTCATCATTGAGTTCACTGATTGAGTGACAGATCGAGTGATTGTTTGAGGGATGAGGGACTGATCAAAGTAATCCCTTAGTTGATCGAAAACATCTATCTGTCCCAATATCTACGTACTTATACTCTACGGGTATATTCGAGACAGATGGACAGACACGTCTAGACACATCTGGACACATCTGGACACATCTGGACACGTCGACAGAGGAGATAGACAGACAGACAGACAGACAGACAGACAGAAAGAGCAATCCCTGTGTTGTGGAGAGAAACAAAGATCCTGTCAAGTCTTCTCATAGGGTAAGGCACGCAGACAAGGGAAGGCGGAGCAGAGGGGCAAAAGGACAAAAAGAACAGGAGACATTCGAGTAAACGAACCGAGTATTGTAGGATATACGTATGATACATACATTTCGAAGACGGGACATATTGGGTGAAGAAAGGCTTCATGATATGATTTGTTACAGTCATCATTTTTACGCCACAGTCTCCCTCGTCCACGTATACGCCCACGTAAACTTCGAGTCCACGTAGCCGGACATTTGCAACGTTTTGTCCGTACAGGTATAGTGGACCTGTGTGTCCGAGCCGTACTGCTGATCCAGTGAGATGTCGAGTTCGGTCGGATCGTCGAAGCCTGCGATTGTCGTCGTCGTCTTAGCCAGGCCCTGCGATTTTACATTGGTCCATGTGAAGCTGTCGCCACCGGCCGCGGTCTTCCCGAGCTTCAAGGTCCCGTCCACTGAGCCGGTGATGTCGATGAGTGTGTGGAAGTCGTACCCGCCGGCGCTGCCGTCGTAGGCAATGTCTAGGCCTTTGAAGGTCATGGCGCTCGAGAGATCCTTCTTAACACTAAAACTCGAGGAGCCCGTCACGGCGACGTTGGAGATCGCCACGTCCGAGGCCGACAGTTGTTCCGAGAGAAAGGCTTGCATGCTCGGAACATCGAGGTTCCAGTCCCCGACAATGCACTTGTCAGTCGAACAGCTGTCGCCTTCATCATCGTCATCGTCATCTCCATCGTCGTTGTCGAGAGATACGACAATGATCTCACGGGGCCGTGTGTCAGCCGCGCGGAGTGCTCGGGGATTGTATTCCAGACCTTCACTCGTCGACAGATCGCCGTCAGTCTCATCACGTTTCGCTTTATGCTTGTTGGAGCCCTTCTTCTTCTTCTTGACCGTGAACTCGATTGTCACAGGAACGGAGGTCTTGACATCGCCATTCCCGGTCGAGGTTGCGAGGTAGGTGTACTTCTTGCTGCCACAGTCGACTTTGACAGTTGCTCCTTTGCCGGCGGTTTTCCATGACTTCTCTCCGTCTTTGGAGTACTGCAGGACCACGTTCGAGCCTTGTCCGCTGGGCACTGTGTACTTGAAAGAGATGTCCCGTTTGTCAGGGAGGGCGACGTCCAGGGTTTCCCAGATGGTCCAAGGACGTGTAAAGGTCTTGGTGTCGTAGACGCCCGGCTTATCTGAAAGAGTGCACGCAGGTGTATGCAAATTTACTTTAAAGTCACGAGGGACCGGCTCACCATTGCTGTACAAGATCAGATCATCCTTGAACGCCGTCGCAAAGCTGGGGAATGGCTTGGTAATGAAAGAGTCTGAAGAAAGCCACCGCCGCTCGTCTTGAAGTGTACTACTGGTCGTGCTCTTGCGCGAAACCACCCAGTCATGGATTTCCTTGTTCGACGTGAAGACGTTGGAGAGGTGCTGAAAGAAGAGACTGCCTGGATAGCTGAAGTCATGCTTTTGATTGTAGAGTGGTGACGCTGGATCATATTTCTGCATGTGGTCTGGTTTCGTGTCCGGGAAGAAGAAATTGCCAAAGTACTCTGCAGACCCTTCGAACCACCAGTTGTTTGGAAGTGAGTCGTCTTGGAAAGGCTGTTCCATACCGAAAGTTCTTTGGACGCAATGATACAACTCGTGAGCTAGGGTTTGCTGAACTGATTCGATGTCGCTTGACGGTCCGTCTCCAGAGCCAATGACTCGAACGTTGCAAATGGTTGGGTCCAATTCATGATAATCAGTTGCTCCACGGATGGTACCGTCTTCTTCGGTGAGATAGACTCTGACTGTCTTGACCTTGGTTTGCATGAGGTCTGCATAGACTGGGAGAGCTTTTGCTGCGGCGCTTTGGAGAGGTTTGAGATACTTGGGATCGGCGACAGGAGACGCTGGGGCTTTTCGATCGGTCCATGTATACAGGCTGAATTTTATCCCAGCAATGTCTTTGTTCTCGACGTATGGAATGCATTTTCGGCCGCTTTGGAACCCGTTCGTGGGACAATCCGCCACTGCACGAGGTGCTACTAATGCAAGAGTATTTGACACCAAACCGAGGACAAGGAGAGGAATATGAAGAGTAGATTGGAACAACATGGCAACGGAGAGGGATAGTGGAAGAGGAGTCGGCGAGAGGAGTGTTAGGACCTTCTTACGCTGCGAGAATGTGGTGGGGATTTGAGGATGTATACTCATTACACTTCATCGTGACGGTGGCCCTGGGCGGACTCGTTGATACGAAGGTCTAGCCAACAACTTCAAGCTTGAAAAGGCTGGTAGCCTGGGGCTGAACAGTATGCCGCTTCTAAACATGTGTCGGGTAAGGCTGATTGGATGATACGAGGGTCTGGCCAGCGCAAGTCGACAAAGACAATGGACTGACTTCGTGGTCGAACCCCTACAATACCTGATTGTGTGGTGCCGATAAGTGCGTAATTATTGACCTACCATTGTCCCCATAACCTTCCTGACTCCACGATACGGAACGCTCATATTTTCACAAAGAAGAATCCTGATGTGGCGAAGAGGAGGCGGTTTCCGTTCCAGTCTTTATCCTCTCACGATCGAGCCGCGTTTGGTTGTACCGATACGGATTGCAGAAGTACAACACGGGTGGTGATCATACTCGTATGAAAAGCACCTTCCTACTGCGGATATTTTGAAAAGGTAAAGACAAGCATCGTGAGCATCGTTTCCCTCGTGGGCTGGGAGAGGAGTGAGGCTAGACCGGCAGTCGACCCAAGCCACCTCGGATAAGTCGACTGGAAGCGAGCACAAGCACTCCAATACGAGGCATGGTGCGAGTAAGCTTTCGACCCCAATATTCTCAGTAGCGAGCCAACAGTTGGAAGGCTTTGTAGCGAGCACTTGGTCGAGCTTAGCGAGACAGCCAGCTGGAGGTCGGAAAACAGGGGGCCTATTAGACTGATGAGGCGACAAGTTGTGAGCGAGACGTGGTAGACGCGTGAGCCAATTGTACCAGCGCCAGATCCAGGGACGTTTGGGTTTGGTCGTCGAAGGACTTTCTTGTCCATTGAAGGCAGACGCGGGTGCACAGCTGTCGGGTGAGGTTGATTGTGGACAGAGTCCATCTGGAGCAACAAAGAATGCAGCGAGTGTGTAAGTCTGGCATCATCGGAACTCATCTGGCCTTTGGTCGTCTATACCTTGACTGGAAATGATTGTCCGAGGTCTCGAGAAGAGATATAGACATACGAGTAGATGGTGTGTATGTGCGAAAGTGAGAGTGAATGAAGGGTATGCAGTAGTGGTGACGTGGTGTGTGTCCCCCACCTGCGCGCCTGTGACTGCGCCTGCGCATCTGCTATGTACCTACCACACTCCCACCAGTTTATTCCTTTCCTCGCTTCAACACTACGTCTCAGATGGCAATCGATCCGTTACCATCACGAAATAAGAATATCTTGACTGCATCATCATCCAACTAAACCGGCAGCTTCGCACATCGATTCGATCTCGGAGAAACTTTCGGCTGCAAGGGAGATTCCCGCATGCATGGCGTATGGTGAGGCTTCGGCATGGTTGCAATGCCAACCAACATTCTGATTCATGACTGCTGTGACATGACGTGCCATTCTGATTCTCTGTCACTGTCGCAGTGCCAACTCAACTTGCCAATGTGTCTATATGCATGTAACAGAGGAAGTGATCACCATCTAGGAAATCTCGCCGCCTCTGACAAAGCCTTGTTCGCACTCGAATCTGACCGCCTCCAATAAAGGTATATACTACCTAATCTCAGAGACTTGTTTTCTTCTTAATAATCTGCGACATTTAAAGGGCCAGCAGCAGCGCAGTCGGCAGCCACGTCTTTCCCCTCAAAGTCATCTCCAATCGTTCAGAGCAAGGTGTAGGGTAACGGCTACAGACCAGTACGGTTTTCACAACAGGGCTGTCGATCGCACACGGGTCACAATGGCCGATACATCACAGGTTGCTTCAGCTGAGAAGACCCCTCTCCGCCGTGCCTGGTGGAAGGAATCTTCGGTCTATCAGATCTATCCCGCATCTTTCAAATCAGCCAACTGCACCGTGGACAAGGCTTCGGGTACTGTAAAAGGTGATCTTCGCGGCATCATCTCAAAGCTGGACTACATCGCCAGTCTTGGAGTGGATATTGTGTGGCTCAGTCCCATCTTGCAGTCTCCACAAGTGGACATGGGATACGATATCTCTGACTACCATGCCATTTATCCGGGATACGGCACCATGGAAGACCATGATGAGCTTATCAAAGGGCTACACGACCGTGGCATCAAATACGTGATGGATCTAGTGGTCAATCACACGTCTGATCAGCACGAGTGGTTCAAGCAATCGCGTTCCTCCAAAGACAACCCGTATCGCGATTGGTACATTTGGCGGCCGCCACGCTACGACGGCGACGGCAATCGCATTCCACCCAACAACTGGGAATCGGCGTTCTCTGGCTCTACCTGGACCTACGACGAAGCCACGGACGAATACTACCTCCACCTTTTCGCAAGTGCGCAGCCCGACTTGAACTGGGAGAATTCGGCGGTCAGAGACGCTGTTCATTCCATGATGCGATTCTGGCTAGATCGTGGTGTGGACGGCTTCAGGATGGATGTCATCAACTTCATCTCTAAAGAGCCTGGCTTGCCGGACGGAGAAATTACACGGCCTGGTTTCTTGCAATCTGGTACCAAGTATTTCGCGTGCGGTCCACGGTTGCATGAGTACTTGCGCGAGATCGGGGCGATCCTCAGAGAGTATGACGCATTCTCGGTGGGTGAGATGCCCGGGGTGGAAGACACCAAGGAGATCCTCAAGGCTGTGGGACAAGATCGCGGCGAGCTCGCAATGGTGTTCCAATTCGACATTGTGGGCATGGACGTCAAACCCGGCGGGATCAAGTGGGATCATCAGGACTTTGATCCACGGAACTTGAAGCACATCGTGTCCAAGTGGCAGTCATTTATGCTCCAGAACGCAGGATGGAACGCCGTGTTTATGGAGAACCACGACCAAGGACGGACTGTTTCCCGGTATTGCGACGACAGCGATGCCTACCGGACCAAGTCAGCCAAGTTGCTGGCTGCACACATGGGTCTTCTGTCTGGCACCATCTTTGTGTACCAGGGCCAAGAAATGGCCCAGATCAATGTGCCCGAGAACTGGGGTATGGACGAGTACAAGGACATCGAGGAACTCAATCACTGGAAGACGGTGCTGAGGGACTTTCCCCACGACAAAGAGAAACAAGCCGCCTATAGGAGACAGTATCGGCTGATTGGGCGTGACAATGCCAGGACGCCAATGCAATGGACGTCCGATGCAGACACCTACGCCGGTTTCCTGCCTGATGGGGCTTCCAAGGATGCAAAACCCTGGATGTCCATCCACCCGGACTTTAGAGAGTGGAATGCCGAGGCGCAGCTGGCCGACCACGACAGCGCATTCCATTATTGGCAGCGCGTACTCCAGCTCCGCAAGCGGTACAAGGACGTGTTTGTGTACGGCGATTTCGAGATGCTGGACTTGGACAACGAGTTTGGCACCGTGGTCGCCTATCTGAGGACAGAAGATTCGGCAAAAGCAGACCATCCGGACTCATCGGCCACGAGCGTCGAGAAGGCCAGGAAGTGCCTCGTCGTAACGAACTTCTCGGGCCAGGAGATATGGTGGAGTCCGCCGGCCAAGGCGGCACCAGTCTTGTTTGATGAAGCCGGGCTGAAGAGAGGTGCTATTCTGGACGAGTTCCGCAACTACACGCGCAATGGGGAGAGCGCCAATGAGGTACGAAGAGACAGTGGACAGGATAGAAGTTGGGCGATGTTGTTGCGGCCGTGGGAAGTTGTGGTTGCATTGGGATGAGGAGCGGTAGGTTGCCTCTGGGCGCCCACCAAGTCCGCATAGATCGTAAGAGCTAGAGTAGAAGACCATAGAGAGTCCAATACATGCACTACTAATCGTGCTTGGTATGGTATATATACTGAGAATCTAGCACCGGATCACTACTACGACTGTAACCATCAAAGACTGTGATCGTGACATGAACCCTGACCTCGACACAAACGAAGAACATTGATAGCCATCTAATCACTTTCATCTTTCGTTCTGGTCCGGATCGGTCCGGTCCGGTCTGGTTCAGGTTCAGGTTCATGCATGATGTGCAGCTGCCGCTGGCGCGTCTCTCGCATGCCGCTTCCTGTTGTTTTTCTGCGCGGTGCGCATTACCTTTTTGCGGTGCTCGAACTCGTCCCTATCCGCGTCCCACTTGGCCTTGAGGTCGTCGACGGCGGTCTGCAGGCGGATGTAGACGTTTGCGGACTCGAGGGTGGTGCTCTGCATGTCCTGCAGGGCGCGGAGCCACTCCTCCAGCTGGACCTGGGAGGCCGGTTTCGCAAAGGTGGTGGTGCGGTCGAGGTCAAAGTCCTCGGTGCGCTTGCGGTTGTCGGCGTAGGCGAGGGCGCCGACGACGGCGACGTACAGGTACACGACACCCACGGTGGCGGCGAAGGCGATGAAGACGTTGCGGAAGTCGTCGCGCCCGCCGGCCGGTTCGACCCGGTACAGCCACGCGTAGAGCAGGTAGACGCCCACGCCGACGATGTACAGCAGCACGGCCAGGTTGAGGACCACCTTGGGCAGGTCGAACTGCTTGAGCGCGGCGACGGAGCTTTCCAGCGGCAGCAACGCGAACGGTTTGCGGTAGCGGTATCCGCGTTGCGTCGCCACGGCCTTCCCCCGGCTGAGGAACAGCCGGATGTCGAGCGGCTTGTTGAGCATGCCGATGTCGGATTGCTGCGATGCGGCGAAGACGACCGACAGCACCCCGAGGATCATCGAGCACGTCAGCAGCGCCCGCGCGCTCCAGTGCGTCGAGTCCATGTTGGGGAGTTGCAGGGCCGTCAGGCCGACGCTCGCGAAGATGGCGCCCTAGTACATGGTCAGTAACATCAGTGAGCGGATGAATCAAGTCCGTCCCCCAGATTCATGTGTATCGAGTAATTTTGGTTTACCACCTCCCCCAAAAAAAGTAGGGAGAAGGGGGGAGAGAAAAGACGAGGGGGCAGGCTCACAGCAACCTCAATCGACGAACACGTCGTCATGTACGACTGCTTCCAGGCCAGGACCTCGTCGTCGGTCCACGTGTTGATGTTCCAGTGCAGCTGCCTGACGCCGTTTGTGTCGACGAGGCGACAGACGGACAAAAAATGGCCCAGGTTCCCCCACCGCTGCCACTCGTAGAAATAGTCCAGGCCGATCCAGTGGCAGAAGGCGTCGACGACGGGATTCATGGCCGGCCAGGCTGATGGGGGAGTCATTGTCCGAGAGGAGACTGTGGGTGATGCCGACGGCAATGGTGATGGGATGGGGATGCGGCTGTGGTTGTCCTCCTTGGTAGTACCGCTGAGACGGCGGTCAAGGTAGTTGAGTTGAGTTGAGGCAGGTCAGGTCAGCTGTTTATTTCCCATCCATCAAATTGCCTAATTGGGTCTCATCTATCTTGTGACCATTTCCCTGGATGTGTCGAGTGTGAATCAATGACTACTTGTGCGAGAGCGCGTGACTAATACATACCAGGTACGAGGTACACAAATTTACAGGTTCCTTCTCGCGAATAATGGGGCCAAAAACCGTCTCGTCACTCAAATGCATCCCAGTGCTGCCAGTAGTGGCTGTACAAGTCCTGCCACCACACCATGGAGTTTTGAGAGAGTATCCGGTCCCAAAACGACTTTTTCTACGTTTCATCTACAAACTTGGTAGTCGGAAACCCTCTCGTCGTTAGGTGGGGAGTTGCCTCATGTACTGAGCATAATGGCAAGCACCATCTATGACGCAGGTCCGCTAGAGTCCTAGAGGCTCAACCAGCTCCGCATCACTTGCACGAACCCTGCTTGGGATCAAATGGAACAGGGACTGGTATTCAAATTCGAGATGGGGAGGTCGACGAAGCACAACAATTGGAAAGTAGACATGGAGTCAGAAGATCTCCCATCTCCAGTAACCACGTAGTGGACATTCACATAAAAGATCTGAAATGAATTTGAAAGTGTATATTGGTTGCGCCTCCCCAGGCGCAAAAACGTCTCTGCTGGATGGACTTATGGGGTATCAGTCTCCTGTGTACTCATCGCACTCGTAGACACGCATTGGTCCGCATTCCGATTGCTTCTGCGGTGTTGTGACCCCCTCTAGCAGCAATCCTTGCAGCATTCGAAGCACAAAAACCCGGCGCACCTGTATGGACCGCGTCAGTGGCCAATCGTTCAGGTTTGGAGTTGTCGGATAGAGACGGAAGAAAAACCAAGACATACAAACCACAGCAAATGTCCTCGCCTTCACCACCGCCTCGGAGACCGACTCGGTTGCTGACGCCGCTGGCATCCATTGATTCACGGGCAGCCTGTGGAAGAGGGAGTCAGGACATCATCGTCTTTTCGAAGCTATAACAGTAGTAGTACGACAATGGGGGCAAAACAGGAAGTGTGATGCGTCGCAGACAAATGGAGCAAACTCACAGGCTGCTGAGAGATGGCACTTCCAGGCTCCGACTGGGTTTGAGGAGCCTGGCTTTTCTGTTGCTGGTTTTCGGCGTCCATCGTGCTGATTGCTTCTAAGAGTCTGTGTGAGATTCCGATAGTCTGTCGAGAGGAGCGAGTGTTTCTGTGAGAAGCAGAGTCCTGTAGAGTTAGATGGCGAGACTTCCCCTTACAAGGACGAGAGACAAGAAGGAAAAAAAGGGAGCTCAAGCTGAGCTGGAAGCTGAGCTGTCAATTTAAACTCCTGGTCCAATTCCAGGTTTTTGGACCCATTACGCGAAGCGGGATTGCGTGGCCTGGTCGGAGCAATCAACATTTACCCAGTCATTGGATGCAGTGGTCTGGCGATTGTCTAGGAAGTTTCAATCCAGGGAGGTGCGCCAATTGAAGTGCACCATAGGTCAAGACATGGGCAAATCGTTGGCGACGGGGTTTAGCCCCAAGCATTAAGCTGAGACTAGATAAGCATCTGACAAGGCGACTTCCCGAGTCGGTAGCCAAAGCTTGGCAGGCTTAGTAGATGCTTGGTGAAGCTTATGCTGCTTCTCCTTTGTCCTTGTAGACTGTCGTGACTATCTTGAGTATTGAGGCATGCGTGTGCCTGCTTGTGACAGTCAGATTTCACTTCCTCATACGTATGCCAACTACTTGTACATCAATGTCAGAATCTCCTGAAACTACATATGTTCAGAAGGATCCTCATGCATCTCACGATAGATGCCAACAACCGCGCAACAAGGACAAAAAGGGTATCTTGTCCACACTGCGCCCAATTCCTGCCTCCAAATTGCACCTTGTGGCCTCAACTGGTCAAGTCAGGGTCCTTTTATCTCATGGCATATTCCTTCTCCAAAGTACCGTAGCAAATCTATGAAGCCGTGCCATATTCATCAAGGCCGCAACTTTTGCTTCGCAACCTGCCTGATTTTTCCCAGGTCTTCCATACATTCCAAATGCCTTTCGTTTGCCTCTTCCCACCAATGCCGACACTGCGCATCGTCTTTGAGCCATTGAATATACGCGCCGTATCCTGCCAGTTTGTCACTAGCATCGTCTTTATCCAATGCATCTGCATCTGGTCCGTCGCTAGGCTGCGCAATCCAGTGTGGGCTCATCGTGCCACAAACGCGATCCTGCCGGGATCGGAAATGCTCAAGCATCCTTGCGTTGAACAAATTCCACTCGCGCATGTAGTTCTCCATATTTGCCACATACTGTGCGAAATTGGACTTGTCCAACCGATCTGCAGCCGGCGGGACCACCACTTTCGGTGGTTTGGGGAGATTCAGAGCCCGGATTCGTGCGGATGCTGTACGATTGAGGTTGACATCGTGGGCCGCTCGAGACTCAAATGGGAGGAATGTTTCAAGGTCATCTTTCATGCCTTTGAGCCCAGCCGACGTTGGCGCAAATGGAGCTTGTTGAGCAAATTCCTTGAGATCCACTCCTCCATTTGTTGACCGACGTTTCGGTTCGGGGCGGGGTGGTTCCCCACTGGCTGGATATTTGATTCCATTCGAGGCAGGGGCCTTGGTATTGTTAGTTGGTGGGGTGTCGACGTCCATTGCGTCTTCCTCCACTACAACGTAGCGATCTCTGGAGTCGTCAGTGGTGTCTGAAGCAGGGCTTGCTCTCGGATTGCGAGAAGGAGGTGGTCTCGCCGAGGCTTTAGCAGCCCAGTCGTCAGCCAGCTTTCCAGGTTGGAATGCGGCCGACTTGTCTTCTGTATGACCGTTGGGAACCTCAGATGAAGAAGCAGGATCGTGCTCTGCAGACCGTGATTGTGCTCTTCCTCGTGACGTTGGTTTACTCCCGCTTCGGTTGAGTTTCGAGGGGGACTTGCGTGTCTGGGACTCATCTGGACGGAAGATGTCCTCGGCCGTCACCTTATCATGCCATTCCGCCGCTGAGAACGTCGTCTGGACCTTGGGGTGGGCGGAGTCATTACTGACGTTTGGGTTAGCGCTCTTGCTCCACGACTGAACAGAATCAAGACCACCTCCTGGCCCGGGGGTGTCACCGTTCTGCCTATGAGGCCGGGGAGGCGTGGTCTGCGGGAAAACACTCGAGGGGACTGCCCAGGAAGGAAATCCGTTGAAGGAACGCCCTCTGTGGGCAAAATAATCACGTCTATTTCCTCGGGACCAGGTTTGGGAATCCAAGAAAAAGGGAGCATACTTGGGTTTTTCCGAACCTCCTCCGCCACCATGACACACATTAGGCTTGGGTGCCTCCTCCTCTGGGGTTGTCACGCTTGGGAAGGGTTTGCGGGTCGGTTCTTTCGGTTCGGGAGGGGGGTACTGATACCGACTGTCATCGACAATTCTAGTATAGTTAGTACTGGGGAATTGGCCCGTCAAGCCCGGGTTGTTGTCAGCATCATAACTCGGTCCTGTCCGGGCGGTTGGTCTGCTCCTGGGGACAGCTTTCGGCCTGGAATTCATATGTAGCGTTTCTTCGTCACTTGAAGAGGTCTCTGAGAAATCTGCATGTATCCCTGCTTTTCGCAGCCCAGGGCTGGCACTCCGATGACGTGGAATGCTCTCGTAGCGAGTCGAGGACCTGCCGAACGGTCCTCGATCATCAATTGGTGAGTTGCGGACGCTCGACGAACGATGTAGACCGTCTCCATTGATGTCTGTTCGTTCCCCGCCTCCTCCTGCATATCTTGAGGGCGGACGACCTCCGAGATCGTGTCTCATGTCATAATCGGAGGATCGTGTATGCCGCAGAGGACTGACCGCGGGCCTGGCTCTAGAAACAGGCGGCGAACGCATGGATTGGTTGTCTTGGACGTGGATATGTGGGTTAGGCGGCGGCGGCTGTCCGCGCGTTCCTTGGACGTAAGAAAACGCCGAACGAGGAAACTGCGAAGCGTCTGCCCCGTGATAGTCTGATTTTCTGGAACTTGCCGTCCTCGACAAGCCTGGAAAACCCGTGGGCGGTATATTGGGCGCGTATGGCATATCTGAGCTGGAAGGTGGTTTGGGAGCAGTAGGGGCTTGTCTGGGAACTGATCGTGGTGGCATTTGTTGGGCAGAGGACGTGGGCCTCATGGAAGGGAAAACTCTTGCGGCCTCTGCTCGAGCCTCGTCGTACTTCGAACGGTCCCATGATTGTGGTACTCCCCGGGTGAACGCATTGAACTTATCGGCCCCAGAAGAGGCTTGCTGCTTCGGATTTACCGTCGCAAATGGGGCACGATTTTGCGCCGACTTGGGGGGCGGTGGAAAAGGGAATTGCTGTTTTGCGGTAGGAGTCGATTTGGCGTTGTTCGGTCTTGGAAAGCCGTAAGGATCCGAGGAATATGCTGTTGAAGCGGTCGCAGCGGCCTTAGCAGCCAGTTTTGCCCGACCAGCATCATACTTCGCCTTCTCGACAGGATCGCTGAGAATTTCATGAGCGGCTTGGACGGCTTGGAACCTAGGAACGACCTCGACTTCATGACCCGGGTTTCGGTCCGGGTGGTATTGTTTCGCTGTAACGCTGTGAGTTCAGCTCAGGTGTATGCGCCGCTCTGTTCTCTTACCCAGAAGTCTAAATTGTTTTTTGATCTCCTCTGCATCGGCGGTAGAAGGGAGATCCAAATCCGCATAGTAGTCCCGTTTGACATCCGCCTTGACCATGATGCAACAATACCCTTTAGGCGACAGTCCCTCAACAGTGTAATGCGACGATCAATTGCCTTCTCTTCAACTCAATCAACATTGTTTCGCGAAAAGAAGGGTCGCTGGTGTTTGAGTAGCCTCTCGAATTCGACTGGCAAAGTGAAGGCGGAGTAACCGAGAAGTGAATTGACCAGACTTATTGACAACACAGCCGCGGGCCGGAGGCTGACAAGGGTAGGACAAATGAGCGGTTATCGAGAGGGTAGGACAGCGATTCGGAGGCTCGAAACTGAGGGACAGGAGATGATTACACGTAGATGCAGGGCGGATGATGAGATCAAGGTGCAGGATGCGGCAGGCAGGTGGCTGCGGTGGCTATATCCCTTCATAGCATGTCCATCACTCGCTCAGTCACTAGCATAGGGCATCAGAATTGCGAGCAGGATGTGGCCTATCGCGAGGCATACACAAGGCAGGGAAGTTTGGAGCGACAGATTTGGAGGGTGGTTCCGCGTTCCTGCGCAATACCTCGTGTGCCAGGCTGCAAGAGAAATCAGGGCAGACGTGCCAGTGAGAACGTGAGAGAGAGAGGCGAAGCGGTGTGGTGCTGGATTGGACGGCCGTGTAGGAGTTCAGAGCGATGTGTTGGCAGAATGTGACAGGATAAGGGAGAAACAGGTGTTGTTTCTTTCTATCGGTTTTGGGCATAGCCGTAAAACTTTAGGCAACGCTATTGGGAGAATAGGCCCTTTCCGCTCCTGGAGCCCTCTAGCCATGGGATCTGCCAAAAAGAAAAGTCTAAGCGGCCTCCACTCATTCTAGGCACCGCCAACCCGTGAGCCCCTACTAGTAGATGGCCCCTAAGCACTGTTGGCAGCCGCCTCGCGTTCCCCCTCATTCTGATTTTGCTTGTTGATTCCATTGACGTTCGAGCCTCGTGATGAAGCTGAATAAATGTGACCCAAGACAGATCTGATTTCCTTCAGGAAACGATCTACTTCCTGCTCAGTCCCCACCGTGATCCTCAGACAGCCCTTGCATCCGTACTCCTTTCCACGGAAACGGACCACCACTCCACGTTGCCCCGCCATAGTCTCGTAAACATTTAAAGCTGTCACATTGTCTGGCTGTCCACCCTCTTCCCGCGGTTTGTCCAGAATCTCGACCAGCAGGAAGTTTGAAGCAGTCCCTCCTCGGAAGCGGCCAATACCTGGGACGAGTGGGAGCTCTCGAAGAAGTCGGTCTCGTTGTTGGATGATTTTCTCGCGGTATCGCCGCATGACTGCCAGATTCTCTTCTTGTAACGCCTTTATTGCAATGGCACTGGTTGGACTTGAGATATTGTATGGCGCCTTCATGTTATTGAGCAGCGCAGCAATCTCGCGACTGCTGAAGACCACTCCTAGTCGGATCCCCGCCAGACCAAATGCTTTGCTCAATGTTTGCATCACCACCAGGTTAGGCCACTCCAACACCCATTCGGCCAGGCTTGACCCTTCAGGTGAGAAGTCAATGTATGCCTCGTCCACAACGACAATGCCGTTCCACGTAGGATGCTCCAAGATTTGTCGGATGTCTTCCTTGGGTATGAGGCTAGCGGTAGGGTTTCCAGGAGAGCAGATATACACCATCTTAATGGAGGAATCAGCGGAGAGTTTGTCCAAGATCTGTTGGGGTCGCAGCGAGAATCCATTTTCAGGGTCAAGGGGCACTTGAACGATCTCGATATCGTTGACGTCTGCGCTGACTGCGTACATGCCGTATGTGGGAGGACAGGTCAGAATCTTGTCTTTCCCAGGAACACAAAAACAGCGTAACAGAGCGTCGACGGCTTCATCTGACCCGACTCCACAGAACAGGTTCTCTGGTTTCAATTGTTTGTCTGTGTGAACATGTGTGTTTCTGAGGCGACAGAACAGTTCCTTCAGCTCATGTTGGTGCGGATCAGGATATCTATTCAGACCCAGAAAGTTCACCGTCGTCTTATGTCCGTTGTCGTGAATACCGTTCGCTTCAAGGTCTAAACCAGGACCATAGGCATTCTCGTTCGCGTCGAGGAGGATGTTGGTACCGTCGTCTTTGTAGTCACTGCGCAGATGAGTCAGTAAGTGGCCCGCGACATGCGCCTGGGACAAACTCACTCTCGCGCACACCTATACGGCTTCAATTTGAGGATATTGGGTCTCGCGCACTTGGCCAGATCAAACGGTGAGGATTTCGGTGCCATCTTGCCCCCTTATCGCAGCTGTAATGAGAAAGAAAATTGCGCGAACTGGGCGAGTTTGTCTAGATAATGCGAAATGAAAAATAATCTCCAACCTTTTCAGATCTTTCTCCGCAGTGCCTGACTTACTCGCAAGGCGGGCGTTTGCGGAGACTGCCGCTAGATTCAATTGCGAGGTTTTTAGCTCGCCTATCATCAGTGTGATTGTTACCACCCGTGACCTATGGGTGCTATTAGTAGCGAGTGATGCTTACTTAACTTGGCGACACTTCGGCATCTCGAATCAAGGGATCTGATCTACTGGCTCCCGGTGGATCTCGGTACCGTACCTCGTAATAGTTGGACACCTTGATCAGGAAAGTATCCATGGTACAACACGTGGGAAACTCCCAATCTTCCATCGTCTAATTGCTAGACGCACGCCGCTTTGCTCACTCTGAACAGGCTGGGGCAAATTTACGCCAGCTCTTTGCCTGCCCTGACATACTCGCACCGAGTTCATACTTTGTAGGTCACAAGCTTTTTGATGCTCGGCGCCAGAGCACCATTTTATGCTCTCCGACGTCTTTATCACTTCCTAAAATATAGATTCTTCCCTCCTTTCCACCAGCCTTGACCTTGGTCCGTTGACGTGACGCCAGGCTACCCAATGTTACACAGTGTGTCGCAGCGTTACTCCCAAGCACCCAGTCGCTACTATAACTACTATCAAATGTTGTTGCCAGTCCAAAAAGCTTTGAAAAAGAAGAAAGGTAAAAGTGGTGACACAGTGTTCATGTTGGTGGTGCCTCATCGCCAACGTCTCGGGGTGATCCTCCTCCGACCATCATCTTCAGTGCACGGCCGTGACAGGCTGGTACTGAATCTCGGCCAAGTGATCGCAGCCAGGTGCCTAAGATCGCCGATGATCAAATCCTCCGTCTTTTCCTTCCCTTCATCTCAGCATCAGCAGAGCCTCCCGGTGTGACAGGGGCTGGGTTTGCTTCGGCAGAGTCTGGCGGTCCCTGGCTCACATCTTCGGCTGATAGTTTGACGATCCGGAGCTTTATCAAGTCTTGATACTCGGTATTTCCGAGGCATTCGCGTAGTGGCATTTCAGGAAGGGACTGAAGCTTCGATTGTGCGTTATCCGCTCTCCTTCTCCACTCCTTGTGTTTGTCTTCCCATGTCTTTAGAGATTTGGTGACCTTGATAGTGAGATCTTGTCCACTTTCGTCTTCATTCCTGTTGTAGTGATGTGGGAAATGCCAACAAAAACGGGAATCCTGATCTTTGGGAATGGTGAAACACCGCTCTTTTTCGCTTGGATTCTCCAGAAACTCACGTACAACAGAGCAATGAGGACAATCTGTCCAATCACACTTGGCTATGTCGTCGGGTAGGGACCAATTGTGCGGTTTTGGGGGCTCCTTCTCCACCACCCTCTCAATATATGTAGGGATAGCTTTGGCGTAGAACAGAGACGCCTCAAGGGGCTGAAGTTTGGTGATGTCGATCAACTCCTGCAGGAGTGGAATAATGAAGCGGTCAAGGTCGTCTTGCTGGATTGTCGCAGTGTCATTTGCAATCTTTTCAAGTAGCTGTCCCGCCTTAGTCAGGTCTTCTCCTGCAAGTCGTCGATATAGAGACACGACGACGGCGACGTCCTTCTTGCTTAATTTGTCACGAATTGACCAAGAGGACTCTGGCCACGACGAAAATGGATAGTTCTCTCGCTGAAGTCTCGACTTCCTATATGACGAAAATTGGTGCAACTGAAAGGAAGAGATAGCTGCATCAAAGATGGGCGAGAGAAGATGTTCCACCACGTCAGACTTTTGAGCCGTTTGAACGTAGCAAAGGGTCTCCACGAAGAGCGCGCTTACGAAGGCCGTCTCGTCCACAAAGCGCCCAAGGAAGGTATCCATGCTATTTAAGCGAGGGTTAGCCAACATCCCAGCAAGGACAACATTAGACCTCTGTTAAGGAGCTCACCATTTCCAGAGCTTCGTATCCCCATAGGTATCCATGATCTGAACCACAGCTCCCGCATCCTGAGGAAGAACTTCTGTAATTGAATTCAAAGCCTTGCAAAGGGTATCCACTGCCCATTGATGAACGGCGCTTTCTAGTCTTTCTTGAGAGTCAGGTTCAGCAGAGCCAGATCTTACACCGGAGCGGAACGCTCGAAGGCCACGATCAACTAGGTGCAGTTTCGAAATCCGGGAAAAGTCTTTCGCGGAACTGGAATATCTTAGTGGAAAGTATAAACCAACTCACAAGCAAGCTTACAAGTCTTTCGTTTTGTCGAATCCCAGCATGGCAAGGTTCCAGAAGGTGGACCTGTCGAAGCTTTCCTCCACAGCATCAAGGGCTGTATTGGCTAGCTCAAGGTTGTCGATGCGTAGTAACTCTATCGCTGTGGGACCCAAGAAACCATCTTTCTGGCGACTGTTTTTGTACCGCATTTTAAGATGCCTGTTGCATGTCTGTTCGATAATTTCACGAAAGAGGCAATGTTCACCGTTGTTCTGACCTTTGAGGTTGACAAACAGTCGGTCAAGGAACTTTGAGTAGTGTTCAACCTTATAACCACTACCAAGGAGGAACTTGGTCATCTGGTCTCGACGAACAATGACAATGACCTAGACTGATTGTGAGTACTAGGTCGACTTCAGCTCGGCACAGGACGTACAGCATCATGGTAAGCTTGGACAATTTCAGCATGTTGGTTGCCCAAGTGTTCCCCTCCCCATTGTTCGTCACGGTCACGGTTTGCATAGACAGATTGCTGTACGATCAAGTCATCCGATATCTTCAGGGAATCTTGAAGCTTCGTGCCCTGTAGAGTGACAACATCATTCAGGCAGAGCTCTTCGTTCCCTTCTTGCTCGTACTCCTCGTCGTTGCTTCGGCTCACAGTCAGTTGCAGCCGGGATAGGAAAAGGCAAAAGCGACCATTTGACTGGCAAGCTCGTTCAAGCTGAGAGCAACGGTAATAATCGTCACCTTTCAGACAGCTCAATTGGAGCCCTGCGCCGGTATACTTGTGTTCAAGGACATAACACAGGAACTGTGGTTGGTCTTGCATGGAATACCATTCGGTGAGCACCCCGTCGATTTTGGATTGTTCCACGTCCAGTACAGCAGCTGAGAGTTGACGTGGAACAGTGGCGTTGATGAGGTTGTATGTTAGAACGAATCGACAACCTGATTTAACTGGCAATATCTGTACCAATGAGTTGCAACACAGACCCTGATCGATGTAATGCCCTTACCTCATGTGATACATCGCTATACCTTCAAAGACCAATTAGCATGAGAATATGTCGGATGAGATGCCGGGATTACCAAGCCAAATAGGAGACACCGTAAGAAGACCACTTGTCTGTCTCGAGAATTGTCTCTTCTTCTCCATGAATCAAGCGCACTGCGCCGCCAGTGCGCTCCGAGGGTAGGCAAACGACGAGGGTTCCAAACATGTTTTTAGTCTTCTCCGTACTACAGGTGGTTAGTAACTCTGTAGGTTGTGAGGCTTCGCACTTGGAACGTACTCTTTGTGAGGTTTGAAGAAGGCACCCTCCTCATACACCAGTAGTTTGTAGAGCTCAGCTTGTACACTGCCAGCACCACCAGGTATGCCCAGACCGCTGGATACATGTTCGAGAATCTGTTCAAGCCAGGCATTCCAACCTTTATTTTCGAATGACAACTCTTTTCCGTCGATCTCCCAAGTCTTTCTCACCGTCTCATCCACCAGCGTCTCCCCTCCCTTGCCAAAAGGTGCTTGACGGCTCACTCGAATGAGAGCACTGGCATCTTCACGAGATAAGGGTAGTCTGATAGGACCGACACCTTTGACGGTCAGACCAGGAAGTATGTGCTCGACGTTGTGGTCAGATGTTGCGAAAGACCCCGAGCTATGTATTCCACGAAGACAACCCCGGATTTGAGATCTCAGGGGGCCGTAGGGTTGCTCTTGCTCTTGCTCTTCGTCGGAGCCATACTCGTAGCCATCTTCGGAGCTCATGGTTGCGAGGGACAATATCAATTCACGCCTTGGACTGGTGAATAAGGAGGAGTGAATGAGAAAAAGTGAGAAGCTTGCGGGTCAGATTAGAGGGAGAGGAGAGGAGAAGGTGGGATTTTGAGGGTATGACCAGGAAAGCTGTTTGTTTCAGGGACCGAGACATTTAACAAAGCCATCATATCCACATGCCACATTTCACATTCTAGTGCTTGGTTCAAGGAAATCACTTGTACATGGACGGACCCACGCATCAATCGCGACATGTTGTTTGGTGTTTGATCCTTTCTAACCAACCAAAGCAAGTGACCAAGTTTGACAGCCAGGCAGCCGCCAGGCATCCATCAGACAGCCTCGTCTCCAAGGTCCTGTCACGTCCAGGGCGAGATGGTCTAGCCATTACCTAGGTTAACTATAGTGGATGGTGAGTTATCACTTTGTCGAAAGATCAAGTCATATCTAATGGATGGATCCTATCCTAGTCCTCAATCTACGCTCACATTATCACATTCCAGTGCTGAACCAACATAGAGTCAGTAGTACTCCACGGCAATTTCACTACTTAGGTATCCAGCAGCATGTACAGTAGACTGTCAAGGATTGTGATCATTATGGCAGATTATCTATACGGTCATATCACAGCCCGTTGTCAATTCGGGACTGGTTATGATGATAGTGCCAGGCGAAGAGAGATGGGGGACACTTATGTACTGGGCTGCGCGTTGCCATCTGGCCTGGACCAACGTGGTAAAGGACAATTTGTGAAGATTTCATCATGAGCATGTCAAGTACCTCAGTGTCACCTTAGTCTGCAGTGAATGACACATTGACACCTGAGCAGATAAATTCACTTTCAGTTGATAGAGATAGGTTCTCAGGGTATATAAACCACACAGACTCTTGCCCAGGTTTCACCTTTTAACACAAACACAATAGACATTCCTCTCGCTGGTATCGAACACTCCTCAACACAACAATCGCTCTCAGCTGTATCGCAACTTCATCAACAGAATCTTCGTCAACATGGATATCATCTTGCTCCCAGTCCTTCTTTTCCTGCTGGCTCTCGCCAATGCCACGGCAATCCCCTCATCTCTCTTGGGTGTTGAGACCATTGTCGATCTGGCCAAACGCAACGAAACCTCAGGCTCAGCTGCACTCGCCGATCCTCTCACCTTCAACATCAGTCCTAATGCCGTCGGTCCTCCGTGCGGAATGACCTGGGAAGTCAACATCAATGTCAAGTCTCGTGGCTCCGTCGGCGATACCAGCACCTCATGCAACGCCTTGTACAACTATGTCACCTTGCCGTCCTCGTCCGTTCCTCAGACCATCAGCAAGGATGTCAACTTTGTTTACCTCTGTCCTGACACACCCACACCGATCGTCCCCGAGGGTTATGGGTACCGCGACATCAAGTTCATCGTCAAAGGAGGGTCAGATTTCCCGAGCACTCAGAACACATTCTTGGCTCAGTTGCAGGTCTTGAACATCAACGACAGTCCTGAGACGGATATGAACATGCCGATTAAGATTGGATACACCATCACCAACAATGCGGACCCGTTGAAGCAGCTCAACTTGCAGTACATCTATTGCGGTTGATGTCCCACCAGCAAAGATAGACACGACCAAAGGTAGTGAAGACACAGAAGCAAAGGTTTGAGTACAACTTCGAAATCTTTCCATGGGCAAAGGAAGCGAAAATGCATACAACTTCGAAGCACTGGGTCAATAGGTCCTTTTGCTAAGGGGGCACATAGCTGGCGACATGAGCTCGAAACTGGCGTTGACTAGACATTGCAGTGGATTTTCTGATTGCGCCGTCTCGGCTGGCGAAGCGAAATACATTTGCATCAAGATCGATGTCTCTTTCGATGAATATTGTTCGCTTCTTGTTCAAGCTCATCGTAGATGGACGTCAACAATAACTAAGGTGCTAGACACCCACTAGGCAAGCTCCTTGTGATTAGGTGATTTCAACGCCCCTCCGCACGGAAATGTGTTCCGACCGCTAAACCGCGCCCGTAAATTTCGCATATCGTGTTTCTCCGCATCCTTTTGCCTGGCCTCTCCGACACTCCCTCTTCGCGCAGCCTCGATACACCTAAACTCCTCTAGAGCATTCCCTTGACATACCCGAAGGTGCTTCATCATGGCAGACCGAAAGTCCGCTTACGGCACCGCTGCCGCCTCCGACACCGACTTCCGCCGCACCTGGGATCGCACCGAATACGAAGCGAAGGCGAAAAAGGAACAAGAAGAACGTCGGGAAGAAGCCAAAGCGCGCTATGAGGCCAAACTCGAGGGCAAAAAATGGCACAAGCCCGTGGATTTCTCCTCCCTGGACTCTACGACCGCGCGTGGTTCGAGGTTGGACGTGGCGAGCATGGTCGGAAAGAGCACGATTGTACCTGCAGGCGCGGGAGTCGGGAGACGGGGGAAAGGTGCAGGATTTTACTGCGAAGCCTGTGATTTGACATACAAGGACAACGTCCAGTACATTGAACATCTGAATTCGAAGCAGCACCTGATCAACACGGGGCAGTCGGGACAGGTGAAACGAGCGACGCTCCAAGATGTTAGGGAGAGGTTGGAAATGCTCAAGGCACGAAAGAGACAGCAGGAAGAAGAGGCGAAAATGTTGGGCGAGCTTGACATTCAGGCGAGGATCAAAAAGGCCGAAGAAATTGACGCGGCAGAGCGAGAGGAGAAGAGAAGAAAGAGGAATGAAAAGAGGAGGGCGGCCAAGGAAGACAAGGGCGTCAAAAAGGAGGATGAGTGGGAGGGACGGCTGGGAATCATCTCTTGATCTGAAAGGCATGAAGCCATGCCTCGGATGCTATTTCATGGCAAATCATATTCCGGATGATGGTCACAATGAGGAACGGTCTCCTCATCGGCCGCTCGACCCGTACTGAGTGCGTCCACCTCGACCGCACTGTCACCAGTCCTGCTCCGAATCAAGCATATACAAGCGGACAAAGCTATCAGCAACGATTCGGCGCCGTCTTTGCTACAGCATCTGAGTTGGGCTCCGTCGAAAGGAATCCTGTTTGATCGAGCGGGTGCCCGCTTGTCCGCAATGGCACGGCCGAAGTGTGTTTTTCCTCATCAAGTCCTTGAAAAGAACAAGAGGATACGAACTCGCAGCACGAAGCACGACAAAATTCGACTACACGAATCACTCGTTTGCGTCGGGTACACCGCTATCCAAGGTATGGAAGTCTCCTACGCGACAGGGGATCGCCCGAAACCAAGGACTAGGCTATTTGACTACGGTCAGGTCTCCAGCAAGTACCGTCCTCTTGGCTGTTAAAGTCTCGTGTGACAATGTCTCGGGCACGAGGATTGTGGACTGTAGCCTTGCCGAACAAGCAGCGCCGCCCGTTGCGGCTCGTGAGAACGTCGAACCTGAATATGCTGACGTCATTGGCTGGATGTTGGATCCATCATGGGTCGATACAGCCTCGTCGATCAATACAACAACATCTCTGCAAATACCAATTACTGCTCTATGAGAGACGTGCCCAGCAACCTATAGCCAAACCCTCAATCTGACCGGGTTGCGCAATGTAGAATTGCAGCTTTTCCAATGACCAAAACAAGAGAAACTGTCAAAACTGCTTGGCAGCATCACCGACATCGCAATCCACGAGTGACGGCATACATTGCCCTCGATCATCATGCGCCCGCATTTTCTCTTCTCATCGAGCATCCCGTGTCTCGTGGAAACCCCACATCGTGATCAGTGACAAACCCTCTCTACATATCCAGATCTCCAATGGTTAGACGTGAATGTGGTGCCACCGTCTCTTGCCTTACCATCATCGACGTCACTTCTCCTCGCGCGAGTTGGTGGAGGTACCCGTTCTCTCGTATGTATTTCAGTGCCTCTCTGCCTTTGTGTTTACTTCATCTTCTGTTTACTCACGATTCATTCTCAGATTCCCCCAAACCCCCAACTTTGACTTACCAACATCAACGACCGCATCCTTCCAAACAACATGGCTGCCGATCCGTATGTCCTTGCCCATCCCTCTCCTGCTCCACAGCTCAGCTCAGCTCAGCTCAGCGGGCGAGGAAAAAGGATCCTCCCTCCTCCTCCCTCATTCCCTCTACCATGACCACTTGACGTTTTCAAGAGACGAGGCAAAGAACTGACTCATCTCCCGGGCAAAACACAGGTACACGGCCAAGAACAAAGACGAGCCAGGCCTCGAGGAGAAGATCAATGCCCTCAACGACTTTGTCAGATCTTCCAAGTTTGGCATGATGACCACGCGCATTGCGGACTCTGGTCTGTTAGTCTCGAGGTGCATGGCCCTCGCAGCTCAGGTATGTCACGTATCCGAGATCCTCGCCACCGGCCTTCCTCTGGACATCCTCTCCATGAGTCCAGCACGAGCGGATAAAAGAATGGACGCAGAAGAGAAGCAAAAACATATTACTAACCACCATGGGACCATGGGACAGGAATCCGGCGGCGTCGATCTCCTCTTCCACACAAACACCGAGTCCGGCAAGACATCGGACCTCTCGTCGGACGAGCACGTCAACATGTCCTTCCTGAACTCATCCGGCAGCTGGGCCTCGATCTCCGGCACGGCCAGCATCATCACGGACCGCGCCACGGTGAAGAAGTACTACACGCCGACGCTGAAGACCTGGGTCGGCGACCTGGGCGACGGCCAGCACGACGGCAGCGAAAACGACCCCCGCATCGGCATCATCAAGGTCAAGGCCCTCACGGCGACATACGCGCTCCCCAAGGGGACCATGCTCGGTAGGGGCGTCGAGATGGTGAAAGGCGCCGTCACGGGCGAGGTGGCCAACGTCAATGAGCTGCGCGAGATCAATGAGCAGGAGTTGCAGCAGTGGCGCAGTTCACACTAGAACGCGAACTAGGACCTCTTTCACACATATGAGCACGTGCACCGTTACTCAATCTAGTTCGACCTCCAGCCTCTTCTTCTCTAGTTTGCCTCAGACGGCCAGAGTCATAAGGAGGAACGGCGGAGCTGGATCATTGAGCTGGCCAGAGCCCAGAAGTGGACATTTGTACAAGTACAGGAAAAAAAAAAGTAACAGTAAAGACGGATGGTCTTGGTGAGACTGATCAGGTCTGGCCAGCATCTCTTAGCCACCACAGACGGACAGAATCAAGTAAAAGCCAAGTCGAAACATTTTCAGTTGCTTTTTCCCATTTTATTTTCTTTTCTACAATGTAGTGTAGCGAAGAGGAGATTTCCTTTCCTTTCCTTTTGCATCCCCTGTCCCCTTCCTTTCCACTTCTCTTATCATTTTTCGTGACTGATATTTGCACAAATCCCATCCTACTCCCTCGCTTTTCCACGATCTGTTCGGGATTGGAAGGTAAGTTTTTTCCCCATTAATCGCAGAATCCCTCTCCCTCTTTCTTTAATGTCTCTCCCCCCAATGCATCTCATTCGCCGGTCCCGGATTGCACCACCACCACCACCACGACGAACGAGAAAAGCGACATGACCGACAAGTCAAAATCACGCGTAATGATACACACTGCAAAGAAGAAAAGAGGAAATGGGGGGGTATCCGTCAGTCTATGTACATGTACAGAAAATCTTAGCCGTGCGTGCCTTGTATATTCAAACAAAGGTGTAAAAAGCCGGAGGTGAACGAGAGCACTGTGCTGCTTGCGAAGTTTATGTTTGCAAGATCGTGAGATTGGGTCGGAATGGATATTCGTATGAGTGGTCACTTTAACAAGTTCGCTCTCGGGAGGTGAGTTCTTTCGAGCATGTTGCAGGCAATCGAGATGTGCGATCGTAGTCATGAAATCCGATCAAGGTTGTTTGTCTCTTCTCATCCCACGGCCCAAACACCACTCTTTTCAAGGCCACTAGAACGCCATATCCATGCAATTGTTGATAATTAACACACGTGAAATGAATAACTGGTGGTCTGTTCTGAGGTTCGTAAGAATTGGAGCTGGGCAGGTGCTTGAAAGTCGCCGCTTGGCTCCGACAATGGACTTCGCAGTTCCATCATCGGTCATTGCGCAGCCAGACATGCCACGAACTCTTAGACATGGTGATCCGTTCTTAGATGAGCTTCTTTCGTCCGGCAAAACCGGGGTTGATAGGCGTCAGAGGACACCCACTGCTTCAACAGTGCCTCCAGGGACATAAGTCAGTCGTCTACGGCCGAGAGATCCTTCAACGGAACCTTCGTTCACCGCCAAATCTGCCACGACCACGGTCGTTGAATGATGAGTTATCCTGACCGAACGTGCCCCTGCCAGCGCCGGAGGCACCTTGTCCGAATGGATCGCGTTCGTCATACCTGTCGCGGCGACCTCCAGGCCGCGATCTCGGACCAGAACTAAATCCAGCGCCATGTCCACTTTCCTCTCGGAACGTAAGGCCTTGGACACCACCATATCCTATCTTGTCAGCCCAGCTTCTGGTCACAGAAGGCGGCGAGTCAAGGCCCCATCCGTACGTCGCAAGCTCGTTCACTTGGTTGACAATCTCTTGTCTCGAGGAGTTGCCAGACTGGTTGAGCACAGACAACAAGCTCTGGTATGCCTTTGCCTTGTCAAGCCTAGAAACTTGCCTGACGCCAGCCTCCACCATCTGCATGATCTTGGCAGTTTGTGGTGAAAGTTGTGTGGGTTGGGTCATGTCCAATTTTGCCGTGTCCAGACTCGTATCTTCGTAGATATTGTGGGCGTGGATGCTGTTGGCTAGTTGTCTATAATCGTTCCTCTCATCATTTTGCAGGAGCAGCCATCCTTGGCCCGGTTTGCCAGCACGGCCAGTTCGGCCCAGGCGGTGGACATAGTCTTCTCGTCTATGAGGTGCGCCCACTTGGATGACATGCGACACGTTGGGGAAGTCCATCCCCCGGGCAGTGACATCGGACGAGATCATCAGTGCGCAGTCGGCATTCCGGAATGCTTGCGAGTTTGCACTTCGTTGCCGCTGATCTAATTGGGACGACATTTCGATGATCTTGCAGGGGGCGAGGGGGTGAGGAGCAAACATGCCTCCTTTGGTTGATGGGTCGCGCAGATTTTTCATGGTTTCGTATGCAATTTTGACCTCATTCAACGACCTGAAGAAAGCAATTGCTTTGAAAGGCATGTTGTTTTCCGGGTCTCTCCTATGAGCCTCCATAGCGTTCCATGCGATCTCAGTCAATGCTGGTATCTGATTCTGCAGGCCTGGCAAAAAGACAATGTGCTGTGGTACGGACTCGTGTGTGGCAGCGTCCTCAGGGTCAACAGTCCTGACGAATTTGAAGTCTGGCTTCATAGTCTCTCTCACCAAGCCAACCACGGATCGGGGCATGGTGGCAGAAAACATGAGCGTCTGACGATGTTGGCGTGTGTGTTTAGGCATGAAACTCTGAATCTCTCTGATTTCTTCGGCAAATCCAATATCGAGAAGTCGATCGGCCTCATCTAACACAAAGGTTTGAATGTTTTCCAGGTTGAGTCCGTTATAGGGGTCGGACAAGAGATCCTTGACTCTTCCCGGTGTGCCAACAAGAATATGGCAACCCGACCGCTGCATAAGCTTGAGATGATATTGTTTCTGGGTACCACCGACGGCCAATTGTACCTGAACGCCAGTGCCTCGGACGATCTTCTTTGCCTCCTCTCCAATCTGCTCGGCCAACTCGCGGGTGGGGGAGATAATCAGGGCCCTGGTGTCTCCGATTGACGGTTGTCGACGGCCAAACTCAGGATCCCGAAGCATACGTTGCACAATGGGCATCAGGAACGCCAAGGTCTTGCCGGTGCCGGTTCGAGCTTGGGCAATGACATCTGTGCCATCTAGACACTCGTTGATGGTCATTCTCTGGACTTCCGTCATTGTGTGGATGTTCATCTTGTTGACCAGGGTGTCAATGATTCTCCTGTCAATGACACCTGCATCTCCAAGCTCTGAAAATTTTGTGAATTCTCGATTGACCTCCGATATATCCTCTGCGCCAAAATCTTCCGCACGGGCATGGTCTTCAGCGAGGGCTTGTTGTCGGCGGGGGAATGTCCAGGAGAAATGTCTGACACCGAGAGATCTACTGGATATAGCGCTCGAGATAGGAGGAACAAACTGTGTCCGCACGGAGGATATCGAGACGGATGGTAGGGTCCGAATTGCTCTCAGAACATGTCGCCCATGCCGCGCTGCGCCATACATGATGGCAGAGAATGTGAGGGTAAAATGGAACTGGGAAAACGACAACGGCAATCCTCCACAAGAAGTAAGAGAAAGAGAGGGAGCAAGAAGGAATGCGAGTAGACTGTAGGTAATGAAGAAGGTAAAGAAAGGCGATGAATGAACCTGATTCCTATGCAGCGATACAAAATTTCTACGGGACTCGCTAAACAGCTACGGCGATTGGACCCTGCAGTGGAGGATCTGCTAACCTCTTTGGTACAATAGGGGGATTGCAACTCACCAAAACTTATCCGCAGCCAGAAACTCGTTCCATGGTATGTAATATTAGTTATTGTATCCCTTCTTCTCTAACTGCCCATATATTGCCACAGCGTAACGCCTTCCAAAGGAACGACATCGGCATTATCACAAGGGTAATGCCCAATCTGAGTCGGGTATATGCCACGGTCATGATTGTCGCGTACCCTGAACCCAAGCATTCCCACTCTTGAACGGCATTTGTCCCTAACCTGATTCGCTAAGCACGCATAATACTAAAAGTCTCCCCTTTCGAACCTCTAATTCTTTTGACGGTATTATTGCGTGCTGCAGAGCGCGATACATTGGAAAGAAAGAGCAGGTATTGTCGAGGAAACGCACTGATTGCATCCCACTGTCAATATGGTTCTTGTGAGCTGATCGAGGTTGCACCGTGAAACTGAAGTTTGTCCGATGTGTGCCAGCTTCTGACTTTCAAGACGACATATTGCAAGCCCGTATCGCGAATGTGTCTCTGCCTCCGAATATAATGTAATACCTCTACCATCTTGGCTAAGCACCAAGCACGGTACCTACTTTCCACTCGAGCATTCCCAGATTTATCGTCGACCGATTTCGGAGCATGCTCGAGATTGCGCGCCTAAGCGTGGTGATTCGAGGCGTGCTGTGGTTTGGCCGGCCGTGTCCAGGGAGGGATTCGTCTCGACATTGAGGGAAGGAGGAGCATTTCACGGATCCCAAGGACTGACACCTTCGGTTAAACAAAGGCAAAAGTGATTGGAGATGGTTGAACCACCATGAAGATAGTTCATGCCTCGGTTGATGGCGTAACTACTACAACATTACTCACCACTTTATGATCGCAAAACTCCTTTCGCGTTTTTCGTGCAAGTTGACGGATTCACGAGGATGCCGATTCAAGCCTTGAAAAGCCGCACTTTCCGTCGGCTCATCGGGTCACCCAGCGAAGCAGAGGATATCTAGTCTCGCAGGGCCGTCGTGGAGCTGATATTTGCTGTATTTATTATTCGCTCAGTCCTGTTTTTGCTAGACTCGGCCTGTTGTCCGGCGAGCCAATCGAAGGCAGGGTGAATCGATGAGGATGGCGAGATCAATGGATCCCCGCAGCCAGGTCCAGCAAGAGGACGAAGGGCGTCGCAAATGATTCGAGGAAGTCAGACGTGGTTTAAACCCTTGAGCCTGGTTGTGGAGATAGCTCACAAGTCCGAGGCGTAATCGCAGATTCGTCGACCTCTGGTATCTGTTTGGGACATTTTGCCTCTGATCATGAACCCCGTCGGCACTTCCCCACGTTTGACTTTCCCAGTCTTACTTCACTTTCACAGTGAATCCGCAGTATATCAGCCCGAGTCTCTTCCTGTGGACCTCTCATGACTCTTTCACTCTATCACTCCATCGCTCCATCACCAAATCACTAAATCATCCCGTGGCTCTACCACATATTCGATCCTCTACCACTGTACCCATACTTGCGCACCACGACACATCTCATCCACCATGGCCCCTCCTACTGCAACATACACCGAGACCAATGTCCCCGCCCCCGGCTTCGACACAGCGGATGCTCAGCCCGCGGGCACTGCACCCAACGAGCCCAAGTTGAAGCAAGGCAATGCCGAAGTTCAGATGCAGAAATTCCCTTCTCCGCCACGCTTCACCGATAAATATGAGGAGAGAGAATATCTCAAGGGTCGTCTGGCACTCGCTTTCCGTCTTTTCGGAAAATTTGGGTTCGATGAAGGTGTCGCAGGCCACATTACTTTGAGAGACCCCGTCGATCCCACTACCTTCTGGGTGAACCCATTCGGTTTGGCCTTCTCAGAGATCAAGAAATCTGACCTCATCCTCGTCGACCATGATGGGAAAGTCATTGATGGAGGCCCGAACAGACTGCTCAACCAAGCCGCATACATGATTCACGCAGCCGTCCACAAGGCCCGACCAGACGTCAACTGCGCCGCCCACTCACACAGTATCTATGGCCGCGCCTTCTGTGCCCTCGGTCGACCGATCGACATCATCACACAGGACAGCTGTGCGTTCTACAATGACCTTGCCGTGTACAATTCATTCAAGGGTGTGGTCCTGGCCAAGGAAGAAGGCGAGAACATTGCCCGCGCGATCGGAAACAAGAAGGCTTGCTTGTTGCAGAACCACGGTCTTTTGACAGTCGGACAGACGATCGAGGCCACCATATTCTGGTTCTGCTCGCTGGAGAAGTGTTGCCATGCCCAACTCATGGCTGATGCGGCTGCAGCTGGTCGTGGTGGAACAACCATTCAGATCGATGACGAGGATGCTGCGTTCACATACAAGTCCGTCGGCACGCCTCGAGCTGGTTGGTTCAGCGCGAAGCCTCTGTTTGATGTCATGGCTAAAGAGGCTGGGGATGAGTATTTGCAGTGAGGGCAGGAGACACAACCTCTTGCTTGACTGCAGGCAGAGAAAACGAGAGTCGCGGAGACCAGGGTGGTCTATGACCTCACTCAAGCCTTACTAGGTCCACGAAAACATTAGTTTCACTATCCATAGCCATGAATGATATCAAATACACTGTATTTCTTTCAAGTGCATATTGTTGACCATGATACCTCCTGACATCGGGGCACATACCCTGGGACTCAGTAGTATGGTGCAGTCCCTATTTAGATTCTTTACCTCAATGGCCAATGTGTCTGCCCCACCTGGAGCAGTCCGAAGATGGGATGAAACTTTCCGTACCTGCGCTCGCATCATCCCAGACGCAGGAATATCCTGATGGCTAGGCCCTGTCAGCTTATTGTAAAGTCAGCCTCGCCTTTTTCCATCAGATCAATCGTGGTTCAGCGGCATCCTCCGAAAGAAAGAAGTTCGCCATCGAAACCAGAGGCTTATCGATATGCACCTGTTTTAGTTTGCGTGGGGTAGAGATGATCGGGGGTGGATGGATGTTTCGAGCGGAAGAAAAAGAGCGGGAAAATCGTGCGCGTGCCCCACTCCACCAAAAATCCCGTCTCTCCCTCGCTCGTTCGCTCGCTCAGCTGGCTCGTCGGGGCCTGAGTGATATACCCGCTGTCTCCTGCTGGGCTGCTGCGCTACTGCGCTACTTGGCTACCTCTGGTGAGGGTTAGAAGTCTGCCGAGGAAGAGGGCAAAGACTGCAGAACCAGCACCGAAATACCAAGAGGAGGGGGTTCGGCTGTGGGGAATGGATTGCCGGCTTGCACTCTATCCGGAACGAACTATTACGATATACACTCGCACGAGTAGAGCTTGCATGATAGTTTGGCTTAAGTAGTACATTTCTTGACAGGTGACCATTTCTACCAAAGGTACACCGGAGAAAAAACATTGGAAACACTGGAAACCTGCTACCACTACCACTACTACGTAAATAGGGACTTTTGTCGAGTGTGGACGGACAAAATCACTTGTACTGTAGATCCGAGCAACCAGCAAGAAAAAAAAAAGCCACGGAAAGAAAATGGCCAACAAACTCCCCCTTGTCGCCATCTCGCTCGGCTTCTGCGCCGTCTTTTGGCAGCTGTTTCTTCGAGAGGTCCTCTTCAACGCCGTGGGTTTGGGTCGCACGGTGCAACCCGTCACAGACTTCCCATACCAATGCCACCGAATAAGCGGCGACCCAAATCTTCAGGCCTGTGAGGATATGTGGCTGGATCGGGGATCCAGAACACTATATCTGGCATGCTCGGATTCGCTGGCGAGAAAGGAGTGGATGCCAAAGTATGTGGACAAGCTGACCCGTTGAAAAACGTGCTTTTCGACTTGATATGGGGGGTGGGCAAAATTGTTAAGAATGATGACAGTATTCATCGTCTCAATGCCTCCGGCCGAGCGTTGCAGGACCATATCGTCGCCATGGGCATCGACAGCCCGACCAGCTCAGGAGGCTACACCTACCGTGTTCTCAAGACGCAGGGTTTCTCCGGTGTCCACGGCGACGGTCGTATTCATGTCGTCGGCATGACCGGCACCACGTCTGCAGATGGATCCATCGTTCAGTTGTGGTTGATCAACGCGAGTCCCTCTGTTGATTCAGAAACGGGAGAACTGCTCGACAATGCGGTCGTTGGGGGCAACTCAACCATCGAGGTCTTCGCCACCGCACCGCGTTATGCTAGCATGAAGCATGTCAAGACGTATGCTAACTCCCAGATTGCGACTCCCAACAATGTCGCTTTGACAAAAGATGGCGGTTTCTTCTTCACGAATGATCACGGCCCTCACAAGGTTGGTTTGGTAAGAGAGCCCCTCAAAGGCACGGTTTCACTCACTAACTCTGCGCAAAGCAACATCATCTATCTTCCTTTATTGGCACAGGGGACGTCTCATACTGCAGCGCAGCCGGTGTTTGCAAGAAGGTCGCCTCTGGGTTCAAATTCCCCAATGGACTTCATCTCGGGAGCGATGGCCTTCTCTATGTGCCCAGCGCGGCTGTTGGGGGCATCGCCGTTTTTAAACCAAATGCAGACGGTTCTGTGGTCAAGGTGCACAAGATCGACCTTGATTATCCCATTGACAACCTCTCTGAGGATGCCACTGGAGATATCTTTGCCGCGACTCTGCCTAAATCGCTCAAAATGTTGGCTGGGTTCGACGATCCACTCAATCTCAAAAGCCCTCCGGCTACTGCATGGCGAATTCGGAGGTTGAACAGAGAGATCCAGGACAAGTATGAGTATGAGCTGACAAAAATCATCGAGGACGTGGAGGGGGAGGTGTTGCCTGGTACGACGACTGTGATCCACGATGCCCAGACCGGAACATTGTTCTTGAGCGGTAAGTGATGCGTCTCCCACAGTATCGAGGGTCGATTTTGAGTAATTCCCTATAGGTGTGTTTTCACCATTCATCACTGTTTGCAGAAAGGTCTGAGATGAGAGCCCGCGGATGTTCAAAAGTACCTGAGACCCAATGGTGCCATGTCGGCCATCCTATCTGGTCTGGATTGATGACACAGGACTGTACCGGTCCAGTCTGGATTGAAAATACCCACTGGATCCGAAGCATTTAGAACCAAGTGAGCTTGAATGGTGACGTGCGCTGGTCCAGGGACAGGATCGACAACAGCCAAGCGCCCCTGTTGATCTTGGTCGGTATGCATACGAAGTACACGGCAGACGACGTCAGCAGGCTGGGCAGTTGGTCTTTCCACAGTACTTGGTACTTGGCCCATGGTGTGTATGGGAATTTAATGTGTACTCGGTAGGTATCTACATCATGTACTCGGTACCTCTGGTGCCTCGTTCGAGGAATAATATTGGATGATGACGACGAGGAAGAAGGCGAAGACGGCGAGTCGGCGTCACCGACTGCCGACCTCCGACCTCCAATGAAAATCCATGTGACTTGCGATCTGCAGCCTGCGGTCCCCCTACGCAACTTCTCCTCCTCCCACCATCTCATCCAAGAGTCCATCCATCGACCGTATGTTCTCATGTCGTTGGCCCCCTCTTTGGCTCCTTGGCCTTTTGTCCATCAGTCCAACGGCATTCTACCATTTGTCTCTCTGATCCTGACGCCTAACCCTTCACGTCGTTGTCATCGTCTGTCCTTGGTCTTCATCTCTCGGGCACCGAAACACCAACCGCATCAGCCGCATCATGCTCTTGTTGCCCTTCAGCCTCTACGGCGGGGGAAAGGCCGCCTCCTCTGCCTCACCATCCAAAGTCAGACCTCCTTGGCAAGCCACATTCGTAACCTAGAGCCCTGGGCCCCCGAATCTTGCGGGGCTTGTTCGTCCCCTGCATGCGGGCCTCTCAAGGCACATTCGTCAAGCTGAACACCAGCAGCAAGGAGCCGACATGCTTCATGCACGATGTCCGAGAACCGAATAAATAGGGCCTAGAGCTGACTCTGTATATTTTGTAAGACTGTCAGTGCTCTGTCAACCTTCTACTGAGGCAAAAAGAGTAAGACATCGACCTGATCACTGTGTAGAGTTCGGAATCTGCTCATCAGGCCTTCTATATCCTCACATTTCCCCACTGTCCTGCAACTATTCAAACCACCGACCGATCTCGACCGTGAACTCTTCTCACCCTCTCCCTGTGCCGTGCAATCCTCGTCCCACGAAGGCGGTTTGAGATCTATTCACTTGAGCCACACAGTCCCCGTTCGCACAATATCCTCTATTCAAGATGTCAGCCTCGGCGCCATCACCTCCAACCATTGTGATCAATACCCCTGGCGCACCAACATCGACCGTCTCTGCTCCCAGAACCGAGCCCGCAAAGGTGCGACCTCAGAAGCCCGCCCTTGTCAAGCAGTGCTACCTCTGCGACGAGCAGAACCCTGGCGACTTCTCTCCAACCACCAAATTCCTCGAGACTTGCCTGCTCTGCTCGCGCCATTTCTGCCCCATCCACAAGTCTGTTAGCTGGGACCAGGTCTGCAACATCAATCATGCCGAGTACTACCGCGAATGTTTGGAGAAGGCAAGGCAAGAGTTGATCGCTCAGGGGAAAACATCCGAGGCGAACAGGCGATCTCTTGCGGAGGTGTTGATCAATGAGGGTATTTATCCAAGTTTGGGCGAGCGGGAGAAGGCTATTTTCACAACGAGCCCCGTCAGTGAGAGTGAGTCGAAACAGAACAAACCCCATCAAAGTTGAACAATCGTGCTAATGTCTGCGGTGTAGCCAAAATGCAAGAACTCGCCAGCTTCCGCTCTCTCGATGCCGCCCTGTCGGGAACGAGCACACAGCCCAAAAGCCAGTTAATTGAAGAGAAGGACTTTGTCGGGGCAGATATTGCTGTTTAGAGGGGCGGTGCTGAGGAGAGGATACATCCCATCATGTACGGTACTTAAGCATCGCACTAGAAAGGCGATGAATGACCAAATGCAACACGGTATATCCCAGCGGGGACGGATTATCGCAAGGCCCTATGACGTCCCTTTTGTTCTCGCCCTCTCTCTCGTTACGATGTCTGACTTTGCCTTTGCGCGACATTGATGGAGCAAGCACGAGTTACAAGCCTGACCATTTATTTGAGAAGATATGAGAAAGAAAGTCCATGTCAAACGTCTTGAAGAATTTGGGTTCCTCTACTTGTACAAGTCGAGTCCATTCCATACGCTTTGCGGCTTCAGTCCCGTAACCCGTATGTTCGAGTTGGCTTTGTGCGGCGACCTCAATCCCTGAAATACTGTCCAGTCCAGCTCGTGCATGTGAGCCCTGAGCCCTGGGCCCGGCAATCCCGAAGCCCTGTTGAACCTATTTCGTTCTACGACGGATTGCAGATGGAAAGAATTCCAGAATACACCATATCCGGCCCGTAGCCTACCATCGCGGTAACAGACAGACAATGCAAAAATGTGCTTCGGAGCCTGTATTTGGAATCGACACCACCGAAGTAGAAACGCCATGTGTGTGCCTCTCAAGGCTGTATTCATGCGCCCAAGGCCAATAGAGCAATACATAAAAACCAAACAACTTCGCTTTCAGTGCGCCGTTCCAATCGTCAATAAGAAGCATCTCGCGCACCATTCCACTGCATGACTTCATTCCTGTTCCTTTAGTTTTTCAGGCACAGACGATTCCTTCGAGAACGCTCATGGCTCTCTCCCCCTCGTGTTCAAAAATCCCGACCACCCGCTCCGCCTCCGCTCTTAGGCCCTCTTCGGTCTGCTTAGCAATGTATTCGATCCATTCCTGTACTGTCATATCCTTTTCGTCTGTGGAGAGTTGAGCGCCCGTCAAGCCCAGCAATATATCTGCATCGGCCTTCTGCGGCGATGTGGGAATAAAAATCAACTCAACATCTGCAGGCGTCCATTTTGTTATCCCTGGGCTTTCACCGGGAGAGCTGGAGATTGGATGGCGGCGGCTGGGAGTGGATGAGCTGGGAGGGATAGGAGGACGGTCGGACGCAGGCCGCGTAGAGGGCGGCGCGTTTTCAATGTCTGAAATTGAGGGAGAGGGAGCAGGGGAAGAGTTATTGTGAGCTTTTGGCATCGGCGATATGAGACGAGTAGAATCGATCTTGCTAGATGTAGGTTTTGGTGTTGCTGTTCTAGCGGCAGATGTGGAGAGGCGTGTCTTCACAGGCGTTGGTGATGCTTGAGGTGGTGGACCAACAGGACTTAGATGACGAGGCTCATTGGAAATCCGTGGAGGAGTGTTGTTTTCGTTCAACATTGGATATGAAACCTCTGCGGGAGGGGTAGGTGTTGGGCTGGGTAGAGTTTGTTGCTCTTGAGATTGAGCTTCTGGATCGAGAGCCACCTCGTGAGCATGCGTTGCAACTGGCTCATGCACGCTTTCCGCAAGAATCTCTATTTCATTCATTGCCTCTGGTCCAGATTGAGATTCTTCCTTCTTCGTCCGTGTTGATCTGGTGGTTTTTGTTCTCTTTGATTTCGTTGCTTTCGATCGGCCACCGGCAGCTTTCCGCTTAGCTTTAGTGGTAGCAGTTGATGCCGTTGACATGACCGACATGACCGACATGTTGCTTGTATCTATCGAGTCATCGAGGTCTGGTATTAAATCATTGGCAGTGCTCGGGGCTTCTGACAGAGAGGTCAAGTCTTGCGTATTTGACTGTGTTGATAGCCGCGCTGAGGCCTTTGATGAACGTGACGCTCTTGATGTGCGGCCTTTCTTTGCTTTTGGCCGCTTTGCTGGTGCGGTGGTTCCTGCAAAATGGAAAAAAGGACAACTTGGCGACCGCCGATAGTGTTCGTCAAAAGGGTCATCCTTTGGTTCCCAGCCATCAAGGGACAATTTGCAGTATACGCAGGACACATAATCCTCGCTTTCTGGTAGCGGTGCAAAATGCCACCCTGCTTCCACCATCTTTTCTACCTTACACTTCCAACCTCTTTTGGGCTCGTGTGGCCATCCGACGGCGAAGGTAGCTCGACGTGCGTCTGCATACAGCTGCTCCGTAGGGTCTTCCAACGTGCTGATGTTTTGTTTCGCATCTTGTGCGGTGCTCATCAAAATCGCCCAGCCGCAGTCGCTTGAATGTTTTAAATGTTCTCCTATCGGATCGTCATCCGGCTCCCAGCCATCAAGTTGTCTTTCGCAAAGGTAGCAGATGGTGTTATCATTGCTGGCGCTGGAGGGTTTGTAGTAGAAGCCAGCTCGAGCGAGTTCTTCTGGCGTTGGGGTCTTGTGTGGCCATCCTAGCTTTGATCGCTTTGAAGGTGGCTCGAAGGTCGCAAGTCGCGACTCGTACGTAGCGTATTCCATTGGAATATCGGTGAAGTTGTGAAATCTATTGTAGGAAAGGTAAGGTGCCGTCGATTGAAGTTGAATGCTGCCACTGTTTGTTGATTCTGCCGAATTTGGCCACGTGCAGCTTGGCGGAGATGACGTGTAGTCTTCGGGTGACTTTCCCCTTGTGTCGCGTCAGATTTCAGCCCATCTCTGCTATCCTGCGCATACCTACCTTGGTCCGTAGGAGATCGCCATGACTTCTTAAACAATGTCGTAGGGAACTCACGAGACCCAAGCAATGGTAATATACCTGAAGCCAAGACCCTATCTCCGCAAGAATGACCTTACGGGTCGTGCCCAGCATCTTGGGCAAGAGGGGGTTCCAGGAAATTTACGGACCCCCTCGACGACTACCAATCCTCGGCGCCGCTCAGCGACTCCCTTTCAACTTGGGCATCAGGCGATATGCTACTGTCGAGGGAGAACACAGTCACGATAGCGCTCCGCCTCCTGGATTCGATGCCTCCAAAGCGAAGCAGAACCCCAATGCGACTCCAAGCCAACAGTCGACTACCGGCAAACCCGACTCCTTCGAGCAAGCTCCTTCATCCCGGAGCTCCTCCAAGCCTCCTTCTACGACTTCAGCCCCGACTGACTGGGAAGAAAATCCTGACCTCAGCATTTCAAAATTCTCTGAGCTTCCAGGCAAGGATTTTGGTGTCAATCAGCATATCATCATCAATGAAGAGTTCAAAGAGGCATTGCGGCAAATTCTATGGAAGTTTCGAGCTCCCATTCGCTACGCGTTTGCCTATGGATCGGGCGTCTTTCCCCAAAGTGCGGGAAAGAGCGGAGGCTCCCAAAACCTACACCCAAACCCTCCAGAAGCTGTGGCTAAAGTCCAGGATGGAAACCAGAAGATGATTGATTTTATCTTTGGGGTCTCCTATTCCCAGCACTGGCACTCTTTGAATCTACATGAGCACCGAGATCACTACAGCTGGCTAGGGTCTATGGGATCCTACGCTGTGTCCAAGGTTCAAGATTCCTTCGGGGCAGGAGTGTATTTCAACCCTTATGTCACTGTCAATGGAACTCTCATCAAATATGGAGTGGTAAACTTGGACACGCTATGCAGAGATTTGTCGGAGTGGGACACGCTATATCTCGCAGGCCGCCTACAGAAGCCTGTGAAAATTTTACGGGACAATCCAGCCGTCCGCCTCGCAAATCAGGTCAACCTAATTGCCGCAGTTCGCACCGCATTGCTCCTCCTCCCCCCCGAGTTCACCGAAAAAGAACTATATTCGACCATTGCGGGAATCTCATACATGGGTGATCCACGAATGAGCATCGGTGGCGATGACCCTCGAAAGGTCGAGAATATTGTGAAGCACCAGTTACCCAATTTCCGCCGCCTGTACGCGCCATTGATTGACAACCTTCCCAACATCTCGTTTAATGATCCGGCCTGCTCAAACAGAGACTGGCTTGATGATCCAACCGTCAATGCCAACCTGGCTCAAAACATGGATCCCGTAACACGAGGGCACATGGTCCGTCGTCTTCCCAACGCCTTCCGAAAGAAACTGTACTTTGAATATCAATCCAAATTCAGAATCCCAAGAGGCGAGTTCAACAAGATGCTTGAGAAGACCAAAGATGAAGACCCAGATCGCATTCGTAGGCGAGAGGGCGGGCCTTTTGAGCAACGAATCGCCCAAGACACCGAGGGCGGTGGATTGAGAGAGGAAGTCAAACAGGTTATTGAGCACACAATTCGGTGGCCGAGTTTTGTGCAAAGCGTGAAAAGCGCAGTGACGGCTGGGTGGTCGAGGAGTGTCCGATACGCAAGGGAAAAAAGGGAGAAAGGCAAGAAGGGTGCACAGGCACTGGGGGAGGATGCCGCGAAAAAATAAACTGAACCGTGAAAACCAACATGAAGCCGGGAGCATTTTCTTGTGTGTGTTTATAAATGATGAAAATCATCAGACGAGAGAGCAGCTACTTTCCTGCGCCGTCTAGAATTACTATAAAGTACAAGAGCATTTAGCAATGCCCGAGACCAACGAGAGGTTTTTTCTTCCCTTACCGCCTTGTTCAGTGAGACATCGGTATTTCCCCCTTGCAGACCTCTATTGCCCATGCCCACCCTGTCCCCGACAGCGAGTTTATTAGTTCAACCACCCCTCTACAAACTCTCCTTCTCGTCCACCTTCCCATCGGCCCCGTCGTATCCGTCGACAAACTTCTTCCCAGCCTTCCAGAGCACGTAGACCGGGATACCGACGCTCCAGGTCCAGACGGCGGAGCGCAGGTAGCTGGCCCGCTCGCTGCGCACGGTCATGTACAGGATGCTGTAGAGGGTCCGGGCGACGAGGTACTCTGCCGCGCAGGTGTTGAGCTCGCGGGCGTCAAGTTTGGCGTGCGTGCCTGCGATCTATATCGTGACGAAGGACAAAGACACACCCATCAAGTTAGTTTTTGATATGCAACATGTGTTGGGAGGGGGGGGGGGGGGTTGGTGGTTGTTTTGCATGGATGGACATAATTCGGACGGGAATGAAGCAGGTGGAGCACGACAAACAAAGAAAGGAACAGGAAGATCGAAAAGAGTGGCGTGGGTACGTGCATGAGGGGAGGTGAGAGATGTAAAAGAAGCCAAGGGCCAGAGTAAAGGAGCTGGTTCATACCATCGCAGCCGCAAACAGAGGAAACCCCTCCAACGCATTCAGATGGCATCCCTGGGCACGCCAGAGCATGTCGGCCGTGGCCTTGGGCAGCGTCGGCGCCAGCGTCGCGAGCTGGGCCCGTGGCACCAGGTTAGAGTAGGCATAGCCTGACGCCTTCATCAGCTTGGAGAAGAGGTACAAGTGCGGCGGCACTGAGAGCATGTACGCCATGGGCACCGAGTGGAGCGCAAAGGCGTAGGAGGAGAAGTAGGTTGATGTCCTGCTGACGGGCAGGGTCCCTGCCTTGGTCCGGATGGTGTCATCGGAGACGGCAGGGTCGGTATGCATCATGGAAGAAGACATGATATGGGCGTGTGTTTGATAGTTGACGGCGAAGGATGGCCACGGGGCGGGATTTGAAACGAGACAGGTTGTTTTGTGCAACGAACGACGGTTGTCCTCACACGTACACACAGACACGCAAACACATATATACCCCATGGGTTCATTATGCACCGATAGACACCCAAGACATGGTTGCGTTATGCTACCGGCGACAGCATAACGTACATCACGCATCTCTTCGTTAGTGATTGGACACGCCGCCTATTAGAGTGGGCTCTGTGACGAGACGCGCGAAGATCTATATCACCAAGTTAGCTGGTTCAGTTCGTTACATGCAGTTATCATTGATATGTGAATATCTTGCACTGCAGACGTAGCTCGGCAGATTGCTGCCACTTTTAGCGGTCAGTGCCGCCGCTTTTTAAAGAGGTCGCCTAGATGTCGCCTGGATCCACAACCATGTCGCGGCTAGTCCGTACGCGTCTATATAAACATCCAACAGACAGCAAACAAGAAGGGTATTTCTACCATCTATCACCCCATCGTTCATCGCTCTCTTGAAGCATTTCTCTATCATTCATAATCAGCATCACAAGATGGCGAACCAAAACCCTCTCGGCCCTCAACCAGATTTCGACCTCATTGCCGATGAGCTTAGGAAGGCACAAAATCTCCCTGCGGTGACCAATGGCGACCTGATTCTAGCTCAGCTTCAAGCCATTCATCGAGAATTCGCAGCATTTCGTCAAGAGACTGCAGCATTTCGTCAAGAGGCTGCAGAATTTCGTCAAGAAACTCGTCAAGAATTCGAAGCCGTTCGTCGAGACATCACAGGTATTCGTGAAGACATCACAGGTATTCGCGAAGACATCAGAGGTATTCGTGAAGACATCACAGGTCTTCGTAAAGATGTCGGAGGCATCAACTTGGCGATACGCGCATCGTATGTATATATATATCCCTCTCCATTCCGTGGATATTGACTGTACTAGTTTCTATAGGAAAAGCAGATGCTGAGAGTGCATATTGGGTTGACAAAGGTCGCCGGCCAACCGCCTCCCTGACAATGACGCAGGTCTAGTGAATTCAAGGGAGGGTGGGAGGCGCTTGAGATAACATGTCCAGTAGGGAAAGGGGAGATGCTCAGGATAATAACCCGAAAGTCCGGTAATGAAAGGGAGGCGTTTGAGACAACAGCATCGGAGGTCATAAACAGAAGTTCAAAGGCTCAGGGGTATGGGCATGGGCATGGGCATGGACATGGACATGGATGAAAACTGTTTTGTAATGATGAGCTACGATCAATGAGCACCAAAATCATGAATTGAATGAGCAGTGAACTTCAATGCAATCACTTTCCAAGAACAGATTCACTGTCCATCCACGCTCTCACAGTAAGAGCAACATGTCCGACGTCCTTTATGGTAGTATGAGTTGCCTCCACGTCTCTTGTCACAAACCATACCCGCCCTTTTCATTCTTCCCTTTCCTCTCCCCCCGGTTGAGCACCTCTTTACTTGTCAGGTTCCCTACGCCTTCGAGCAAGCCACCCTTGCCGAACTGCCCGCCTACCCCGTTATTAACGTCGTCCTGGATGGCGTCCACGTTCTCGTCGCCGGTGATTTTGGTCTTGCCCAGATTATCTACGTCGCAGTTCGGTCAGCAAAGGAGCACATCAAACGGGGTAGGAACTCTGGGCGGTGGGTGAGGTGTTCTGGTGTCTCGTACCTTTGGCGACGTAGCTGGTCTTGTTCTCCCCAAACCAGCCGAGGACTTTGTCTTCAATCCACGGCACCCACGACTCGTATTGCTTGTTGTACCAGTTCTTTGCGCCTTCCATGACGTAGTGAGCGTTCAGCGGGCGAATCGAAACGCGCTTCTGCCGTGGGTGATGTGCTACAAGGCTATCGCTGGCGCAGCCCAAAAAATCAAATAAAATGGAGGCGTCTGGGGAGACTGTGGGAAGTTTTGGTTCGTCTTGATGGGGTTTGCGTGGGCAAGACACATACCAAGTCAGCCAGAGACGGGCACATCAAATACCATATAGAGCCTTGGAATGAGGGACGATCACGCATGCAGAAATGCCCGTTGGGAGCCACATGGGCAGTATGATGCCATCATGTGCGAAAAGAGAGGCATGTGGCACAGGAGGCTGCCTGGGGGTGTGTGTGGCTGGTACGTCACCTCGATCTAAACATGTTTGTGATCCTACAGGCATGGCTTCTCATTGGACAGAATCAAATTCTCTTGTAAAAAGGAAACTGGAAGAGAACAAGGGATGTAGTGCAAATGGAAAAGACGTGGATAATTTGGTGTGGTGGGTGGAGGAGAGCGATGACGTAGTTGGTGCAAGGGTTACCCCTGCTCTCACAAGTCCTAGACACGCGCGACACGGTGAAGTCGACAGGGGCCTGAAGATCGGGCATCAGGCTGAAGAGCTGGTCAGCGAAAGACAAAGTATTTTCCTCTATCGAAAAAAACCCACTGGGAAAAGGATGTCCACGAGCAATTCTCCCAGAGTAAAGTGGCCCGAAAAAGGGAAAAGGGGGTGCTCCAACGCACCCTCCATGACAGGTCCGAAAACTCCTGTCAATACCAGTCGAGAAGCCACAAGGGGTAAGTTGATGCGACAATAATATACAACAAAGGTTCATGGTAGAGGACAAGACCTGCCTCAGATTCCACACGCCGGGAAAAAAAGTGAAGAGATCCCCGCAGCCCCAGAGCCTGACGCAACATCAAGAGATCCATAATGGTCTGTGGATCATCCTCATCGACTATGACCAGCCCAAGTCACATCTGGGTGGCCCGTTTCAAAGGGCCTGGCAAGGCCGATGGGGATGTTGCCTTCAGTTTTTGGCTCGTATGTTGCTCCATGGCATCCGTGGCCATTCTGATACGGATGGCGGTTGTGCTCATCCATCTCTCGTCGAAGAGAGGCTGAGTTGGACATGGGGTTGGAGCAAGAACTGCACTGCATTGCTGGCTGAGGCTGAGGTTCGAACCCGGGCATGTCAACTTCCCCCCCACAATTTCCGACAATGTAGATAATGGCTTCGGTGACTGCTTGCTTCTCTTGTGGTGATGGGTTATGCACATCAATGGGGGCATTGTGAGCGGCGCCGCAACTATGAATGTGGCTCACTGGCCGTGGTTCAAGCGGGCTGTGTTGAGACATAGCTCTGAGTCCTTCCGGACCAAGTCTGACGGATATACCGTTCCTGCGGAGCACCACAATATGCTCGTATATGGGCATGTAAGGGACACCAGCTGAGAGAGTCCAAGCTAGGGTTGGGCGTTCTGTTGTTGATCGAAAGGAATCCGAACGGTGGCGAACCGTGCTCTCTCTTCGCTGAGGCCTGGAATTGGGAGGCGGTGAGCTTGGTCTGTCATCATCGTCGTGTCGGACAGGCTCCTTGAATATTTTGTATGCCTCGTGGTGATAGCTTGAGACTGGAGTCACGGATGAATATTCACTCTGTGACCTGGTATCATCGTTATCATGGTGCTTTCTGCCAGTCGACCGAACTTCACTGTGTTTCGGCTTAGCATGGATAAGTTTTTTAGAAGAGTTGTTGCTGGGCATCTTGGCTATGGCTTTGAAATCGTTAACTTGTTGTCTGTTTCTTTGGGGGAACGAGAGTCGATCAAGGAGTGGTTGCGAAAGCACAGAGTGCCTGAGGAAAGCAGCTTCATGTTATACACTGGTTCAGCGGTTAGAGGCAGTACAAGGCAACTGGCAAGGCTGAGCGATACAACTAGGACTTCCTGCACGTTGCCCGGCGGAAAAGGTCTGGACACGCATGTCAGAAATGCGCCGCAGTCTGCCTATTACGACAGGGCTAAAACTGCCCGGTTAGTGAGGGCTGGAATATCAGGCCAATAGAGCCTGGAGATAACGGAAGCTACAGAGACTTGGAGAGTGAGGTGGCTTGAGCATGATCACGCGCTGTTGGAAATGGTACTTTGGAGTAACAAGGACAGCGTAGGGGAGTTCCGGGACGTTACACAGACGTAAATGAGAGGGTGTGAGAGCACCCTGCTTCCCAGTCACTGTACAGACATGCCGGGCGCTGACGCTTGCAAGGGTGAAGCCTCACCTTTAGGCGAGACTTGATAGGAGTTCTGCTGCAGTGACGCCTTAGGAACTAGGCGGTTACAATAAGAGACGGATGGAATTGGGCAAGACAAATAGCTGCACGTCCCAGCTCGATGGATGAGAAGATGTTGTGGTCGATGCAAGGCAAACAGAGTGGAGGAGCATCCTTCAAAAGACGAGAAAATTGGGAGATTCAAATGACGAGGATGTTCATGTTCCCGTCACGTGCATTATTCAATCACGTGATATAGATCGCGGCATTTCCTCCGCACGACACCGTCGGTCGGCATTTGCTGGTTTTCTCAATCTCTCCACAATCTCAACAACCGAGACAGACGAAAAGATGCTGCTGCAAGGGTCCTCCACCTTTCACAAGCATCTCCACCCCTTTGATCCCCAGGCATCGGTCTCTGCACCGACATACACCGGGTGGCCATTGGCATTTAACCGTAGGAGAACGACACGAAACATGTGTCGGCAAGTATTTATTTGACGAGAATCTTGACTACCTTTCCCTTCTCAGGCATCGCTCACTTGATTGATGTCCCTTTTGACCGTTGCTTTTGCCCTGCTTCTTGGACAAGAGACATCCGCGTTGAAGATAGCGCGCCAAAAACTTCATCTATATGACTCGGCAGTTGTGACCCTGTTCCCGTTCAGAGTCCAAGGTCTTCACATACCCTGACGAGTATCTATCTACCTGTCTCGCTCTCCAGAACTATCATATACCAGTCGGGCGACAATGGCGGTCATGTCAACGGCAAACCAGTTCCCCCAAGTGGGCTTCATCGGTCTCGGAGCAATGGGGTTTGCCATGTCAACGCACCTGGTCAGGACGGGCTTCCCAGTCACAGGGTTCGACATCTACGGACCAACGCTGGACCGTTGGCAGGCAACGTGTGACGAGATCCCAGAGTCCCGCGCCAAAGCTGCCAGCTCGCCCGCAGAAGCTGTCAGAAACGCTGCGGTCGTTTGTCTGATGGTCGCAAACCACCATCACGTCCACTCCGCACTATTCGACGATAATGGAGCGGTCCACGCCCTGCCCAAGGACTGCACGGTCATCATCCACGCCACTATACCCCCTACACAGCCATCTACCATACGTGAGCGGCTGACGAGTGAATTCCGCCGTCCGGATGTTCGGCTCATTGATGCACCTGTGTCTGGTGGCGTCGCAAGATCAATTAACGGCACGTTGACTATCATGGTATCCTCAGACGACATGAAGAATCTCCAAGAAACCAGCGCCAAATCGGTCCTCGAGAATGTCGCCAGTAAGGGCACGACGCTGTTCCCCATCCCTGGCGGCCTCGGCGCGGGACAGTCGGCCAAGGCGCTGAACCAGGTCATGTGCGGGATCCATATCCCCTCGGCGTCAGAAATCATGGGCCTGGCGGCGATCAATGGCGTCGATACACAGAAGTTCTACGACGCGCTGACCACCAAGGACGCTTCAACAGGGAAGACGCCCTTGGGCTGGAGCTGGATGTTTGAGAACCGCGGTCCGCGGATGCTGAGCGCGTCCCCACCCATGGCTTCTGCGACCGCCATCATCAACAAAGACGTGGGCATTATCCGCGACGAGGAGGTGCGGCTAAGCGTCGAGCTACCGCTACTCAACGCAGCTAGCGAGGTCATCACGCAGGTGATGAAGACGCACGCTGCCGCCGACGACAGCTGCATTGCGCAGTACTACCTTGGGTTTGACACAGACCGGGCTGATCTGGTGGTGCAACGGGCCGGGAATCCTGTTGCGGCGATGGGTGACGAAGATGCCCAGCAGCGCATGATCTGGATGCTAGCCACAGCGCACGCCGTTATACACCTGGTGTCGGCGTATGAGACGACGCAGTTCGCCCGCGCGCTGGACTTGATGCGTCCCGAGCAGAAGAAACAGTGGTTCAACATCATCTCGGGGGCTGCTGGTGGTAGCACCGTCTTCTCCGAGGTCATCCCGCGCGCCGTCGCCTTGGACGAAGCCACCACCGCTGGCGACGGGGGCAGCATTGAGGCTGCCTTCCGCAAGTACGCGCGCGACAAGTTTGGTGGCGCCGCCGATATCGTGCCCAAGATCACCGAGGTCATTGACGGCGCCAAGAGGCAGCAATACGAGCCCAAGCTGCTGGAGGCCGCACTGGCGAATCTGAAGACCTTGCTTGGTTAAGTCACTTCAAGGACAGTCTCGATTGGAGAGCTTTTTGTGACGGTTCGAGCAGGATATTACTGCCGAGATACGCTATCTCACGAATGCCTCGAATCGAAAGGAAGTATCACTTGTAATCGATTTTATCCTATCCCACTGTCTCCCTACCTATCCACCTATCTATCTGGTTTATCAACGTTTTGCGGATCGCGAAGGGAATGGCACAAGGTACGAGGTAATGACATGACGCTGCTACACTGCACTACACTGCACTACACTCCACATGGCAATTACATCTTCAAATGGCGTCCTGGTTTCTGTTTCTACGCCCCCCTTCTTGGGGTGAGAGATATGAATTGGTTGGTTCATGACGACGTGCGTAACACAGACAGACAGACAGACAGAGAGAAATGTATATACATATATACATACATACATGCCTAGATATACCTATGCAGGTATACACTCATATATGTAAGTATGTATCTATGCTCGACTGCTCCACGAGACACATCTTCTGACCACGCCTCTTTTTATCTGCACTCTTCCATTCAAATTCCACTGCTGGATAGCTAGATAGCTGGCTAGCTGGCTAGCTACCTAGGTTCAGGCTGTTATTTAGTTCTTGCTAGACAACGACAGCTACTAGCGGCGCTATAATGAGGTCTCTGCGTCTGCGTCTGCGTCTGCGTCTGCGTCTACACCCACGTCCACGTCCACGTCCACCGAACATGGTCGGATTAAACGGAGAACCAAAGCGTAGTTTATACCCTGGGAAGATACACGCCTGCACTGCGCGCGCGCGAGTGATTCCAACGCCTAGATATAGGGATAGATAGATAGAACGTATGTCCCACATCATTCATGTCGAGAGGGTATCGGGAGTGAGTGAGAGAGTGAGTGGCTCAGCCCAACTCAACTCAGCTCAACTCGAGCCACAGGCTCTTGGGGTGCCACGCACGCATGAAATCACGCCCGCGGACTGACTGACTGACTGATTCCCTCTCTGTCTGTCTGTCCCCGGATTAGATTGGATTGGATTGCATCGTCGTCGCACGTCCAAGTCTTTTTCCGTGTCTGGTAACATAACTAGTCATCTCTGGTCTGAATGGCATTTGTCGTTGTATAGTCGTCATACATGACCCGAAAGGGTTTTGTGAATAGCAGGGGGGAAAATCATATGCCATTCATGAACAAGGTAATCAACGACGAGGAGGAAAGAGGAAAGTCAATCCGCGATGAAAAGTAGTGAGTGGGTGGGTGGCTGGGCTGCGCTCCAAAATTGGGGGCGAAAGAACAGAGCTGGAGGCTGCGGCTGAAGGCGGAAGGGCTTGCCAGGCACTACCAATCAGCGCCAGATATACAAAACAATATGAGGCTGAGGCTCAGCTGGGTCGCCCATGAATCTCCAACTCGAAACCACTCAACCAGTACAAACCATTTGAAACACACAGATGTTTTGGTCGGTGCGTACAAAGTCCTAGGTGTAGATGGAAGCCGCCTAAAGAGTAAATCTAGGAGCGCATCAGGAGTCATCGGAATCCATGGCAGGAAGAAAGCGCGATATCTCCAGTCGCGTGGGTCAGAAGGAACAGCTTCAGCGAGTCGTAGTGGTACATCTCGTTCGGGCAGAAAACTTTTTCGGAAGCTGCACGCCTACCTGTTTTGGTGGATCCAATGCGTAAACCAAGTGGAAGAGGTACAGCCACAAAACAGCAGTGCTCTGCAGCTGGAGGAAAAGGCAATGCAACTCTTCGGGGCGGGAATTGTGGATTTAAAAAGGGTGTAATCGCTCATCCCAAGGTAACTTGCGCGGTCCTCACACCTGCCTGCGCATTGCGATAGACTCCAACACTTACATTGTGCCAGCTGCGAGACCGTTGTAAGCAGTCACATTTTTGTTGGTGTGAGACAATCTTTGAGTTTCATCGTAAGGTCGACCGCTTGGGCGTTAACACAGCCGAAGGTTCGTGTGGAGGTGAATGCGGTATTCCGAGGTATACGGAGGCGTAGGCCCCAGAGGGCGCCCAGCTATCCCAGCAATCCTCGAGCATCGCTCAACGCAGTTCGGAAGGGAATCGTGGACGCTGCGGCAAGAAGAAGGGACATCGAGGTAGTGACGAGGCGTCGACGAGAGGTGCACGGCAGTTCCGGTGATCCTAGTCTTGCAAAGCATCTCCAGGCGTTCCAACGCATTGCGCAGCTAAACTTAAGGTATGAGGGTGTCAGCCTCACAAGGCGTCACAATTGTTGGAGAACAACTCCCCGTGCCAACAGCTGAGGTTGCTGCCACTGTAACTTCGAGAGCATCAAGATGGATCGTGTCAGGGTGAAGAGCCCAAGTTTGGGAGGAATGGCAGAGTCGCAGGTAGGGGCTGGTAACTTGCCGGAGGAATGGAAGAAAGGGGAGAGAGTGATGTAGATAACGGCGATCGCCCAACGACCTCCTTTGTATGTTGAAGTCTAGCATCCTTCAGCCTCAGCCGTCAAAATGTGGCTGGTGCTGAAGGGTTGCTCTCGGCGCCCATCCTCGAGCGTTGGGTAAGCCGATAGACTGCATTGTCCCGCTGTAGTTCGTGGCCGCAACGCATGGAATGGGTGCCCTCGATTGTTATTGGATACGGGTGGAGTTTCTCCCCGTTTACCTTGAACGCAAATGGTGACAGTGACTCCGCTTTCATCGCCCGATCATGTCAAGCAAACCCAACCGGATGATACCGTGGTAGCCCCTGAAAAAGACAGCCTGGTGGCCCGTGCACCAATCAAGTGGTCCCAATGCCATGGCAGGTCCATAACAGCACGGGCAGAGGATGGTAAAGGCAAAGCTGGTTGGCTCACAGCTGCTGATGCTCAGCTCCCTCAGCCAGCCACAGCGGCTCTCATCATCCGACGGTTTGGCAGTCAATAAATGGGTTCTCGGGGGCGAGACACTTTCGCTTCCAGGAAACCGGTTCGCGATACACGCCGACCCTCCACGCTGGATGCCGCAACATTATAGCTCGATCTCATTGTCAAGAGATCTTCCATGACAGGTTCTGGAAAGTGGATCTGACATGTTGAAGCGGACATGGATTCCTATTCGCCAGGAAAGTCGAGAGCCATGATTCGTCTGGAGTCAACGACATTTGAGAGATGTACAGCTGAATACTGCCTTCTTGTGGCTCTCAGTCTCTCGGTTTATCTTGTGTGCCAGCGTCCTGTGTAATGCGAGATTTCTCGGCGATAACGTCGTTCAGACCCACGGCGTAACAGAAACAAGTTTTGGAAGCGACGGTTAGGAGAAAGCATAGTGATGGAGATAAAGTGGCCCGACAAGGATAGGCAACGGTCGTGATGTCTGCAAATCGCTGGCAAAGGCAACGGGTCCAGCTTGAAAGGTTCGCCGGTAAACGTGGTCTCCGCTGTCGTGGATAGAGACGTATCCCAGAGTCAATATCATGTTCGCATCGCATCGGTTGTTCCCGGTTCTGCCAACATCGACTGATTATAGATGGTCCGATGCTCTTGCACGTATTCTCCATCCCCGGCGGGTATGTGCCTGCGACAGGAAAGATAACCTTGAGCCGCTGCATAGGAGGTGATAGGAGCGCTGGAAGAGAGCTGTGTGTCACAGGAACTCAATAATCTCGTCGTGATGCGGACAGTCGAGTGGCGTTAGTACCGATGGACGTAATACTCACGAAGCGACGTCGAGAGTAGAGGGCCGATGATTGGCTGTCCGCTAGCTGCGCTTGATTGGGGAAGAGGGGAGATGATGATGTGTCTTGTTTGGGAAGACTTGACGCTCAGAGACGAGAACTCTACTGGGTTGTACGTAAATCAGAACGGCCTGTTCCAATACCAAGTCGTCAAGATCGTGAGGGACGTTGCATCAGCGCGCGAAAGGGCAGGAGAGCCTTTCCCTTCCCCACAGAGTCAGTAATCAACAACAGGGAAGGGATACCTTTGGCTGTCAATTCCCTCAGGTGGTCATGGATCTTGATGGGTTGTTTAGTCAAGTCGAAAACTCAATTACCAACGTCAACCAGTATAGAGGCAAGGGCATGGACGAGTTCAGCTGGTCACCAAGTGCAATGATGGCATGGGGGGAAACAAAGGTTTCAGCTCGGCATCACCGACTGGTCGAGTTGACTTGGTTTGAGTTTCCCTCGTGTTCAAAAACTCGGCGAGCATGGATGGTGCTACAACTGCAGTGGCACCAGGCGGTGAACAATGAAGAGAAGGGAAAAGGAAGCGAGGGCGAAAGAGAGAAGCATGATATTGAGGTGGCACATGAGAGGGCTTGTTTGCCTGCGATATGTGCGCAGACGGACTATGTGCTATGACATGTGGCCCAGCTGAATTGCTATTACTGGTAGACGAATCTATGTACTGTGTACCGAGGAGAGAGGTGAGCACATATGTCACTTGCCATTATTGAGTCTACCTAGGTAGCCATTCTTATATGTTGTCGACATATTACTGTATCTCATCAACATAAAAGAGGTCAATGTGAAGGTGAGGTACGAGAGATGTTCGAGTGACGGTAACGGACATGTTGCAGGTGGAAATTCGCAGAGTGCAACAGTGTGTGTTCTCGGCACCTGGTACCTACGAGTACCTAATGAGTACCTAATGGATACTCGTATGGGCATCCATGGCTGTGGTCCTTGGGCCCTCTTGGCCCCCCTAGTAAATTGGCAGCTCGCAACCTGAAACGAGTTGGCTTCCCGGACTCCGAAGTTGCTACCCTTGGTGTCCTGCCCTAAGGGACTTAGTCACCTGGAGCTGCTGGGCCTAGTGGCCTGCCATGCTCTGCCATGCTCTGCCACGCCTTGCTTAAGCCTCCCCAAACGGGGCACCCGTGGCACCAAAAGTACCAATACGCGTCAGAGCTCAACTGTTTGCTTTGGTTTGTTTTTGTTGTTGTTGTTTACAAGCCACAAGCCACTCTCCCTCAAATAATGTGAAACGTCCACTGACCATGTTTCAGCCAGCTGGGGCACAACACTGTCACTCCATTACCCTCTTTGCCCTCGCCT